TTTATGGTGGCCAGCACCTCGCTATAGGCCTGTTCTAAGCTTCTGCCTCGACCTCTCCCCTTCGCCACGCATCTCCTCAGATGGTCGATCGAGAGTGTCGCGTGAGGCATCTCCGGTTCAGGTCGATTGTGTAACGGCTCTGAACTTGAACGTCTACTGAGGTTGAGAGAACGAAGTTGGGAGCAAGCTGCGGAGCTTGGGGATCGCGTTCGATTGCCCGTATCGTGCTCGTTTGGCGCCCGCGACTGCATCCGCAGCGGTTCGTGAGGTTGGTTCAAGTGCGATCAGACCTCAGGCAGCCGTGGCATACGTTCGTCATAGGTGTCACCGAGTCGTGAGAAGCTCATGTTGCGCCACTGGTCGTCGGTTGCGAGTCTGCATGTCGATACTTGACCTCCGCCTTTGCGCCTGCCCCAGGGAAGAAGAAGGCCGGGATGACACGATCGCCTGCTGCGTGCTACAGACATGCTGCAGGCAGTCTGCGTAATCGTATGCCATGGTGTCTTCTCTGCTCTCTCGTTTTGTGCCGTCTTTCGCAGGTCGTTGCGTCGGATGTACGATACGTTCGCGGAGCGCCTGGCGGGGCGACGCGCTCTATCGATGTCGCTTGCGTACAGTTCTACTGTCGCGATGAGGCAGCGCATCATAGAAGTGCTTTTCTTCGAATGTTCGATGTGTGGACAAGCCAGCAAAGATTGCCGTCGTGGTGGGGTAGACCGCGGTGATGAAGTCTTCGCGAATGTCTTGGGTATTCTTCGACAGTTACAGGTATCGCGATGATGTTAGTCCAACGGAAAACGGCTGTCGTTCGTCTTACCTTCGTCTCGTCCATGGTAGACGCCTATCTTCGCATGGCACTGCTGTCACGTCGTGGTAGTAGCTGGTGTTGAGGTGGCCGAGAGAATGGGGCGTGTGCACCGCGGGGGTCAACAAGACTCGCCCTTCGTGGACGTGAGAATCAGGATGCGAACGCCACGACAACAGCAGCTGCGCGTTTGGTTCTCTATGCATCATACTTTTCTATGCACACGTTACAAAGACAGTGATGCCAGAGGTTGAAGACTGCCCCTGGAGTTTGTGCGCTTGCAGTACCCATGCAAACATGAGAAAGCTCTATCTTCCCACTACAGTCAGAGTTGCAATATGGCGTATGGTATCAGTCTTGCGCTCTCCAGAAAAGCATAGTATGGCGCTGGTGTTTCGCTGTTATACGAATGTTGAAGGATCTCAAATGCCGCTAGCTGACGTAGCTTCTTTAACAAACGCCATCCGAGAGACTTGTACGAAGCTGCAGCTTGAATGGACAGGCCATATCCAAGACTGAGATACTGCAGGACCTTTTGTAAGGGAAACGTGTGTCGGGTTGCAGATTGTAATGTCGACGTGGAGGTTATGCCTCGCAGGCCTCCTTCCAGAAGGTCCATCACAGCATCCCCAATGAGCGAGAACGACTTTGCCAGAGGATAATGTGAGACGATGAAGTGCTCGCTGACGGCTTTCTCGTTGGTCACGCAAGGTGCCTACATAGAGACCCTGTCGTCGCTCCGCTCACCTCACGCCCCCGCGATGCTGCTGGATTGATTGTTGCCAAAATCATCTACCAGACTCTCCGGAATTGAGCTTCAGTGGCTATATATACCTACAAGAATTGCAGTTCTTTCGGTGGTGGTACGACCCTGTGCGACATGAGTTTGTGTTATTGGACTCATGGTTGGGGTTCGTACCACAGGCTGACAACAAACAGTTTAACAGGAGTTCGATTCTCCATTGAAGGAGTAATGACTACCGTTAAGGTAGTCAGGTTTTTTTTGCCTTTCTTTTCGTCGCCCACCCGGCACACTTCACCTAGAAAAAGCATACCAAAACGGCGGAGTCTCCCGCACAAGAGTATAGATTTGCAGGTCATCTCTTCCGCATGCATGTCTGCTTGTCAACCTTTTCCAAAGAGGCCAAGCTGGTATGTGGTGCATGCGTGGATCGCATGGCTGTAAGCAGGCTTCTCAGCATCACCGCAATTCGAACTGCTCAGCAACCGCTATAGAAGAGATGCCAGTATGGTTGTGATGCTTTAACGCCTACTTGTTGGCGACAAAATCTCTGCAATGCGTTCACCACGGAGACATTGTATGCGAGAGCGTGCAACAAAGCAACTATTTCAATTGGCTTGCGTGGTTGCTGAAATGGCTATATCTGTTAGCAAAGTCTGGACGACCATCATTACGGAATGCCAATGCTGTAATGTAACAGCCGAAGCTGAGTTGGACACAAACGCCTCTTGTTGCCAGGCTCTGGGGAGAGTCTGGTTATGAAATGCTCTCTCCAAGATGCGGGTCCTCAAAGATGATGCTCCATTTCACCTATTCATATTGCTTGTCAGCTAGCAAGCATCGCTGTACATGGTGGGGACCCAGCGCCAGACTACAGACATCAGGGCGACTTGCGCATTGGTGTCAACACATTATCCGGAGTCAGCATACTGCCACTAGGTAACACCAGTCACGAATCGTGTGCGAACCTATCCATTATTCGCGATAGCTCAGATGCACTCCGCTTGCTTCTGCTGGATAACGAAGCTTCACTATGTGTACAAGCTTCCGAATGCCCTCCGGTATGCACTGCTCCGATTTCCAGATCCTTTGTTGGCATTCAATGCATCGTTGCGTGCTTTCATTGGGGAGTCCGACAATATGCAACGATACCCGCTAGCGACACCTGAGGTAAACAGCTATGTCAGGGGTTGGCTGGTCAGCGGTACTCTGGGAAGATGCGTGCTCACCAGATGCGCTGGCTGCAAACTCTTACAAGTCCGCTACCGGTTGTTCAACATCGTGGGAACATGTCACGACAGATTTCTACGATTAACGTGCGTCTTGTATGCATCACTTTAACGGCCTTACCAGTAGGTCTCTCATCAGTTCTACTGGACCGACGAATATCATGCAGTTCCAGCGTGAGTAATGCTCTCCCTTTGAAGCGCTGTTGCGCGATATCAGCCATGGTACAACACCAATGAATCTCACAAGAGGCACATGCGTTCAAAACGGATAACCCGTCAACCCTTTGTCGACGATAGTACGATTTGCACTTCGTCGAAGTCTCTAAGATCAACATTCGGCCTCGTCGATATGCGTTCTTGCTTGAACGCCGGCAGAATCTGGCTTGGCCAGTATCACAATACTAATACGCACTTCCAAGATGATATTCTCTTCCGATGGATGCATCATCTATACTACACAGTTCCGAAGATACAGCTCAGCAAGATCGGACCCTAGCCATCGAATCACAATCATGAACATACACTGGCTATTAGAAGGAACGCCTCACCGCATGTCAAGGAGTCTCGAAGCCGAGGACTACGAAGATAGGGTCAAGCGGTGCTACGGATCGCTATTCCCCGCCTTCAGTATCTCTGAACCCTGGCAAAAACAAGCGCGCGACGACTTCGATTCGAGTTGGATAAAGTGTATCAAGACACCGCCGCGGGCGCTGCCCTAATTGAATCTCCATATCATGTTGGTCCAGGTACCGGCCGAAGTATGGAATACAATTGCGAGTCCCAAGCCTGTGCAAGTTCCAAACATGCTTGCTTAACGTTACCGTCATAACGTCAACGAGATTCAGTTCGCGTTGCGAGAAGGATAATCACCATGGGTCTTGAATGTGGGCTGACTGCGGACACCAGATGCTATCCTTCAACCACGTCGAGCCATGCTGCGCATGAGAATAATTGCAAGCCACGTCAGAAGATATGTGACTAATATGCAAGCTCGCTTCTGCAGTCGCAGGCTTGCGTATCGTGGTCAGCCATGTACATGGTCTCGAGTGCTGCATCTGTTGCAAACTATTGAAGTCAAGCTCTGGGAATCTGTCCGACCCAGCAAGCAAGATTCGATGTCTCAACGAAACTCTACCCTGTCAGCAGGCCCTGATCTCCTCGTCGCCATAGACGACGTGAAGGAGTCTGCACACGTTACAGCCGCCTCGCCCCGCGTTATCCCCGCACAGACATGTTCCCCTTCGCGCCTCCAAGATCAACAAAGGCTCACCAGGCAACCTCCATATCCTTTGGCTATATATACACTCTAATTTATCAAACTTTCGCCTAGGCCCCTGGGCGGAGGGGTACGGCGGCGGGGTGGCGGTCGGCAGCCACCGAAGTATCCTTAAACAGTGCTAACAAGTGCATCTTCTAGGATGCACATCCCCTTCGGGGCTGGGTTCGAGTCCCAGGCGGGCTGAAGTCCCATGGTTGAAAGCAATACCATCTTTTTTGCTGTTTTCTTCGGCACTCTATCAAACCGTATGTCTCTAGATAAGATGCATAGGCATTCGCATTTGCATTTTCTCTATCCGAGAGATCTAACCAGGGCATCATGCTGGTGCAGAGGTACCAAGGTAGGTGTACGCCTCTGTGCTTGCGTAGAATTCTTTCCATGCTTTTGTATGGAAGCAGGCCCGCTGTAGCACCCCCGCACGCCTCAGTTGTTTCCGCCACTGCCGCGCAGTCATCAGTGCAGGTCATGTGTCCAGACTCTCCCCTTCTGCTACAACGGGTTGGCCCAAGAAGAGATGTAGCTGGGCCGGCTACGTTGCTTGTGTGCAAGCCACGTTTGCGACGATCACCCTCTCGTGAGCTCTAGATGATACATGAAGCAATTTGGCTTTGATGCAACATGCTAATTTTAGAATTCAAGATTGGGTGGCTGTAGGCCGCGACGAACCAGCAGGTTGTGATCCTCCAAGTGCGGTATTGGTATCTTGCAATCCGCTCACTTCGGACAGCACTACTGCCATATGATAATTAACGTCTTAAAAGTGTCACACGACTCGAGGTCGCGATACCTGCCTTTTTAGGCTCAGCAGCGTCACGTCTATATCTCGTCGGCACTGTAGCTGCTCCAGCAGACCGCGGATGTCTCATAGATTGCAAGATGTGAATGCACAAACATCACGTAAACTCAGGATACACGATAGCGGCACGTACACCTCACATTCCTCAAACCCGGCTATGTACATATGCTTGCAAAGGTAGGATTGGCCTCTCCTTTTTATCCATGAACTAGTCTTGCTTCGTTCTCCCGTCACCCAGTACCAACAGGGCGGGCCCGAATGCGCTGCTCTTAAGCCAGTGAAAAGAGAAAGCACGAGGTAGTGTCAGGGTGCTTGCCGCTGGATGACAGAGGGCTTCCTGGTACCTATCGGTCAGGCCTTGCGGACCACACCTGCGGCCGCCACTCCTCATTCGTAAGTAGCGAAGATCCTCCCATGTTTTCCGCTATGTAGTGTCGAACGCTGGTTGTCCAGTCGAGCTCGTGACCGAGGAGCACAAAGTTCACGTACTTCTGCGCGCCATCACCACGGTGCGTGTCAGCGACTTTTCCATAAGCAAAGTATCCATCTTCTGTGGGAGCGATACCCAGCTGCTCTTGGAGCTTCTTGCGAACGGTGGTAATTTTCTTGAGCTTGTCAACCTTCCCTACAAGTTTTCCGTAATTGTCTGATGCGAATGCCAGCCAGGCTTCCTGTTATAGAGAGTCAGTAAGTCGCTGTTCTTTCCGCAGCAAGTACTGGAGGATTCAGGGATCTCAATCCTCAAAGGTACGTACAGCTTCGTCCCAAGCATCTTGTATATGAGTCTGGTTGTGCAAGCTACGTCCACACGTCTCGAGGAAGGCACGCTCATCGTCCAGGTGTTTGCCGTTATCGTAGTAGGCCAGAGTTCTGACCTGAATATCGTCGCAGAGTCGCATCATCTCTTTCTCCTTGCGCTTCATGGTTTCCCATTGTTTTCGTATAGCTTCATTCGTCTCGTTCTGCGACATCTCAATGGAGGTTGGTATGACGATCGTTCGCGGGGTTCGGTGGAGTTGTCTTTGTCGATTCAATGATGGGAGGAAGCGCGGTTGAAAGACTGGGAAGGTGTTAGTGATTTGTCTGTGAAGATTCTATACTGCGAAAGTTGCTCCTGAGAATTGCAGCCATTTTGTCGGACGCTTCTTGGATTCACAATGGCGCCGGGTTGAGGGAAGTGGGATCGGAAGGAGGCGGAGCTGATCAATGGCAATGAAAGCCCGTGAAAGCACGAGAGTATCTGCCTGCGCAACAGGAAGCGCAGCGACTGCGGACATAGTCGTGTGAGAGATGAGGTTGTGGTGACGAAGGCGTATGGGTATACGGGATTGACGCAAGAGAAGAATTCGAAGCCGATGATTTGATCGAGAGCATGCTGATGTTCCTGTCGTATCTGAAGCCAAGAGCTGTTCACGCGTCCCCTTCGGATGCTATGTTGTGGAGATTTTGGAGATTTCTGAGTTATCAACAGTCTGACGCAGTTGACGCACCGACCCTGCCAAACCCAAATCACGACACCGTCCAGATACTCCTCGCCTCATCACGAAACATCAAAGCATCCTCAAGTCCGCTATGTCGCCGGCAAGTTATTTCACGGTCAGTTCCCTCAAGTCGATACCATCTTCGATGACCTCCCTCTACGGATCTGACCCATCATTGCAACCTTGACTTCAGCGATTGAACAGCCCGTCTAATTACAGCGTCATGTTCGCCACCGCGGTGGATATCGTGTTCTTCGATCGGGCGAGCTTGACTAGTGATGCATTCTCGCGAGCACGAAACGATCTTACGTATACAAAGGAGCAGAATTTCAATTAAAGCCTTGGTGGCCTTGGAAAATACAACCTAATTTAAACGACTTTCAGGATGGCCTGTACCCTCTGTCTTCGTGAGATACACGAAGCATGCTGATCATAATGCTTTGCGAAGGTCGAAAAATGGCTTGGAACGGATGAATTCGGAAAGCAGAATCACGCAGGAATGCCTCTGGGAGGAATCGAAACCCTTTGAAAGTCTCTTCGCTACTTCGCGTATGATGGGAATGTTTTGCGCATCCAAGTGAGTACCCTTTGGCTTTGTTATGATGATCTGCATAAGGACTGCAGAAGACGCCGGATCATCCCCTGACTTGTTACGTTGTCGCGTCTGCCGACTCGGCCAAGGCTGGCGCAATATATTTCACGACACGCTACATATGGTGTATGGTCACTTGGCGTATAAGAAAGGAAGCACACAATCTGATGTGTTTTGGAGATAGTGCGTTGTAACGTGGTCCATGCGATTCTTCCGGTGAGTCACTGAAGCCCCCTTACGCGCAGCATGGCGACCACAAGAACTGGCGAATATGCAACACCAACAAACTTCCACCTTCAACTTACTCCTTTAAAGTCCAAATAAGAACCCAGCTAAACAAGGGCAGCAGGGCCGAATGACAACTGTCATGCATGCCGATCCGTGTGGTAACTCTCGGTTCGTCGGGGCAAATTTGCGGGCGACACTAAACCGGTTTCTCGACTAGCCCATCTGCCATTGGGTGCCCTCGCACACATGCCAACGCGACCCTCTTTACTCTCTCAACCTTAATCGCACTGCGCTGCGACCGACCGAAAGCGCCGATTGATAAAGCCCTATGATGCCCTTCGCGCCCCGCCGTCGTGATGTTCATCGCACCCGTGCCCTCCTCCATTACCGCCTAGGTCTCCCAAATGAACTCGTTCTCGATATCCTGGACAAAGCCCGTTACTGGGTCGAAGTCAAACACGTTAATGACCAGACCTCAGTACTCCTTGACGAAGAGTTCTCCGACGATTTCTCCGCTGCGCTGCCCATGTTGAGGATAGTAATTGACAGACCCGAAATCGCGCATCGCGAAACAAGCAAACTCCGAGAAATCGAGTTCTTAATCGTCAGTCACGACCAAGGTTGGACTACAGAAGATACTATCAGCACATTCAACACCTCATCTTGGTTTGAGGTATCCATCGTGCGCCCGTCTTCTCCGCAGGACCACATGATAAACAATATGGTCGCTGATAGCTTCGACGACCACGATTATCCAAAAAGCAACATCCACACCGTGATAGATGATATGTGCGGTAACCTTGGCTTCAGAAATGCGCTGCGCCCTTCTTCGACAATAGAGCCGCAGAGGTTGCACTGCGGTGAGATGCAGGCCATGACGTTCTTGCATGACGATCCTTCACGCCCCATGGGCATCGAAGGACAACACGCTTGGTACTTGCAAGGGAACGAGGTCGCAAGAGCTGTTTCAATCTTCGAAGGCGATTACATTCGCCGGTACCGCGTTGTCTGGGGTTGTAAGGATAATCCAACATGGGAAGGCGACGAAGGTGCTGGCCGTGGCGACGATTTCATCGATTCGCTGAAACATGGTGATTGGATCTGTGTGTGGGCGAGAGCCAAGGTGAGCCTATCTATGTGGACGTTGTTCGCATCGACTAATTCATGGATTAGAGACGAGGTTGGGAGAATCACGTCCATGGCATACGCGTCACTATGCGATACACGGTATAGCCCATTGCAATCCGCTCACCCAAACTACTTTCATGCGTTTGCATCGAGCGTTATTGTTTGCAATATTCAGTGCATCTACCCACGGCAGTGCTTATGTTTGAGGTCATACTTACCGGAACATCTGTCTGCTTACAGCTTGGGTTCTCCCTGCATGCCTTCGTTGGAGGCATCAATCCCATGCGACAACGACTCCTCTTGTACCCCAGAAACGACAAAGTCATCATCGACCCATCAATGCCAATCGGCGCTCCACGCACTTTGGCTCGAACTTTTGCGATATGTTCAGCCTTCAGACGGGCTCGGTCCTCAGCCATCGCTTTCTGCTTCTCCTTCTCGGCGCGGACAAAGGCAGCCTTTTCTTCAAGCTGGATTTGCTTGGCTACCTCGGTTTGAGCTTTTCTTCCCTTGCGTGCTTTGGCTCGGGCCTTAGCTTCCTCAGCCCGCTTTTCTTCGGCCCTTTTACGCTCGTCGGCTCGCGCCTTCAAGCGAGAGAATGGCGTAGGCGTAAGCGAGATGTCAGAGTGGGTACATCGTGCGGCCACGTCCGATGTCTTCGGCGACGGTGCAGGTACGGCCGTGGTAGATTCCGTGGGCGCGTTTGTCGTCACTGGATGATGATTCACAGCGACCGGCGTTGTGAGTATTGTTGGTGTGCGACCAGATCTTGACGCCTTCTCCAATGAGTCTTCATGGTTCCGCCTGCGAGTATCGATCTCCACGGAGTATTCCTTAGCAAGAATAGCACATCGAGCCTTCATCGGGGGATCGGTTGTATTTTCGTTCTCGAGATCCTCCCAGACCTTCACTAGGCTCTCAAGGTCAGCCACGCTCAAACATGCCCCCGCCACCTGTCGCTTCTCGCGTAGAACTCTCCAGTGTTCAAGTTGTTGACGTGCGCAGGCACGCATCGAGCTGTACCGTTCTTGTATTGTGAGCATAGGCTGTGCATGATATTGGAAGGCAGACACTTCCTCAACGATTTCATTTCCATCCCTGGCCAGTGCAGCATCGTAGGCGGCCTTACGGACATCGTCATGCAACACGTCAAACGCCTCTTGAAGATCACTAAACGCCGTGGCATGCGCAGCACGTTCAGCCGCAGTTAGCTCAAGGGTCTTCTCGGGATGGTATTTCAACGCCAGCGCTTTGTACGCTGCTAATATCACTTCCCGAGGCGCATTCGGGGCCAGCCCGAGTTTCGCATAGTGTGTCTGGGTCTTCATGTTGGGATATATGTTGTCTTCCCAGTTCTTCGTATGGCGCAAACGTTCTATACCAATATCGGAACAGCCTGGCAATACCCTTTAATACTCTTACGACTGCAAACAGCGCAGACATTGTGTGTTGACGACACATCTGACACAGCTATGTGCTCGCTACTCGGACATACATCGACCAATGTCTCACACACATCGTAGAACAAGAAGAGACAGGACAGAAACAAGCAATGTGCCGCAGAGACTGCCGACCGTAGTGCGTCGACGAAAAGCAAAACAGGACTGTGTTGTACGAAGCCTGGACCTTGCCCAACGCCCCGGGTTGAACATCGCTGCGAGCTCACTGCAACCCACTGACGCCTCATGCATTACCCGCCCCACCGAAGCACCGGTCGTCATGATTCTGGGCACGCGAGGTGAGCCCGGGAATATTGCGCACTGCAATTCGACGCTTTTCTGCGGCGCGATTTAGGTAAAAGCGTGGAGGGCTTTGGCAATCGTATCAAAAATATGGCGCAATCAGACGCGATCGCCATTTCCATGGCTGCCAGAAGGCGATTCTTGCAGTGGGGTGCGCTGCCCACAAGCGCATGCCGGTGGGCATTTGTGTGGTTCTTATAGGGCGGCACACCATCGCCGCTCCTGCAGGGAGGAACGTCAATCCTCGACCCCCAAAAAGGCCGGCGCGAAGCTCAACAACGAACATACACCCAGACCTTGAGACTGACGATCAGAACACGACCGACAAAAGGAAAGACGCGATTGCGCGAGAACGCATGTTGCCGATGGAGAGTAATGTCGGAAACTTATCGTCAGCAAGCTTTTGGGCAGCCGACCTTCACCGACGGACATGCGAGTGGGAGTTCCTCTGGACATGATCTCTTCGACATCCTCGACGCCGCCAATCTCTATCACGATCACGAATATCATCCCGGTGGACAGCACTTACAACCACTGCAAATTCCTACCCAAAATGATATCGCGCAAAATCAGCACTTTGCGTATGCATTGCACGCCAGCGGTGTGTCGGCTCCAGGTAAGCGCGACCCCTCTATTTATCTTCATTTCATCATATCCTATCTACTTCATCCTCAACGAGTTCTTTGTACCTCCCATTAGGCCCGTTTGCTGCCTGTGGACGTAATTCCCGTGTCTCTGAGTTGTCGGGACTTGATGACGTTTGTTCAGGATGGAATGGCGTGCTCTCGCTAGCTGCACGTGATCAATTGCGGCGACGGGACTTGCGACGACTGCATACCCGCCTAGGGAGGTGTGTATGCAAGTTGTGCACAGACGCCTGTTGTTGCATCGAGGGTTTCCATCGATCAAATACGCAGCGATCACCGCATATTCTGTGTTGTTTTCTGTTCCCCGCATACCATGGTCACTAACATCATCTCGAGGCCTGCAATACACCTCGCCCACAATGCCGACCATGACCGGACACATCCCGCAACATTTCGAGCACGACTCTACACTTCAGATTGGCTTCGATGATCTCCAGGGCTTCTCCCCCGTTACGCAGGGCTTTAGCATCAACGCCTATCGCACGCCATACCCCGACAGCAACGCGACATCCACATCTTCAGCCACATCACCCGACCCCACCCACGCAAGTCTCCTCAACGATCCAATTGTCGTCGAGGCGGAAGAAGATAAGCGAAAACGCAACCAAGCTGCATCCGCACGTTTCCGTCAGAAGAAAAAGCAGCGCGAGATGCAACTCATGGAGACCAGTCGCGAAATGCAAGACCGAACCAAGAAGCTCGAAGCTGAGAATGATGGGTTAAAGAAGGAGAATATGTTCTTGAAAAAGTTGCTTGTGGAGAAGGTGGATCATATGAGCGACGAGGATCGGGAGTTGCTGAAGAAGGCTGCCGAAGGTGCGCTGAGTGGTATTCTGACCAAGAAATGAGTATCATGTCTCACGAGGAGTGAATTTCAGCTCACGAATTTGGGAGCGATACAGACAAGGATATGTTAAGGCCTAGGAGTTTGCTATATTATACCTATGTTTTGCGCTGGCGTCAACGGGTCAGGGTTAATTCAATCTCCCTTGGAATTTCTACATGCATACATGCGGGTCTGTTGTAACAGCATGTGTTCCAATATTGATACCCGTGCAAATCTGAGTGACCGAACAATCTAACCCCGAACAGCGACGTGCATTGCAATCTGCTGAAGACAGGGTCCTATTTCAGAGGACGTGTTCACGGGGTGACAACAGTTCACAAAGATTAAGCACATTACAACCTCGAAGTTTAGGTTTGTAACTCGAAGGGGGATGTGGCGTCCAATCCGGGGAAAGGTTGAAGGCTACCCACATGTTTGGGAGCTGAGTACGATCAGCCGCACAACACCTCAGACCTTGCCGCCTACGCACCCTCCTGTCTACACACCACTCCATGATGCAGAGAGATACAGGTCTCGATTTTCGGGAGATCCATGAAAGTGAGGACGCATTTCTGGCTGCCGTTGAAGAGATTGAACGCGTCGCCCTCATCGAACGGCCCTTCCACATACCTATACGCCTCCGATTCATTACACCAAGCCCCGATAGCAAGACGGGCCACGACTACGTCATTACAGACGCCAGTACACATCGAACTGGGAGTGTTTATGTAGCTGTCTCATACACGTGGCTCCACGAGCAGTCCTTGGATGGCCAGAAAATCCCGAATTATCGGGTCAAAGATCTTTCCAAGGCTGGAACCGTTCCACGACTACCACATTGTCCGCCCATAGTCTTCCATAGAGCCATGCAATATGCGCGCACGCGAGGCTACACAAACGTATGGATTGACCAAGAGTGTATACACCAGGATGATCCAACAGATGTTGAGAGGCATTTGCAAGTTATGCATCGCATCTATTCCAACAGCAAAGTTACCATTGCCGTTCTAGCTACAAGCAGTGGTCGAATCGACTTGCCAACCATTGGTCACTTTAAGTCATTACTGGAATCTACCTCCTGCGAACCCACGGATCAATCTGTTCAGCATATTGCCTTCCGAAAGTGGTTTTGCGACGTGTCCGATGATAGATGGTTTTCTCGCACATGGGCTTTCCAAGAGAAGCTTAGCGCAGAACACGTAGAATTACTCCTCCCTATCACAGCTCAACTCTCTGCAGAATCGACTGTCTACGAAGATCTATGTATCGATATAGCAAGGATGTGGACTATCGCAGGATGGAGCTCTATCACTTGCGCGGTGTCAGTAGAGAAGCAGATGGGGATGACGAATGGTATGAATAACAGCAGGTCGAGGCCAGCACCCAGGAGATTGATGCTTGAAAGCATTGTCGACATCTACGAGCAGATGGAGCAGTGTGAGAATGCTGTGCTAGCAGACCGCCTTGCAATCCTAGCGAACATCTGCGACCTTGCCTACAGGCTAGCATCAACAAAGCTTGATCATCCTCAATATAGTTACAGCACATGTCTGGTGGTTCTGATATTCGCAAACGTATGGCCTGATCAGGAGAAACGACAGATGAGATACAAGGAGTTGTCAAGTGACTTCATGGATGCACCGGTTGGAATTCTATTGTCATACTTAGCCCGACAGATCAGTGTTGACGGTGCCGACGGTAAACTCTGTACCGAACGCTATGCATACGAATGCTACATCGAGAATTACCATGAACACCGAGTAGATGTAGACAGAGCCAGGGGTTCTTACAAAGCACGGTCTCGCACTGTGTCCCGACGTGTGAGCCTCGAATCAATGGACGGACGTTCTCACTACGATAACCATCGCCCCAATTTTAAACGCACTCCTCTGGACCTGATTACTCAGGACCTCATTACTCAGCATGTCACTCCTTTGGATTCCATTTTTTTGCGTGGCACTTCGTCGGCTCGTATCTCTTTGGACACCGATTCTGAAACCGTATCCTCATGGGACAGCTGTATCTACCCTGCTTCCTATCGCCGGCGTACTATAAGCGATACAACTCTTTCGGATACCCATCTAGGATTTAGAAGAATGAAGAACTTCTTTATCAAACATGTCCGACTCATTTTTAGGCGCAAACAAGCTTGATATAGCCGGTTTATCAACCCCCTCGAAGCTGACTTTCGCCTTCCAAATAAGCCAACTTCTTCGACTCCGTATAAGTCAATTATGCCCCATACGGTATGCTCTCAATGGTCATCGACTCAGAATGAGTGAGGCAGATCTTTCAGACGCCGAAAAGGCAGTTCAGAGGGTGGGTACATCCTCCACACCGCTACTGCGACAAAGGAATCTTAAACGGCAAGTTCTATCGATCACTAGTATGACTGTATTTCTGACTAAGACAGATGGATTAACACTGAAAGGTTTCCAGCGAGAATCTTGATGGAGATGATGCTAACTCTTGTTACTGCAAACATCGTGGTGATATAATCCAGTGGGGTGGGATACTTCTCTTGATAGATGGCTAGGGGCTTTCCGTCTCAATATACGAGTACCATGCGCATTGATCCCGTGGACAGATTGAGGATTTTCCGAGCTATGCAGTTTTCCTGTTTGAGTACTAAAACCAATTGAGATATTCGAGACAAAAGATTACAAATATTCATACATTCGGGTGCGATGTAAGATCTAGACCTAAAAGCTCTACAGGCCCAGAAACGTGTTGTGCATGCTTCTTGCGACTTATTTCTCGCATGAGAGTCCCAATACTTTTCTCCATAAGGTAGTATTTTAGCTCTCCGTATTGGCGCGCTCGAGCGACCAGATCTGGCCATGTATTTGCCATGACCAAAACCAAGAGCGATGTGCTGAAACTCAGCGCCGGGTTGTTCAGCAACGTTGTGTTCAGTTTCCACTGAAGATTGCAGACATTGGCTAGAATTTGGATGCGATCTGATAGAACACGATTATAACGTCCCTGTGTCTTCTTGTAGACGGTATCAATAGTACCAGGAATGTTCTCAGACATCCAGTTGCCTTGATTATGTCTCAGGAAGTATGACTGGAGCAGTGGGTCGTTTTTGTCATGCTTCGTTGTCGAAGTAATGCGATAATACACCATACCATGGTCTATAACGGCATCATGATCGAAAATCACATGTGGTGCAACTTCAGCAAGCTTGCTCTTTAGTGATGGTTGTATAGGCAGCAGGTAAACGACATCGTCGGCGCATTGTTGTTCATGAAACGTCCTGACGAGAGTTAACAAAATCGTTCTTCATTGTAGATGAAATGGTGCATATATGTCTCACCAAGATCTAGTGAACCACGGATCTTGAGTCATATATTGCAGCAATTCGAAATCTTGCTCGTCGCTGGTCCATCCGAGATTCAGACATCTCACCGCCATCGCCCAGTTTTCAACAGCTTTAGAGAGCACAGCCACGGTCAATCGACTGAACTGATAAATCCTGTTCATGTCTTGTAGATGTCTTTCTATATCAGTCGGATCTTCTTGATTGATGCACTCTTGGTCTAGCCAAATTCGCCGGATGTTCTGAGATCGAGCAAACTGTACAACACGATGGAAGACGATCGAAGGGCTTCTGAGGGGTCGAGGAGGCTTGTGTAGATCGGCACCGTCCCAAATGCGATAAGCGGGAATCTGTGTCCCGTCAAGAGGCTGTTCGTGCGTCCATACATAAGACACCGTAAGGTAATTGCTTAACGCACTCCTTTCGTAGTCATGAGTGGGCGTGAGGATGAAATCATACTCTGATCCACCTCGCAGGTAGAATTCTAGTAGACGAAAACAGAATGGGCTTGTGTCGTTGCTTTCTATCAGTGCAATGCGCTCCTCTTCGACTGCGGCAAGAAGAGCTTCACTGCTTCCATGGATCTCTCGAAACGTGAGTGTCCTGTCGTCTTGCATGATCGCGGGGCAAGGTTAGGATGAAAAAAGGTCTTCTGAGGCGAAAGGTTGGACAAGCTCCTTGATGTGGCTTGCTCAGCCTTCTTGGTCTGCGCAGGCGGGCAGTGTTGAGCGCTGTAGTGATAGGACGCTACATAGCCACCTGCACCAACATTCACCTTTCATCATTCATCCATTGATGGAGAATTATCGCAGACCCTTTTCTGAAACTGAGCATTACATTCGACGAAAGGATCTTGCAATTCTCCTTTGCATTCGTGTGATACCTAGACACTACTCGGATAGACGTAAACCCCGCATTTGTCCGTCTCTAGCCTGATTCGGCTAGCGTTATCAGCATTGACCATTTGTCACCGTTGGTCTTACGTGAGATTTCCCCTCGCTCTCGCGAGCGCCCGACGACGAGGCTGCTTACTTGCAGGAGCTGTTATCGCAATCTCCATCTTATCGTCGCTCGGCTTCGGTGCTTGACGCCTTTTCAGTTGACAATCATGGGGATGACCAAGCTCGCCCTGCTCGCTTCTGCCACGCAACGCGAGGCTATGATCCTCCAAACTCTATGCTACGAGGGCGAAAATGCCTGCATGGTAGTGTGCAACTCAGTATATATACAACAGTAGCATCATCTTTCTTGCACATTCTCATCATCATCATCATCATCATCACTCACATACAGCAAACACATTCTCATCATACAACTCACATATATTTTAATATCTCTCAGTGGTACTTCAACCTATAACTATTATCCTCTACACCATCTCAACTACACATCATTCCTCAAACCCTCCATATGGCGACCACAATGCGCGGATGGCAATTCAACTCCGGATCCGGACCAATGGAGAAGAACCTTTCAATCCCATCTTCTGGCATCCCAATTCCATCCATCAAGAAAGACGAAGTTCTCGTGGAGAGCCATGCGACAGCCCTCAACCCAATCGACTACAAGATTCTTGAACTTCCCATCGTAGCGCGCTTGGTCTTCTCCGGTATCACTCCAGGCCTAGACGTCTATGGTCGTGTTGCGAAAGTCGGTAGCAGTGTCACAAGCTTCAAGGAAGGCGATATAGTATACGGAGGTCTTGCTCCGGGAGGCAAACATGGCGCGCTGGCAGAGTACCTTCCTGTACCACAGAATCTGTTAGCAAAAGTACCGCAGGATCTGAAGGGCGACGACATCGTATCCATTGCGAGTGTGGCCATGACAGTATACGCCGCGCTGAAACCCTATGCTAAACCCGGCAACAAAGTCTTTATAAATGGCGGTTCCGGAGGTACTGGTACAAATGCCATACAACTCGCGAAGATACTCGGTTACCACGTCACTGTCTCTTGTTCCACGAAGAATATCGATCTAGTCAAGAGCTTGGGAGCAGATGAGGTGATAGATTACACGAAAGGCCCGGTCGTGCAACAACTAAAAGACAACGGCACTATTTTCGACCTAGTTGTTGATAACGTCGGAGCACCAGCAGACTTATATCGGGTGTCGAGCGCGTTCCTACGACCAGAGGGCAAGTTCATCCAAGTAGGTATTGGTATGAACTTCAGCGCCGCAGTGCAATTCATCAGCAACAAATTGTCTAGTTTCTTCAGCTGGGGGAAGAGGGAGTACATTTTCGTCGCTGGTAATGCGAGCACTGCAACGTTTGAGCAGCTTGCGGCATATATGGAGCAAGGCAAGCTCCGTGCGATCATCGACTCGACTTGGGAGTTCTCCGAACTACCGAAAGCTTATGAGAAGCTGAAGACCGGCAGGGCGAAGGGCAAAGTTGTTGTGCATGTCAAAGATTATTGAGACACCTGGGGGCGTACGCACATAGATCTCATTTGAGCGGTTTTGTACTTTCTCGGTTTCAGTAGTTCAGCTGTGTTTTATAGACTTAATGAATAATATCAAGATCTTCTGTTTATCCAATTGGTCATTCCATACAGAGTGACTGCATACCGCATTGATCAGGGGGGACCCATTTCGAGTCTACAAAGCAACACATACTAATTTTGAGTCCATGAATATGTTATAGGTCATTTTCAAAATTGGAAGCACATTGCACAAGCCCTTGGGCGTTGCGCAAGGCCGATGTTCGGCTCCCATCTTGTACGGCTGCCTTACGCTAACCGGCGCTCACGCCTGATTCAAAGATGGGCTCGACATACACTGTTCAATGCAAGCAGAGAGTAATGAGATTGCTGGGTGGAAGCAATAAGGAGATGCTCCAGACCGGCAAGATGCGGCATGACGTTCGGCTTGGCAAAACAAAAAGTTCGGAAGCTTTCCGAAATTCACGATCGTCAACTTTTCAACATGCGCGTCTTAACCAGAAGCATACAACCTCTCTCGGCAGCTTTTACTCTTCCAAAACATAGCAATCGCATTCAGATTTCGAGTGCAACTCTAGCGCCGACATGGACGCGGTCATTCCATGCATCGGCGAATCTGAGAGTCGTCGACCTTGCGTACCGGCTTCATGATGACTCTGGCAAGGCCGATGGAGATCCGATTGTAATTGTACACGGGTTGTTCGGAAGCAAGAGGAACAACCAGGGTGTTGGAAAGTAGGACTCTCCCCTGAGACCTTTTTTCTGGATTGTGACTAACACCACGCTTCCAGTGCACTTGCGCGCGTCCTCAAGCGGCCCGTATATGCCATCGATACACGAAACCACGGCGAATCCCCGCACGATAAGGTCCACAACTACACCGCACTCGCCGAAGACGTAGAAGCCTTCCTCGAGAAGCACGAGCTGAAGAATGCGACGCTCATAGGACACTCGATGGGAGCAAAGGCAGTCATGACCATGGCTCTGAGGAACCCAGACTGCTGCGCCAACATCATACCCGTGGACAATGCACCAGTCGATGCGGCCTTGTCGAGCGACTTCTCAAAGTACGCAGAAGGCATGCAGCATGTCGAGAGGTCGCAGCCTAAGAGTCAAAGAGAGGCCGATAAGCTTATGGAGCCTTACGCAAAGGACCTTCCAGTTCGCCAGTTCCTCTTGACTAACCTCATGAGAGGCGAACCGGGCGCACCCCTCAAGTTTCGCATACCTGTGAGCATTCTCACCAAGGCGCTCGACAATATGGCAGACTTCCCCTTCACCAACCCGGACGAGACGTCGTTCAGCAAGAGAGCGCTCTTCATTCGAGGCACCAAGAGCCACTATGTTAGCGACGAGACGCTTCCGATCATCGGTCGTTTCTTCCCAAGGTTTGAGTTGGTCGACATAGATTGCGGACACTGGGTCATTAGTGAGAAGCCTGAGGAGTTCATCAAAGGTATGCAGGCATATACTTTTCCTATCACGAACTCTGCTAACACCTCACAGCGGTTGTGGAGTTCTTGCAGGAGAAGGAATAGATACCCAAGCAGGATACAACAAAGGAAATATCATTTGCCATTGATCAAAAGACTAGCAAGGCGAATCGTGTTCCTCTATGTTGAGCAGTACAACACCCAGTACAAGAGAATAAGGGGGCGTGGTTTCGGAAACAAATTTCAATTATTAATGAGCGACAGGCACACCTACAGCTAACTTATATAGCACCACGCATCCCTCTGCGAACCTCTCTCGCCCTGCATTGCGCACCCTCTCACGATTTCCTCACGATCCACCGCCCGCCTGGTATTGCGTCTATAGAAAGCTATACGAAGTCACCTTGCCAGCAAAGCACTTAGTCTCTCCGGGAAGAACGTCAATGTAATTTCCAGGTCCAAAGCCATTGCAGACTGGGTTAACGAAGAAGCGGGCTGTTCCCCACATTAGCTTGCTGCCTAATCTCCACAAGAACGCTGTTACATACCTGTTCTAGTGAATCCGTTTGATTGTACCCTGAAGCTACCATACGGTGCTGTGTACTCATTGCTGAGACACTTGTCACCTTGGAAGAAGACAGTGTCCTCTAGCCATGGCTCTTCGCAGCCGGAACCCGCGTAGAAACGGATTATGCCGATGCCGGGTGACTGGCGCTCTACAATGGTGGAGGGGTTGGGGAGAGCATTTGCGCTCGTGGCCGCAAGGGCGGCAATAAGACCGAGGATGTTTGTGAGCTGCATCGTGAATGCTGGTCGAGGATGAGATTTTCAAGAGATCGATGCGGGACTGGAGTGGTGAAGAGGGAAGATGAGGAGACATGTGAGGTATTGAGTCTGCTCTTTATACATCTTTGGTGCTGGTTTAAAGTCGAACACAGTTTCTGGGCACTACGTTAGTGGTATAGTATCTGGTAAGACCTAGGTCAACTCCAGCTCTCCGTCAGTCGGCCCACTCCGCCACCAACTATCAGCATTGAGGTCATACACTTCCAAGCCGCTTCTTAGAGTCTTGTGAGGTCTATTGACAACCCACGAGCCTCGAGTCTATGCCTCGCTAAGTGAAGGGTGGGTCGGGACATGCAGGTATCCCACGACGTAGAACGAGATGCGATCTAGCATCCACATGCAGTGTCTTGTACGCGACAATGGTATTAGGTGGATCACTCGTATTCCAAGACCAATGCTTTCTACCAACGAAACCTTGGTTCTTGCGCTTATGTTGGTGGATGATGGAAGGAAGGGTCATTCGCACATATGACGGAAGACTGACTCGCGGTTACCTTGGCCTACAGCACTCGCACTTCTACCCCAGTCTCCATATGCTGGTTTTCAATCGCCCGAACTGGTTATGAAAACTTCAGCCTGGAAATGATACCTCCATGCAGCATCCATCTGGCTTCATTTGGTACATGAGTTACATAGACATCATCACCACAACCACTCTTGATTCTACGCAGCACTTGCGTGCATCTGTCATACACCTGGCTATGTATAAGCTGACATGGATAAATCTGAGCTCATTGGTATACAGACCTACCTGTGCACGTGGCTGCTCACCGGAATTACAGCCAGTGAACCAACTCAGTTCCTATCGCCGCATCTACACCAACAATGGTCATCGTCCCAACAAACCCCACGATGGAAGGATTACTGAACCAGTGCCAACAGTAGAAAGACTTTCGCTACCAGAACGTGGCAACGACAATGTGGGTGAACATCGAGCTGAAAACGCGGGCCGCAGTCGCTTAAGCAAGATGCATGCATGTCCACGGCCCATCGCGCTGACACCGCGTGGGATGTATAGTTTCCGCGACCTTCCGCTCCTAGTCTAGATCAAGCTGTGATTTGTCGGAGTCAAGACTGGTGAGCATACAGGTTGCAGGAGGCTTATTGAGCTCGCTTTCTGGACCTTGCGATTGGAAAGCAGCGTCGGCCCGATACTCGATTAAAAGATAACCATCAGAGGATGTCGACACATAGATGCAGAGTATGTGTACAGTGGCACGTATACCTTATGATTGGACTAGTGGGTTCGCATGCGAAAAGGTGTGCGTGGTGAACACGACTATGGTACATTCGAGTGGAGATCGAAATTTCTCGTTCTTCATACAATTCCAACACCCTCGACTCTGCCCACATCACTCGATGACCTTGTATCTTGATAATATCTCGCTCTTTCATTGCTTCTCCCTTCTCCTGAACCTTCACCTATTCTCCTCATTTCTGTAGGTTCATCCGGACCAGAAACAGCACTGAAGCTTGGTGTTCTAGAGTTTACAGCAGGGCTGCCTTGGAACTTCGGATCATGCATAGCTTGCACGTAATCCTGCACTTTCTTTCCTGGCATGGCACCGTCGCGGACGTATGATGTTAAGCCAAGAATGACGCAGACAAGGGCGAATGCATTAGCGAGAGCATAAGGGACGAATAAGCCATAGGCCTTATAGTTGTAGCGGTTTACGTCGGTGGTAAGCTTAACGGTCGTGTTTGTCATGTCCCTAGACGAATCAGTATCTGCACTGCTTGGAGAATGGCGTTCTACTTACGTTAGTAGGCGGTTGTGCATCATGCTGACTGTCAGATTGGAGCTCAACTCTTCTATCAGGATATCTAGCGTCCGATTTCTCGCCATGGCTTTGTCCTTCAGTCGCTGGTCACTCAAATCGAATGCTGTCGACATGTTTTGATCTTTGTACAATTCTTTCTCTTCGTCAAACTCGAAGTATGCATCAAAGTCCACGGAACCCAGCAAACTGGTGTGCTGAATGGGCGAATCGATGATACCAAACTGAGCTGTTGCTTGTTGCTCATCTTTAATACTCGTATCATCCATCCATGCAAGCTTCCCAACAAGTTGATCGCACACAGTCCACATGAATGCTGTATATGCGTGTTGGGTCATGTTTGATATCTCGTTCGGCTTCTCATTCGGGAAAGGAATCGTTTCGCCGACTTCGTATTCGACTGATACATTCTGGAGGCCATGATATTGCGAGATTTCCAGATTGTAGGATGCGTTGTGCGGGCGACAGATCTGATAATGACGTGTCTTGACTCGCTCGCCCTGGCCGTTGATTTCAGGTCGCAGAAATGTCATCCAGAGTTCGTTCATCGGTGTTGAAGGTATCTGTCGACGAGGATGCGACACTGCTGTAAGACTCCCAGTGCTGTTGTAGGTAGGAACGAAGCTGAAATATGCACTAGCCGTTTCATTTAGTGTACCATGTATGGCATTCATCTCCTCTTTCAAAAGACCGTCTATGGCATATCTTTCCGTATCGTTGGCATCCCCACACTTGATGACAGGAGCGTAGAAGTTGATGGAATAGGCTGAATTGTTGAAAGGCAGATCTAGTGGTAGTATCTCGCCGAGAGACGACGTGGCAGTAGCCAACAGATTCATGACGGTCCTCGGTCCAGTGAAGATTCGATTCACATCGTTTTCGTATTGTTTTGTTCCGCGTATAGAAGGTGGCGAATAGGTAAACAAATGCGCTGCGCTTACATTTGCGATGGAGGGGTGCGGCATAGCTGCATTGATGTGTTCAACTTGGGTGCTTTCGAATATGTACAAAGTCGCAGGCGTAAAGAATGGCGGTATCAATAGACCCCTGGATACATGTTAGAGGAAGCTCAGCAGGTAGAGCGAGCTACTTACCATGCGAGGAAAGCGATTGTTGACCCTACCTTTAGCCTCTTCCACATTTCGAAGTTGAGAAAAGACAATACCGATGTTTCAGCTCCAAAAGCCGAATTTAGGACTTCGAAAGTCATGTCCTTCTTCATGAGGGTCCTCCAAAGCCACTGAGTGCACGCAGTCCACACGCTTGCCCCCAGGCATATCTGAGCGAGGAAGGCAAAGCCAGTGCCAAATCTGATGCCATCAGCTAACTGCAGGACATTTGTGATAACACTATACTACCTTATTTTCTCCTCTTGCTGGTCGGATTTGCCAACTACCTGGTCTTTGAGTTTCGGGTAAAAGATGCAATGCGCCATGCTCATTGCTAAGCCAACAAGGAAAAACAGAACCATGAGAAGTGGAGTTTTCCATGTATGAATGCGACGCGCTTCCCAATTAGAAAATCTCCGTGGACCATGATGTTCTGCTACTGATCTGGTTGCTGGCGATGACAGCGGGTTTGGGATTAGACGCGCATTGGATCGCGTGGAAAGATTATCATCGTGGACCTCTGGCCTCTCCATCAAACTGGCTTCAACTTGTCTAGGGCTCTCCATGATAATGTTGTATCAAACTGTTCCTCCGACCCAGGCAGACACACTGAACTGATCGTTGTCAAGAATCACGTAAAATCTCGATCTTAGCCTGCTACCTCCAGTCACAGGGAGAGTGTCGCATGGAATCAAAATAAAGCAAAAGCAGAGTGTATGATATGGTCGAGTGGCGGCTGTCCCTCTGCCAAATATTAAACATTGTTGGGGAGTCTCCCCACCATGGGAACACCGGTGAGGGCTGCCGTGTGCAAACAAAGTAGGAGCGAGGCTGAGTCGAAAGAGTAAGACGATGACACCCTTGTGAGTAGATGCCTGCTTGCATGTGCCTAGCCTCAGGACATAGCAATAGAGTTAGCTGCAGGAACACCGACCTGGCGTTCGTGAAAGTTCGGAAGTCATATCGAGATACGATCATTGCAACGGTGCTAAGAGGCTGTGGTTCTAGTGACGATGCTTATCTGGGTCGGCTTCCACGGTAAGGTGCAGTAAATGTGAGAACCTCATGCCGACTTTATCTAGCAGGTAAACATAGGATCGAATTCCATCGGCACAGTCTTGAGCAGTATCGTGCCATATTCGTGGGGAGTTCGTGCCTGTCAACCATCGAGGCCTAACGGCGAGGGGTACCTGCAGCAAGGGTTAGCGATGACGCTCAGCCACCCTCAGGTGAGGGAAGAGAGCAGCTCCTACACCAATTTGGGGCACAAAATATATTGCGACGGGGCGAAGTACCGAAGACCACTAAGATGGTCTCGTGTCACAGTGAGCGTCCAATTATCAAGCTTCCCGATGCAACGTGAGACTTCTTAGTGATGTTGATTGGACGGAGAGAATATGAGACACGAGATGACCCGTCTTCGATGCGATAGATGATTGTTGTTGGTAAGTAATGGTCATACGCTCGGCTCTACTGTGTAGTGTTCTCTCGCGCGACAAAGGGCCGAAGTGGTTCCTTTGGGGGCCGGTAGAGGCACGGTTCGTGTTCTACAGTCCGTGCGTATGTAGCCCCCTACAGTTTGCTCATCCGCTCACTTTCAAAACACAGTGTTCACGTTTATCAAATATTTTTCTTGAGACAGATGTTGAATTGTCTATTCTAGAGCTCTCTACTGTTTAAAAGAGTGTCTTAGCTTCTCATAGCCCTTGCCATGACAATGAGAATGCCAACGTGTATTCTATAGTTCTGACCTCATCACGACCGCTGGAATTGAACCGAGCTCTCAAGAGACTCTCAAATCAGCCTTCATTCAGGCTTAGGAGCCTTTCCGATGTCAGGGTAAGTGGCAGCTTGACCGTCAACAAGCTCTAAATACCACCATGCTCCAGTTGCCCCGTTCCCGCCATTCCATATTTCACACTTGGTGTTATCCGCAGTCTGGTAAGAGCTTGTGAGAAGCTTCATATCTTTGTTACCCTAGAGAGAGATTAGAAATACATGTCATGCATTACTTCTAGTAGTAGCGTATTCGAGCTTACCGCTGACAGAATCCTAAAATGCTTGTTAATATACTAAGACAAAGGCGCTTTGGAGTATGCGTAGGAGCGAAACGCAGTTTGAACTGACCAGTAGGTGCCCGTGCCATTTCTGGTTGGTACGACATTCCAGTGAGTACGTTGTAATGCGGGCGAGTCGCGAGTTACAGTCGTTGGTCCCGCCTTGCAGTTGTCTACAACAATGTTAGGACAAGTCCTAGCGACTGCTTCTACTTTGTAAGAATCTGACTTACCGGGAGCTGTCAGGTGGAGTCCTGTTTCGACGTTGATGATCATGAACCAGAGATGTCAACAATCAAGCCAATCAAGCTGAGCTAGCCTTATATAGTAGGTGGCTAGCTTTAATCGGTTAGTAGCTTACCATATGAGGCTAGCTCAGCTTGATTGGCTTGATTGTTGACATCTCTGTCATGAACTCATCCTTCCCAGACGTTCCAGAGCCCACGTGAACAAATTGCCAGTGACTGAACTTATCATTGGCAGAGCTTTTGGGATATCATGTTAGCTGTGGCAACTATCCAAGAAGGGGGTTAAAGTGGCATAACGTACTGTAAAATGACATTGGCCTTCTCAGCTTTGTCGCCGCTCTTCAGTTGTACTGCCGCTTTGCGAACATTGTGGTTCTCAATACGATAGATGCTTGGTCCGACCCAGGAAGACATGATAGTAGCTAGGTAGTATGTTGTGATGTTGAAGATAGAAAGGTATATGTATGACAAGTTTATCAAACTCGATGCATTCGAGTGAAGCTTTATAGCTCTTGTAAACGTTTCGCATCCGTCGCGCACGCACAAGATACAACCCTACCTGCTAAGGGTATGTACCATTACGTACGTCTACTTCGCTGAGGTAGGATATAGACTGCCCATTGCACTCTTTGCGCTTAGCTCTCGCGATATCTTCTTGCATGTGCATGGTCCGTAAGTCTGTTAGCACAAAAAGCATCGAAAGGCTCATTTTTGCGAGAAATGCAATAACGATCTTAGGAGAATTTTTACACTTAGGGTGACTAAGTCAAGCAGAAAGTGTAGAGATGGAGCGCTCTACGATCGATGTTTTAATCATGATGTTCCTTCCAAACAAGCCAGGGATTCAACACAAAGCAGTGGAGGAAATGCTGGAAGGTGGAAGTGAGGATACGGAACTGACGGCTAGCCACATGATGTACGCATGAGAAGAACATACATATTCGACGTATCCAACGATATCTGCTCCACATGAACAGCTGATGAAGCTGTATACGAGCAAAAGACCGCTCAGTAGACTGCATAAATGACCTATGCCTGGCTTCAGTCACCCGAAAGACGTATCAAGGTGGATTACAGCAACCATCATGCGTGTAACATGTATACATACAGCCTTAACGATCTGTAAGTAGTTTTTGATCGACATAATAGAGCAGCAGGCAACTGCTTAGCTTTAGACCTAGCTCGAGAAATGTGTATGGACTTTGGAAAAGCAAAAAGACCCTAACCCGAACTGGACATCCACATTGACATAATGGACAGAATATCGTTATGTACCGTCCAGCTTTGGCACAATCGCACTTATCATGGATGAAAATGTTTCGTAGGACCTTGGAAGAGCTACTAGAAGTGGAAGAAATTCGACGTTCGTCCTTTGGTATAAAGATGCGTAAGCTGTCCGGTACGCTGTACATGCACAACCACCTGCATAGTACTCGTACTCAGTACTGGATGTAGACAATGGGCATCGTCTGGGCAACATGCAACAAGGCACAGATCTCCGTGCAGGTATGAGTCCACAAATCTTTCATCGTATCTGCACATAGAGTCTCCACTGTACTGTGAGCAAACTTATGCAGGTTGAAGGTGTGTGGAGTGCGGGGCGGGGTTACCCGCGCTCCCGATGTATTATATCCCTGCATGAATGCCCCACCTGTATACAATACTCCGATCTCTAATACGTTTTTAACTTGTTAGTATGAACTGGATGTAGCCACAGTGATAGCGATAGACACAGAGTTGGTACGATCAAAAAGCTGGCAACGGCTTGGCCTGCAGCATGCTTTCCACTCTTACAAGTCGCTACGAGCCGATGATTGGGGGCTTATAGAAATCGGCAACTATAGCTATGTACGTTGTTTGGTGTAATACAAGACGTTGCGTAAGAGAAAGAACAATGAGTACAGGCGGTGAGAGGATACAGGTAAGCCCCGTGCGGACTGTAACCCCAGCAAAGAGGGGTGCAGGCTCTATAACTGTTGGACCTGACAACGCCAGACACATGCGCTAAACACCTGCTTGCATCGACACTACGATTCTGTCAGACGATCTGTAGCGTCTTGAAAAGCATCCCGCGATGAAGACGAGCATCCCGCGAAACTATTGGTGTGTACGATCGGAGAGCTTCTCAGCGAGGCTGCCGGTTGGGGTAGGCACGACGCCGCACACGTAAAAGCGGTCTCGCATGAGACGCCTCTGATCTTGGAATCCGAAAGATAGTATGGAAAGTTTTAAGCTACGCTTAAATTGAGACCCATGTATAGCTACAACAGACGGATATGCAATTTTGGATATTGGAGTATCATCTCTGTTGTTTTGCGGATCGGGTAGGCAGTGCCAACTTCGCTGTCCAGCCCGCGCATTGATCGGTGAGTGGAATGAGTCTCGATATGCAGACCATAGTCGTTTTACTGGTAACGGATGCTGCCAGCATCCCCCATCGTGCGAATCATCGCAGTGTGCCGGTCGTGTCCCACAACGCTGCTTATGTGCATAACGTCGAGCTGTAGTTTACTAAGACCCGTGATTTACGAGTGGTTCTTCTCCTTATTCCTCTTCCTCCAAATACTGCTTCAGCCGGCGGCGTGCTGTTACAAACATCCGAGCAATAGCTTTACCAAAAGATTCCTATCGACTGGTTTGGCAATGTATCCCGTCATGCCTTTAGCAATGTATGATTCAGCCTGTCCCTTGAGCGCATTTGCTGTCATAGCTATGATTGGCACTTGTAGCCCTTTCGCTCGAATGTCTTTGGTAGCGCTGAGACCATCTTGGATAGGCATGTTGACGTCCATCAAAATCAGGTCGTATCCTGGTCCTTCTATAGCTTTAGTGACTGCTTCTTTACCATCCGGTGCCGTATCTACATTCTCAAACCCCAGACCTGCGAGCATCCGTGTCATGACCTTCCGATTGATAACATTGTCTTCCGCAAGTAAAAGACGTTTGTCGGCAGCCACCGTCCTCAGTGTTTCCATGGGGTCGACCACTGCGGGTGATGGGATCTTTAATCCGGCCATACCTTCTTGGAGAACTTCGAGAGCCTTTAGCTGTTTACATTTCTTAAGCTTGGCAGTGAACCAGAACACACTGCCAGGACCTTCGGGATTAGGATGAAAGCCAATGTTCCCGCCCATGAGTTCTGCCAAAGATTTGCAGATACTCAGACCTAGTCCTGTGCCTTTGTATCTCTTAGTGGCGGAGTTGTCAATTTGCGTGAACGGGGTGAATAAAGATTGTGAACCGCTTGCTGGTACACCAATACCAGAGTCTATCACTTCGGTCAGGATAGTGGCATAGTCCTCGTCTTCGTTTTGCAAGCGAGCTACAATGCGTACGTAGCCTTTCTCGGTAAATTTGGTTGCATTCGACAAAAGGTTCTGGATTATTTGTCGATAACGCAAAGAGTCTCCTTCGGCGGAGCTTGGTAGGTTGTCGTCCAATTCGATCTCCAATTCGACGTCAGGGCTGTGACAGGTCTGATGTGCTCGAAACACGGATTGAATAACATCTTTCACGCTTATAATGTCGTTGCTGATGGAGAAGCTACCCGAAGCGAGCTTGCTGAAATCCAAAAAGTCGTCGATCAATTGTAAAAGCACGTCACCCGACTCTTGGATGATCCGTGTGAGCTCTAGTTGATTGTTGTCCAGCTTTGTATCAAGAAGCAACGTCAATGCAGACAGCATACCGTGCATGGGTGTGCGGATTTCATGACTCATGTTGGCCAAGAATTCAGATTTGAGCTTTGATGCTTCTTCATAGGCGGCAATAAGACTGTTCTCTGCTTTTCTTCTCTCCGTCAGGTCCCTTGTGACCTTGGAGAACCCGAGCAAAACGTTGTCCTTGTATACTGGGGTGATGACCACGTTTGCCCAAAACTTTGAGCCATCCTTGCGAAGACGCCAGCCTTCATCTTCACATCGTCCGTCGCGGAGGGCATCTCGTAGTTCTCTTGATGGTTTATCGTTGTCGCGGTCTTCCTGGGAATAGAAGGTTGAGAAGTGTCTGCCAATGATTTCGGAAGGTGTATATCCCTTGAAGCCCTGGGCTCCTGCATTCCATGTTGCCACATGGCCAGTCGGGTCTAGCATGAAAATGGCGTAGTCCTTGATAGTGGCTACCAACAACTGAAATGTCTCATTGTGATAGGAGCGTTCTCTGAGCTCAAGCTGCCGCTTGTGCTCCTCCGTGATGTCGAGAAACTCCATTTGAATGCAACGTAGTGTTCCTTGACGCAAAATTGGGACCGCTCGTAAGTTCCAGGCACTACCCGTGTTTGTCACAACCGTTGTCTGCTGGAGCTTGCCAGTTCGACATGCGGTCCTCACAAGTTCACGAGCTGGAGCGAATGCTGGAATGGTAGAGTTGAGGTCCAAAATGTCGTCCGCATGTCTGCCGACAAGCTTGACGCGATCGTTTGTTTCTGAAACGGTCACATAACTTAGATATGTTAGTAAGTCACCAAACTTTCCGACATCGCTTATCTTAGGCTGTACTAACGAATCTGAGACATGGCGCACGAAGAGCGATGCATCTAGAATGACAGTCGGCGTTGGTGTGAACCTGATCAAGTCGTATGCAAGGCTGCCGGCAGTGTAGTCGTCGTGCGTTCTCAGGGACGGGAGATCGTCAAGCGCGGCAGGTGACAGCGGTGTTGGCAGCACTCTCATGGACGCGGCCATCACTCCGAGCCAGGTGAGCTAGACTGCACTAGGTTAACAGTGGAGACGTATGGTGTGTTCAAGAGAAATCGTACGAGTTTTGCATGGCGAGGAATTGAACGGCCGGGGTCAGACCAGGCTTTTGTGGCTCACGACTCTCTTACTATGCAATTCGTGTGACCTCCGCGGTAGCGGCAGACGAATCTAGAATCAGCGACAGTGTGACGTCACATTCAGCTCTCGCCCGATAGCTACCCATGCGTTTCCCACCTCGTAAAAACACTGGCAATGCGCGGGAAAGCCCAATTTGTTGTGATGCATGCTTTCGCCACATCTACACAATTCGATTGGCTGCATCAAAGCCATGCGCCCACTCGAACACCTGTTACTTGGTAAGCCCCACTCTTCTGGACGCTACGGCGCTGTTTCCCCTGCATTGGGCTGTGATCCAGAACTTCCATCGACAACAACATTCACTCATCCGAAAAACCATCACCAGCGACGGCATACAATAGTACAAAAGAAGCGATCATTCCAAGATGCATGCGGGGCTTACTTTGTTGGTACTCGAGCAGTACCTACATCCCTCCGACATTGGTGCATTGCAAGAAGCATGCTGGTCTAAGACTATTAGAGATAATAGTGGCCAACGTATGGGTACTGTAGCCTGGCTGGTAAGGCAAACAACATTTGGAGCATACTTTCCAGAATGTTGCCGAACGATTAGTAGTTTTCGGCGAACGCGAAAGAGCTAGACCACTTCAGATGACCCCCGGAAACCGCACCCGAAGCACACTGTCAAAACTCCCGCTAGAGGACCTTCAGGTCTCGCACAAATACCAGAAACGACGTAGGTTTTCTATAATCAGACGGGAGGTATACCGGATATCGAGGATATAAGCTTCTATGTTCATTTGACACATTGAAGCGAAACTTGGATGCGATGAACCATAAACGCCGCGATCTATCCTTCCTTACACATGTTATATTTTGTGTTCTTCTGGAGCTATTCCAATAGTTCCTTGAGCTAATTCTAACGAGAGCTTATCACTATAATATAGATGTAAAGCTTATTGTTAAATCGTCAAACATGGTATAAGAGAGGTCGTATCTACTGCTCTCTTTGCACCCACAATCACCAACGCTTTCAACACGACATCCTGTCACAATACAAAGCTCTTAACGCCACCTTAAGAGACCTAAAAAGGTAACTGGACGCCTACAGATATGTGAGGTAATTAAGTTGCGAAGATGAAGCTGCAATGTAATTTTGTACCTAGGTACTTTCTTCGTCCTATCTTGTTTGGGATACTAAAGTTTTGTATCAAAGATTCGTTTGACAAGATACGCCGGTACACAATACATGGAAGAGTCGTCCTCTCATCCTGTCATGGCTGATCAGCTGGAGACCACTACTTCCTGTGCGGTTTTGTTCGGTGACCGCTGCAGCTGTAATAGCGGAGTTGATCACAAGTGGTATACTTGTGCTGAGCGGCTATATCGCGGACTTACTAAATCGACAACTTACCGCCCATAGTCCGCCCAACTGACCCTTACCGATAGTATATGTTTATATATATATATACATATTTCTTTTCGCGACTACGTTCACCCCCACTCACCTACTTTCACCTTCACACTGCAAACCTGAGAATAGCCAAGACACTTATTGCATAAAGTCTTACTCCAACCCTTTGCTATATCTCCATGGACAGGCGCAACCATTCACAGTCCCCGGCACAAGCACGTAAACGCTATGCTTCGGCAACACCAATCTCTAGTTTCACAAGTTCGCAAGACACTATTGCAAGTGACTCTAAAAGTGATACGGAAGAAAAGGCTTCAACTCTAGGCCCCTCTGAACAACCATCAAGAATGAAATCTTCGTCTTTCGATTCTGGTTTTACTTCCTCGCAGCTCGCCAACGATACCGACAGTTCCCTCTCACCCGACCACTCTCATCAACGACGTTCAGAGCTTCTTGAGGGGGTTTCGATTCACACCCCACCAGCAGTGGCCACCTTTGCGGGCATGGTCACAAAGGGGTCTTTGACTCCCTCTATTGATCATGAGACGTCTAATAATGGCACAATGGTGCATACACCCATTGTTCAACTTCATCAACTTGGCTGACATACCTGTAGATTTTTCCATATGCCGCAAATGGTTTCCAACATCCTCCGTTTACAGCGTTAGGTAATTATGCACCAAAAGATCTCTTTCCCATTTTTGAGACCGGCGATGTCTTCATCGAGACAAAACTGGTCACTCCACCGAAACAATGGCGACTGCATAGTGAGGTACTTGCGCGATTCTCATCATGGTTCGCCAGAGCTTTATCAGGCATGGCTGCTGCCGTTGTAGGGGCAACACGGGCAGCATACACTATTGAAGAGGTTGATGGCAAAATCTTGTTAACACAAAAGGAAGCCACTAGAGAGTGGTCAATTATCCGAGACAACAAATCTGATGTACTCAGCGATATTGCGATCAAAATTGAGAACGAAGACTCAGATTCCATGGCTGCTCCATGGATCACTCCAGATCGAACGACCATTATTTATATATACAATCAGGTCTTCAGCGCGTTCTATAACGTTGCGATAAACATCCCAACCACCAACATTGCGGCCTCAATCAACCACTCAGAGCAACTCACCAAGATTGCCGATGATTTAGGCTGTCTAGAGAAACTCCCGAACTTAACTTCCCAGATGAACGCAACGCTCTTCCAGCACCGTCATACACTCTTCCGTGCAATCAAAAATGATCCCGCACGATGGCTTCTTCTATCTCTCTCACTGAAAAACGAATCTATCTACAAAGAGTCCCTGATCCACATGTGTGGTGCCCACCCCTGCTGGCCCTGGCCTACACCGCGCTCCAGCCTACCCGAAGGAATCCGTCACTTGATCACTATGAAAAGCTTCAAACTGGATCAACGATGCGCCGAAGTTGAGCGCGAGCTCCTTCTCTTAACGATCCACATCGGCCGCGGCACCAACAACCACGCCGTCTCCCCCTTGACAAACTCAGAATTCGATACCTGGTTCATAGTCTCGATGTTCCGCTCCATCGTTGGCCAGGAACTCAACAGCCTAGACAAAAATCGTAAGAAACCTCTCTTACGTGGTAACATGTTCCGGAAGATCAAGAAGGGAGAAGGGTACATGCCATGCGAAGATGTGAGACGCATGATGGAACAGGTTATGCCGTCTGCGGTGCAGAATTTGAGTGAGGATCTGGCGATGCTGAAGAGGGAGGCGAGTATCTATGTGGAGGACTTGGCGCGAAATGAGTGTTTGCTTGATGTCGAGGCGCAGAAGGTGGGGTGGCTGACTTGTGTCAGAATCGAGAAGGAGGATATACCTTGGAGGACTGGGGGTGAGTATCATTGCCGCTGAGCAAGCTGAATGGAGTTGAAACCTGGATGTTACCTCTGCGTATAAGAGTGCCACCTGGGGCGGTTGGAGCACGCTGGGGGTTGTGAGCATGGCGAGGTGGAAAAGAACCTGCTGTCCTCCCAGTTATACGCTCGTGCTGAAAAGGTGCCCTGAAGGTATGCACCTACGATACGACACGAGTATTCTAACAGGCGATACGACGAATACCTTTAGGGAACACTGAGACTCAGCAGAAGCGAGCTGCTTCGTGCGGATTCTCGGGGCTTGTATCCTTGCTCATAGTTCACCTCATATGCCTTGATGTAAGAGGATAAAAACTGCTTTTCGAGATGTTTAAATAGGGGTATCGTTCTTAGGCCAATAGAAAATCTCCAGTCAACTCATCATCTGCGTGACGTCCCTCCAAACCCAGTGCTCTCATGCCTAGGGCTGGAGAAACTATCACCAGATGAACTTCTTGAGCTTCCTTCACCACCATTGTTCCAGCGACTGCCGCTACCGCTTCCAGCGCCCCAGCCACCAGTCTGGTTGTTCCTGTTCCCTCTGTTGCCGAACTGACCAGCAGCCCATCCGGCGGCAGCACCGCCTGCAGCACCAGACCAGAAGCCAGGCCTCCAGCCCTGTGTCGCGCCGTAGCCTGCTTTGGGGTTGCTAGGATTGTTCGGGTTGTTCGGGTAATACGGTGGAGGTGGGTCGTCGTTATCATCGTTGTAACCTCCTCCCCATCCACCACCGCCGCCTCCCCAGCCAGGTCTATTGCCGCCTGCTACGCCGCCATCGGGACCTTGCGCGCGGTTTCTCAACGCAGAGTATATCATCCATAGTACAACACCACCGAATAGCATCCAGAACAGTCCACCAGCAATCTTCTCGCCCATGGTCTTGGGCCCATCACGTCGGTCTTCGTCGTCGTCACCATGCCATCCTCCTCTTCCCTTTCCATATTTCTCCTGCCCCTTCTCCGTGAGTATGAGGCGATACTCGACACCACAGCTGCCTTTCAGGATATAGGGGTCTTCGGGGTAATCGTAGCCTTCGCAGATGACGTCGGTAGAGCCAAGTTTGAACTCTTCGGGAAGCGAGGCGGTGCATGTCCATTGTATCGAGTTTTCGTCGTAGTCGGAACCGCTGTTCTTGCAGCGCATCACATCGGGTTCATAGAGGCCGCGTGCCGAACCGCCAATGCATTTCAGCTAGAACGTGTTAATAGGCTGCATTGAGGGGCACAGTAAGATGCGCGGGATGAAGTCGTACCTGCGGTATTGGATCAACGCGTCGCGCAGAAGTCTTTTGGTCTTTGCGCAGCGTGAGACTCTGTATATTCGCGAGCTTGACTTTGTCAGAGCGGAGGGCTTCAGCGCCACTCACTGCCAGCAGCGCTGGGTAGAGAAAGTTGACGAGATGCATGTTGCGCACGATAGGTCAGAAGATCGTCAACAGAGACAACTAAGGCACTTGAAGTAGTCCCCAAGTGGCGAAAGCATGTGAAAGAACACGGTGGAGATGTCTCTGTGCCTTGAGGCTGAGTTCTAGAAGCTGGCGGCGCCAGTGAATGCCAATGACGCAGCGCCGAGGCACCACCAGAGATGGACAGACGCGCTAACGCGGTTTTGGACTAGAGTGGTTCACTCACATGCCGTCGCGAGCATCACGCGTAGAGCAACATCGAAACCCTCACTCCAACAATCATGAAACAACGAATAACATACGTTGTCAAGAACCCAGAAGAGTTCACTCCTGAGCAAATCAAGGTCGATAAAGACTTAAGAGGCCCGTGGTTCGCTTTGACAGATGTCGATGCTGCGAAGGAACACCGTATCACACTCGGTCTAGATGAGCTGCCTAATGAGGTGTGTACCATTGCACCAGCATTCGTATCCGCAACTCAACAACAGCTTGATTAACAGTATACAGATAAGCAAGCTCTTCCAACAATGGCACGAACTACATATACGCTGGACATCCTCAAGACCTTACAAGTCCACACCACCATTCACATCACGTATCTCGCCAGGTCTACATGTCTTCTTCACGCCTCTATCAGATACGTCTGAGGATGCACTATGCTCCGTTATCCGCTTCCTTGTCCCTCCATGGGCGAATTTGGATCCTAAATGTGCATCGACATCCACTAGTTCCACTAAAATGCCCATCCTCTCGGAACGATTCTCAATGTCGACTACCTCGCAGTACTACAGCTATATAGGCAGCATCAATCAGATGAAGCATGAATTCTGGGAAATTATTTGCAACCCTAAAGTTTTTGAGATAGGTGATCGTTGTCGGGAGGCGGTCACTGACTTCTTCGAGTCAGACTATATTGACATCGACTACGATACTATTTCGAGAAGCGTAGTCCTGACAGCTGAACGGGCACAGGCTACAGAAGGAGACAACCCCTGGGTAGAAACGATCGACCTGCCAACGAAAGATGCAACGGTGGAAATCGGAGTGTTGACTCTGGAGGGAAACGCAGATCCCGAAGATATCCAATTTGGGGGCTTCTTGACAGTGCTAGGACAAGACGAGAAACCGAGTACGCCTTTCCATCTTGCTACATTATCTCCACAGCGTAACAACGAAACACTGACAACAAACAGAACCCACACGGTTCCAAACCCCAACCCGCCACTACCCCCTTCTCCAGGCCTCGGAGAATCCAACAGCACAACCCAAACTCCACCCCCTAACATACAGCACCTCTTTCAATCAACCAACAGGCCTCCATCCAACACTAACCCTCACATTCCCTGCGCAAGATCTCACGCCCCCCGACCGCTCCTGTAAACTCCACACGCACCTAACCCTCCCTTCCTACCTCTTCATCGACAAATACCAATTCTCCGACAACCTTTTCCTCAAGAGCAAGAACCTCAAGCGCCTCCGCAGTCTATCCGGCGCTACAGACCTCGAAGCTCCAGATTGGGCTGTGCCAGCTTGGGGTTCCGCCGCGCTCTTCGAACTTGGCGTACCCAAACCAGAAAAGATTGACTATCCTAAAGTGGATCTTGGTGCTGGAGGCGAAAACGCATGGGAAGGCTTACCGACGCACCGTGAGATATCAGAGGGGGACTGGAATGTCAGTATACCGTTACATCTACGGTACATGCCTGCTGAGGCGTCGTCGCATGCTAGACTGCCGGTTCCGTGGCCGGTAGTGTTCTGGGCTTGTCGGGCTGAGAGCGGCGCGCAGCATACGTCTAATCCTTTTGATCGCAAGCATCTGGGGTATGAGGGTCTGTTTGGGCCGAAGACTAGGTTCATGCATGTGCAGCCTGAGGTAAGGAATCAGACGGCCGAGGGTGATGGGTTGGTGGAGTGGATCGATGTGCCAGTGCTTGATACGAGCAAGGCTGGGTGGGTCGAAGTGGGCACTGTGGGAGTGGTCTTGTTTGCCTTTGCGGGGTTGTGTTGGGTGTTGTTTGGGAAGAGTGGAAAGGGGGCTGTGAAGGAGGAGAAGAAGAAGCAGTAAATAGACTCAATTATCACGACGTATTGGGAAAGCTTCAAGGTATTCAGATCTCTATCGATCTTTGGCTGACATTCAGCGGGTTCAATTGGGTATCTCTCATGTGTTGCGCCCCCACATGCTTCTACACTTTTCTTCATATGTATCTCCTGGCACTGTTGTACAGTCGTGCAATGCAGTATTCTGCTAATCTCGCCCTGCTTCCCTGCCGCTAAAGCCTAAACTATCGTGATCGGCGCACTCACAGGCATGCTCGACATGATCGGTAGCGGTGTGCCAGGGAAGATGGGATGAAGCGCATATACTGGTCCTGCACTATCCTCGCCATCAAAAAGCATGAGGTTCTGAATGGGCTGTTCCCGTTGTCCAAGTACGTTGATGACGTCTTGTGCTAGCTGACCACCCAAGAAAGCTGTAACGGGTGCCAATTCGCTGCCCAAGTTCTGCAGGAAGCTACGAAGGACTTCGGCTTTGAGGGAGTCGGTGGGGAGGAGGAGCTCCTTGTGTTTGATATTGGCAAGGGTCGTGAAGATTTGTAGATCAGTCGGCGTATGCGAAGGGTAGACGCCGTGGCCGTTGCGCTGGTACTCCCATAACGCGCGTACGCAAGTGAGTAGCGGATGAACCTTCTTCAGTCTCCTGGCATTGTTCGCGATCTCTGCTGGGAGCGGACTGTCCTTGACCAGCATCAAAGGACTGTAGAGCTCCTGCTTGCTGACTAGCTCAACTACCTTTCCGTTCTCCTTCTTGATCTGGACGCCCTTGACGCTCCTTGTTGTGCTCTCAGCGCCAACCTGGGTGTCGCGGTTGCTCTTCTCGCGCTCAATGACAAAGTTATGCTCCACCAGGTCGGCAAAGATGTAACCGTACATGCCGTGTGATGCGCCTGCGTAGAAGGGTTTGCGTGCTATACGCGCGCCAGCGTTGACAGCGGAGGTGGAGAGAAAGTCCATGTCGGTGCATATGATGATGTCGTATGCGGCATAGAAGTTGGGATCTTGCTCGTTGCGAATATCCGTGGTGAGAGCCTTGACGGTGACGCGCGGGTTGAGCTTCTGCACTTGAGGCAACGCTGCTTCTGCGCGGTTCTTGCCTACGTCGGCGTCGCTAATAAAGAATTGCGCGCCCAGATCATCTTCGGTCACCACTTCGTGGTCGGCGAGCGTGATGGAGCCTATGCCGGCGAGGACGAGGTTCTTGGCGATTTCGTTGGCAAGGGCTTTGATAGAGACGAGCAAGATGTTGGCGGTGCGGATCTTCTGTTGCGCTTGGACGCCCCAGAGGCGGATCTGGCGATCGTAGAGGGCGATTTCATCTAGGCGGCATGTTTAGTACTGCTGCTTGTTGTTGTTGTTGTGGTTCTCAATAGGGTCGCTCTTACCTGCGGAGATGTTGTCGGCTTCAGCAATGGCGGCTACTGTCTGCCCAGCTGCATCCTCGGTTGGCAATGCGCCTGGCAGTGCGCCATTGGTCGCGGGCGGAGGTATCGCGGAGGTTTCGGTGAGATCGGTCATGGTGTTGTAAGACGCGCAGTGGTGTGCTTTGGAGGTGAAAAGTCGCGTAGCGGAAGTGACTCGACGACTGCGCAATCAGTGCAGGTGGTAGAGCAGACCAATCCGGAGTGAGGCGCCGTCTGGCAGCAGAGGCTGAGTAAAGACGGGCTAGCGGTGACGGCATTACCTCGTAGCTTGCCCGTACCTTTGAGGCTCTGCTGTGGCCCGTGCGTGCTGCTAGCTTCGCCCCGCGTCAACTGCATGTGCCAACTACACGGGACCGACAGGCTGCCTTTGCTTGTTCGTTCCCTCAGCCTCGACAAGTGCCGTCCACGCTATCCTCTGCCCTGTCTACATAGCGTAAATTACTAGCCCCGACTCTGCTCACCACCCAAACACTGCGCCGTCTCTCGTCTCCTCAATGGGAGCGAGCATCGTCGACGTCACCGATGCCCAGACCGCCCTCGTCTCCGTCCCCACCGCCTGCGGCATTCCCATTCACCACCGGCGGTTTTGACTTCCCTCATGCTTCGACCTCTCCGCCCAATGTCTCCCGTACGGCGTCTACGAGCGCTGCGAGGAATGCGCTGCGCTCCCTAGCTGAACCGACGCCAGCCGTTTACGATGCGACGTCGTCCCCCAGAGACACTGCCAGGCGCGTGCGCACTCGCACATCTAACAGAAGAGGCCCACTCCACCGCCTGTTTGGTCCTCCACGTGACAACGATGCCGCAGATAATCTCTCTAGGCGGCCTCCCACTGCAAACCCCAACCGACCTCGCGCTACCCCAAGCGAACGTTACCTCCGCCGCTCTCAAGCCCGCACAAGAGAACAGCGCTTAGCCGACATGGACGCTACTAATGATGTCCTGGATTCGTTGAGTGGCCTGCCCATCAACGATCCCTTTGCCACATTGAACACGCACACGCGGCCCCGTAGCCCTGTAGTACACATCAACAACGAGCGCAGACATAAGCGGAGGAAGCTGGAACATGACACCAGTGCGGCTAATGAGTACATGTGCTTCAAATACGGCCACAAGGGCCAGGTCGTGCCTGGGCGTCTGCGAATGGAAATTGTGAGCTGCGACGGCGGCGAGCATCGTAGGGACAGTCCGCCTGGCCTGTACAAGGTTCAGAACGTGTTGAGGAACGACAAAAGTGTATACTGCAGCGAAAGTTCGCAGTGCAACCTTCTCCTGAAGCATATCGGGGAGGCCCCCTTTGCTCTAGAGAAGGTTGTCATTCGAGCACCGGACCGTGGATTTACGGCTCCGTACGTGTCTCCATTTCATGTTTGATCTTTGCTAACCTACCACCAGTGTGCAGGAAGGTCTCGTTTTCGTATCCATGTCTGCAGACGAACTCTTATCTGGTACCTCGGCCTACAACCTCCGCTACGATAGCTCACCACCCACTTCTCCTGCTTCCAGCTCTCTGATCGAGGCCAACGAACAAATATCGTTGAGAGAAGCTCTCGAAGATCCTTCGGTGTGGCAGTACTCGCGCCAGGGCACTCAAGAGGACATGGAGGAGCGCATCGAGAACCTTCGACTTCGCAGTGAAAGGCTGAACGCTGAATCTGAGAATTGGATATCGTCTTTGCGCTCTGATTCAGAACGGCGGCGCATCATGCGCCAAATGGTAGAGCATGAAGACGAGGCGGACGGTGACAACTGTGATCACGTACCGGACAGCACGTACAGCGGTCCCGCTGGCTTTTCCGCACCCACTCCACCACCATTCACAGTCACTACCGCTGCCAGCGAGGATGAAGACTCAGGCTCGAATGAAGAGCAACCTAGTGCTGCTATCATGGCCGACCGCATCCGAAGAAACAACCGCTGGGAGGCCGACAGCGACGATGACGATGAGATTGTTCCGCGCCTCGGCCCACTGCGCCGCGCACCCGCTCTCGACTACAGCACATACAGCGAATGGCGAGAGCGAAGAGAGCGCTATATCGAGCCTATCCGAGCCGCTCGTGTAGCTACACCTAGCCGTATCGAACCTTCCGAGCCCAACGCCGAGCCACTGATCCCTCCGCATGCCCGGTTTTTCATCGAAAAGAACAAGAACAAGATCACAATCAAGTTTCACCCTGCAATGTAAGTCTAAGCAGATGGTGCTAAAGGTCACTCGGTTACTAACGTGCCTGGCAGTTCTGGTAGGAATGTCTTGCTCAAGCTCTGGAGCCCAAAACATGATGGCAATATCGATATTGAGAGCGTCCAGTTCTACGGATACTCTGGCCCTCGTTACTTTCCGGCTGTGCAACCTCGATGAGGAGTTGCCATTCTAGACCTCTGTTTCATGCTTGTTTACTTAGGGTTTATGATGACATGGGTTACGAAGATCATACCTTCATACTCGATAAATGTATCAGAGGAGCATGATCATCTAGATCATGCTCTTTTGGTAGTGTATGTAGTTGTTGATCAGCAATGATACCCGGGATACGACTCATGAACGTATGGCGTCAATATTGAGTGTCGGTTCGGGATGACAGTTGGGTAGCGAATACAATCCATCCATCACCCCTACTATTTCTGTAGCAAACTGAGTGTGCTCGGGGGACTTCCACGCGTCGAGCTACGTTATTAGCGCAGTGATTTGTTACTACCTAAAGACTGCGAAGGCAGTGATGTGCGGGGATAAGTGTAGCGCTGATTATGCGCGAGATCCCCAACGGCGGAAAACCCGGATTCCCCCACTCAACTTCAAGTCACCTCCAACACCAGTCATTGCGGCCGCCGCATCTTAGTCACAGTAGCCACGAGATATAGTTGAGCGCCTGATGTTGCCATCTCCGGCCCCTTCGGTGTTGAGTAGTGATCTCCGAGGTTAAAGTCCGAGATGACCGTTCAGCGTGTCTTTCTCGCTCCCAATGTGGACTCTGCTTATTTCCAATTCCTGCATCAGACAACATGAACAAACCGAGAATTCAGAGAAGACAACGAGCTGTTCTTTCATGTAACGATTGTCGAAGAAGGAAGTTGAGATGCGACAGGAAACTACCTTGCGACAGATGCATCAAGGGTGGTATCGCAGAAGAATGCGCTTACGAGACAGATAACCAGACTCCTCCCTCGGACTGCTTACTTGAGCGACCCTCCAAGAGACAAAGAGAGTCTGTACCCTGTGCAGCAGCTGCCAGGACTGAAGAGGCGCCGCGGTCGTACCTTGACGTTCCGAAACTGTTCAACCCATCGGAGTTCGCCAGATCGGATATAACAGCTCAAGACCGAGTAAAGCATCTCGAACGACAAGTCGCCCTACTAGAGCAGCAGTTGTTAGTCCAGAAGAGTGTTTCGCTAGAAGCATCACGCTTCATCGGAAGAACAACTGATACCTTGTCCGGTACGACTTCTCCGAGAGGTTTTCTTAAGGGGCGTCATTATGGAAGCTTCTACTACGGACCTTCTTCACCGACATCAATAATGGCTTATGTGAGAGCATAATCAACACCGGGTTGTAGACTCCGCTGACTTGGACAGTTCCCAGAGCTTCGCGCATTCATGAAAAATGTCTACCACAACTCGACCGCTCAGCGATTAGCTCAAGATATGATGGCCGTTGGTAAAGCGACCAGCACCAACGGATCATCATATCGGATTGTAACCGTTTCGAGCTTGAGAGATCTTCTTCCTGATCGATCGATCACTGATCGGCTGGTACAAAAGTATCTCAGTACCTTTGAGACGACGTACAGGATCTTGCACATACCAACATTCCAGAATGCATACGAGCGATATTGGGACGTTGATAAGCCCGGTTCTACAGAAATGGATGCTGTCGTACTCTCAATATTAGCGTGTACGATCTGTATTTGTACCAATGGAAGCCCACAGTATAGTCGCAACGGCTCAACGCTGCACACGCAGGCGGTCTTGTGGATGAAAGCTTGCGAAGCTTGGCTCAGGCGACAGAGCAGCAAGCACCGAACACTTGCCTCACTCCAGGTGAGATGCTTGCGTTTGCTGGCCCTTGCAGCAACCTCACACAAGGCGAAAGATTACTATCATGAGGTACAAGCACATATGGGTATTATGATCTCCTGTGGAATGCACAGGGATCCAGTACACTTTGGTGACCGCTGCTCTACGTTCGAAGGAGAAATGCGGCGAAGGCTATGGGCAACATCTGTTAGTAACTTGTTTGCGCAAGACAACGTGAGAACCATGCTGATTCGAACAACTCACTCAGGTGGAGATAGAACTACAAGCATCCATAGACAAAGGTAAAGGCGTCTTGAACGATGATGTAGCTTTCTAACATCCTCACAGGTACTCCTTCAATGGTTTCCAGACTCGAAGCGGATTGTGCAGCACCTGGTAATTTTAATGATGTGCAACTTTCTCCTAGCCTGGAGGAGCTTCCGCCATCAGAACCGGTGGAGGTATTTACCGACACGTCCTTCCTCTTCATGTCCACGAGATCGCTTAATTTCCGTTCGAGTCTATGTGCTCTGACCAATAGCTTGCAGTCAAGGCTCGACTTCCAGGATACCCTGTCACATGCAAACACTATCGAAGAATATATACAGAGTATCCCCAACTGGACTGATCCGGGATCTCTCCAGGCGCGCACACTTCTCGACCTCCAGCTTCGACAGCTGTTAGTGATCCTATACGCAGCGAAAACTGCTGATGTAGGAGCCACACTCAACACAGAGCGTCGATACTCGATAATTGCACTGATGGGGGCCGCAGCTGCAACAACGGCTTTGCACACGGCTCTGACGGCATCTTCTAACCTCGCACTATGTTGCACCCGCAGCGACTACTATAGAGCCGCGCTACTGGTTTGCCATGTCGCTTGCCATGCGAATAAAGTCAACGGTATGTTCCTTTCTCGCCGCTAGCGTATGCGGCTAACATCAATCTAGATACCATGGTAGCGCAGGCTGCCAAGAGCACACTGGATAGTTGTGCACAACAAGCACTTCGCCTCCAAGAGGAGAGAGTAATGCTGGTAGGTCGTGGAGGCCAGCAGCATTGGGTACTAAGTATGAATCGCCCCTGACACGCTTTCTATTTTCTATGAGACTCACGAGCGATATACAGGTGCTGCAGTTGGATTGGCCAGTGTGCAGTTTGAACCATCACATTCTGACGCGGTCAAGCTACAGGCGATAGATCGCGTATCACGCTTGCTGTACAGGATGCTTTCTCGAAAGGATATTGGTGAAGAGCCTCCAGCCAATGAGGTAGGTTTTTGACAGTCCGGATAGCTCTGTCATGTTGACGCAAGACAGGTTCTACTTCAAGATGCACCACGCATACCTAAACAGATCAATAGTCACCCCGGCTATTCCGCTGCAGCACTATCAACAGATTCTTTTGCTGACGTTGGGCTGCGCATTGATGCCTTCGACTTCGGCGAGACATCAGAGTGGATGCTGGATGACTTCTGGTTCCTCAACGAGCCGTTTGGAAGCGAATGTCAGGCTAACCATTTGATTTGAGAAATAGTACAAAACATGGAAAACCTACTGCATACGAGTGAACATTTGCATGTTTACGTCATGCAGGAGTCGCAAATACCATACAGAAATTCGCCGCGGCCCCATTGACGTTTGCCGTACAGCCGGGTAGTCTACGTTTCATGCAGTCTAAGGTCGTCCTTCTCCAGTTTTCTCTCCGCAAACTCGGCGCGTTCTGGAGCAATGACAAGCTTTCGGAAGATCGTCATGATCGCTCGGCTGCTCGGTACGGTTCACTTTGTCAGCGCCAAGCACCAATGACATCGAGCGATTGAGGCTCCACGACCATCGCGTGGCCCAGAGAAACCTTCACACAGCTTGAAGTGCTTGGCGCAGTCTAGATGTGCTGTTCCTGACACTTGACTATGAACTGCATGATAGGCAGACGGCGTACGGTATGTCACCCTCCAATCGGCCCTTCTCTTCTCGGCGCTCCCATAGGTATCCTTTGAGGAACTTGTAGAATCTGCGCCAGACGTCGATAGTGTATAGCAACTCATCAAGTGCATGAGCGAACCCGGGTACGACGGCTTGAGAGTCTGGTACCTGCTCGCTCTACACAAACATGATCGGACATGGCGGATGTGATGCAGAACCTATGTGGTATAAGAGTCGTTGCGCTCGACATGTTTATTATCCATCACAACAACAATCAGTCTGTCTTCATCTTCTCTACTACATACCCAGCCACTCTAAGCTCATTAAATTCACTTCCAACAAGTCGAATCTCAACCATTCCATATGCTCTTCACTAAGATCGCTTTCGTCTCCGCCCTCGCGGCCCTGACTGCTGCTCAAGACACCAGCTTTGACTTCAGCAACATCCCTGCTGAGTGCACCGATGTCTGCGGCCAAGTTGGTGAAGCCGTAAATGGCTGCAAGAACGACAGCAGTAAGTGTTGCATTATCCACCCAATCGTAACAAACTGACCCTTCCACAGACGACAACTCATCCGAGGTCCTACAGTGTATCTGCACAGCCAACAACGCAAACACACTGATCCCAAACTGCGAAGCCTGCGTCAGACAGTACAACGACAACGACAACGATGACGACAGCGACCAGTACCGCCTCTTGACCGACTGCCACTACACCACCACGACTGTTGCCGCAGGCGGTGCTGGAGCAGCTCAAACAACCGCTGTTGATACCAACACCGTCTCGGTCACCAACACAGTCTCTGTCACCAGTGTCCTTACCACTACCTCCGTTGCTATCATCGTCACTACCGGTAGCGATGGCGTGGTTGCTACTCGCACCGAGACCAACACCGACACTGTTGTCCCCACCCAGACCGACAACCCTGCTCCCATCAATACCGTTGGCGCTGCCATGGGTCTTGGTGCTCTCGGGTTCGCTCTTGGTATGTTGTGAATCGACAATATCACGACGAAATGTGGAATGGCTATCATGGACATGTGCCTAAACGATTATGAGGGAGGGGTGTCGAAGCTGTTGTAGCTTAGCTAATACCATTGTGGCTTGAAGAGTCCTCATGACTATAGATAGGAATACCATACACTTTACCTAATCTTGCCCTGTCAATATCATGCCTTCCAGCGTTTGGTGCCGCTCTTGGGCAGTTTAGACAAGGAGACACCAGTGGTCCCGAGACATTTCTCGAGTCATTTGAAAATAGTAGAACGAATGATGAAAAGCCGATCACACGATAGCACGCAAAGAGTGAAAAGTGTAAGGATAGTGCCACTTCATTCATAGAAATCGTGTAGCAACGGCAGTCTACGCTGCGAAAAGTATGTACCGTGAAGATACTCAGAAGCGAATCAACAAGGTGTGAAGAAAGGTATCCATCAAGCATCATCCATCATCAAAAGAGTAACCCGTCAGCCAAATTCAAAGTAAAATCCCCATCTTAAACTAACACTTAAGCAAAGTTGCTACCAGCAGTCTTCTTGCTGTTCGCAGCAATGCTAACGCTCTTGACAACGATGCTCTTACCACCGCTGCTGGTAATCTTGACATCAACGCTATCCGCACCGAAACCAGCTGGGTTCTCGAAGTAGTTGTACTCCTTGCGAGTGGTCGCCTGCCATGTCGCACCTCCGTCGGTGGAGACCTCGAGCTTAGAGATGGGCATGTTGGAGTTCATGACTTGCATGCTGAACCAGAACTTGCTGGTTCCCTCCTTGTTCTTGAGGACGAGGGGTGTGGTGATGCCACATGGTACGACATCCCAGGAGATGGGGATGACGCCCTTGGAAGGCTCGGCAAGCTTGGCGAAGGCGTCAGGGTAGAGGTCGAGGTGGTTGGGTCCGCATCTAAGAATGAAGTTAGTATGGTATTATATCTAGCTTGTTCGTAGACATCACTTACCCAGGGCATTGGTCGGTAACCATCGCAGTGACCTTGTTTCCATCCGGACCTGTTACGCTAACGCAGACACCGCAGTTGCCACCGTTGTCCCAGTTGGAATCGGAGAGCGCGGTACCGTAAATACCAGCGGGGATGGTGTAGCCAGTGAAGGAACACATGCCACCATCAGTGTTACCACCGTAGAAAGTGGCCTCGCCACGCTTGGAGCCTGCAGCTGAGCTGGCGTACTCATCAACGGTTGATGCCGGTTTGGAAGCTGCCGGTGCCGGAGCAGCGGAGGTGGATGCAACTGGAGCCTTGGATTCCGATGTGGGAACCATGGCAGCGGAGGATTGTGCGGCTTCGTAAGACTTGGAGGCTTCACTCTGGGGTACAGGAGTGTATGCCAGCGAAGAGTAGTCCAACAAAGTGGTCGGCGCGACGCTCATGGTAGGGTATGAGGGTGCGCTCGATGATGCCTCTGGCCTGAAGAGAGCAGAGGTGGAGAAGTTGCCAAAGTATCCACCTGTCGGGCGAACGGTGACTGTCGTGTAGATATCGGTGGTCCTCGTCGAGGTCGAAGTCTCATCGACGGCATCGGGAGTAGCAGCACCAGCAGGGACAGTGACATACACCTTCTCGTAAGTAGTAGTGAAGACAGTGCTCCTGGAAGAGCAAGCGCCAGACTGGCTGGCGGTAGCGTCCGCAACCAGGGCGGGCTTTGCAGTCTCGTAGACTGTCTCGTATGCGGTTGTAGTGACAGTCTTCTGTGTGCAGACTGACTCAGCAACAGCAACACCCGCAATGGGTAGGAGAGAGAAGAAAGTGGACTTCATGGTTTCCGGTGGATGCTTGATTAGATGATGGAAGGTGGATATGCAGTGACGGCTTGTTGGAAATGAGTGTGGAAGATCGTATCAACGACTTTTAGGAATGAATGGCAGCAGCTCAGCGGCTTGCGAAGAAAGAGTGACTGAAGTGATTGAAGTTCGACTTCGTGAGGAGAGTTTTTAGAGGCTTGAAACACTACCAAAGGGCGTACCCGCCCGACTAGATAAAGCCCTCAAATAACGCTGACATCTCATTTTACTTTACTAACCTAACGCAGCGCCACGCAGGAAGCCGACATGTGGAAATTTGCGCCCGGGAGGAATGGCAACAAGCTCATCTCAAGTTCAACTCCGGTGTCTGGACCCACCGAACACTGCAGAGAAGAGCCGGTCTCGAGCCTGCGCGCATCTCGCCTGTTGCCGGTCTTACCCCAGTGATATGCGTCCGTTGATAGACCGGCGTTTGGGGTTGAGCAGGTCTGAGTGCGTTTCAGAAAAAGCTTGTGTAATGCTTGGTATGATGGGTTGAAGGGATGGTGGGTGATGAGGTGCTAAGACGAAGGATGCGCTAAATGGAGATCAAACATGAACGAAATGAGAAGGCGGCAACACAACGAGCGAATTTGAGACGCGCTGCCGAGAACCGAGTTGGCATGTCAAACACTGAAAGCGACGTTCTACGACTTTACACAGTCGCACGATGGTGCGCTGATGAAAATGCATGCTGTGATGATGTTGTTTGGACATGCCCTACTGACTCGGCAACGAAGCCCTGGAGGCGTTTCAAGAAAACGTTTTGTGGCACTTCGGGTCTTCTTCGGTGGGGTAATACACATGGTCCCTAATTCAAAATCTAGAACCTGTCTATTACACAAAGATACCGAGAGTGGTCCGGTGATGGTCCGGTGGATATTGTCGATTCGGTAGATACCCGTGAAATTGTGAGTGACGAGGCTCTCAAGTATGATTCCAACTTTCAGATCGTTACTTTCCTCGCCAAACCTCATTTGTAGACCACTAGTCAGAGCCGCAGTATCCACCCAACGACGGAACGGATGTAAGGATCTCCATGGGAGCCGCAATGTCGTCGCTGGAATGCCCGTCATCCTGGGATCAATCCGCTGTCATGTAGCCCGTTCGCCGGGATGACAACCTGTAGGCCAATGTGTCCAAATGCGTCATCTGCGCCGTAAGAAAGCTCCAATCGGAATGCCAGCTTACAAGAAATCGCTAGTGGCTATGACGAGCTTTTGTTTTGGCATTATATCCCTTCGCAAAGCACGGGACGATACCAGGGACATCTCTCCAGCTCTTGGATCCCTCCTCAGCACTTCATGCAGCTCGGTTCCTTCACTAACGATCTTGATCGTATGCTTCAACGCTTGTCTCCAATTCTCGTCTGGTCGACCACAAATAGTCCGGCAAATATCTTGCGCTCGAGAGTATACTGATCCTTCTTGAGAGCTTGCTGTAATGTACTCATAACTCATCTCTAGACGACCGCTAAATATGCCCAATTTCATTCCGTTGTTGTTATTGCCGTCCGGAAATTCATTCCACAATGATGCAGAAATTGTTCATTCCTGGCCCGTCTTTAATCTTCTTCTTCTCGACCCTTGTGACTCTCGGCTCGTTCGTTAGGGTGAACAGGTAGTAACACAACTTGGAAGTGTTCTTGCTCATCTTCATCGTGAAACCCAAGTCGCCCATAATTCGCAAGAGTAGCTGTTCATCAAGATAACGCGAGTTGTCGACACATGGTAGCGGTAGGACGAAGAACAATGCTGGGAAGAATGATTCTGAGGTCTCCGTTGGCACACTGCTCTTTCTGAAGAACTCTGTGATGCGTTTCAACATTTCCCCTCGACCAACAGCATCCGGTACGTAGTTGAGCACCAATGATAGGGAAATGATATCGAAGCGCTCGTCATCACATGTAGGAAGTGGTCGCTCCATGAAATCTTGTTTTTCGATACCTGGACCTTGGCTGTTCAAATCGATCCTGGTCATGTCGATGGCGCTTGAGTACTTGGAGATCTCATTTTTGGTGGACAAAGCTCCAACCTCGAGACATCTGAGTTTGGCATTGCCAGTACTGCGCCGATCTCGTGCTTTCGGATCCAAGACCTTGGATTGCTGCAGCCATTCAACTAACAACTTGCTGGAGTCGCCTCCCCTGTCCTTCGCCTGGCCTTGCTTGCTTGCAGCCTGATAAGTCTTTATTCCCCCGTTCCGCTCGATAGCTCGTGCAGTCTCTTCTGCTAACTTCAAATCTCCCCTTTTCAAAGCTGCCGCATGCTCCTTCTGCAGTCGGTGATGAGTGCGGATGATAGTCCTGGAACGCTCAGAGGTCATCCGCTCTTTCGGTTTACTGATGGGTGGTCGGCCATGCGACAGAGTCTTTTGGCGCTTTTTGACGGCCATGACTGTTTTGGTGTTGCAGTCACATGGCCAAGGTAAAGTAATGGTTGGGAGGCGCCGAGAGTTCAGATGCAAGGATTTGGCGCTAGTGCGTTAGCGTGCTTTCTTCCCACAGACAACTTTCGCCTGGAGCAAAAACCACGACTTTTCGACTGCGACTCTCGACACTAACACCAGGACCAACCAAACCGCCAAAATGGGACCCAAGGCCGTATCCAAGAGTATGTCTACGCAAACATCACAACCGCGAAATCGAGGAGGACCGTACATGTCGTAAAGTGGCACCAGACCGTGGCAGCAGCCTGTCTGAAGGGGAACTTTGCGGATGCGCCTCGATTAGCTACCCTCATTTTGCGCTCATGGCTAACATCAATCGCAGCCCCTACCAAGACTGGCAAGCAGGCCAATGCTGCTGCTAAGGCCGCTCTCCGTGGCGTAAGCCTCCCTTGATCCTCTTGAGTCGTGTCAGAAACATACCTCTGACGGGCTGTACTTCTCGTGTGATGGGCACAATTAACGAGATGACAGTCGTATGCGAACAAGAAGCGCGCGATCAGGAAGAACACCAGCTTCCACCGGTATGCCCGATCCCACTACAACAAATTTTTGCCTGCTAACACATCCGCAGCCCCAAGACCCTCGAGCTGTCCCGCGCCGGCAAGTACCCTCGCAAGTCGGTCCCCCATGCCCCCCGCATGGACGCCGAGAAGGTTCTCATTCACCCTCTCAACACCGAGTCCGCCATGAAGAAGATTGAGGAGAACAACACCCTCGTCTTCATCTGCAACGTCAAGGCCAACAAGCGTCAAATCGCCGCCGCCCTCAAGAAGCAGTACGACGTCAGCTGCGTCAAGATCAACACCCTGATCCGCCCCGACGGCTCAAAGAAGGCTTTCTGCCGCCTCACCGCCGATGTCGACGCTCTCGACATTGCGGCTACCAAGCTCGCCATCGTTTAAAGAGGTGGTCTCTGTAAAAAGGGAAGGCATGGTTATGATGGGGTCTGGTTATACCCGGCAATTGAAAAGCGATGTGATATGCATGGCGGGCGTTCATGGGATAAACGTAGTCACGGTGACTCGAATGAATCAGATTTCCACATGACGCCAAGTTGGACTTGGTCCTTAACTATACCGCTACTTTTGACCTGTGATGCTTTGTGAGGCTTGTAATGCGTTGTGATTTGGTTTCAAATGCAAGCTTTTGCTGGTCGTTGAAGTGCACATTCTATAGAGACCATGTTACGTTTGATATATGTATTCGTCATGTATGTTATCTCCACACTTGCAATGCTATGCAAACGATATCTCCCGTCATACAGTGTTGTACAGATCATAAGTCGCTTCGTTATCATACACCCTTCCTCGTCACCTTTGTTCCGAGCGATCATATGCATATCCCTCTTCCCATTGACTTCCCTTCCCGTGATATGGTCTGTCTTCCTCTATCCCCTCAACCTCTCCAACTCCCGCAGCACAACCATGTTCGCATCCAAGAACCGGTCCACACATTGCCTCATACATGGCTCCTCGTATTTATCCAATTTGCCGTTCTTAACGGTCCCCGTGGGGATGCACTTGCGGAAACATGTGTCAGTCAAGGAGTGTATGGCTATATCGATCACGCAATAGGTTAGCTGATTGTTACATGGCGCGCGCGCTTGATCTGGAAAGTGGGTGTAGAAGAGAAAAGGCAACCCTGGGCTGCGAGACAGGATGGAAACCAAAGGTAACCCCAGGGTGATGTGATGTGAAGAGGAAGAGGAACCAGAACATACAAGATTGAATCCTAGCCTTCTGTCCCTCGTTCATGGCGAATTGCTGGAGTTCCTGCTTGTCGCGATCGGACAGCTTGCTCAGGTCCGCATTAGCGATGCCGCCGCCTAGAGAATCCATTATGTTTTTGTGAAGAATTGAATCGCGAGGCTCTTTTGGCGTGTGCCGTAAGGGTGTGTAGTGTGTGAAGGTGGACGTCGTGACGGCTTGCGCTGTGGCTGTAGTTTTTACTGGATTGACGTACTCGAAGCTTTGCGCATCGGAGGTTCTCAGGCGGAGGGACCGATTTAGTCTGGTTAGTCAGCTGGATCGGTTTCCGGAACACGATGTCTTCTCGGTACAACTTGGTTATTTTGAGAAGTATTGCAAAAATCTTGAGACCATTTGTTTGTTCACTTGAATGCGCGGGAGTTCCTAGGTATAGATGAGAGTAACGCAAGATATTTGGCGGAAGCTCAACTTCTTGACTTTGGTATCCTCATCCTCATAACATGCTCTCGAACAACATGGCTGCCGTCCTCACTCCTTCGTACTATTCTTGGCCGATCGTACGAACCCGCTACTCTTGATCTGTCCACCATTACTTCTGGTGCGGGGAATGTCAACATAGAATAAGAAGTATGGCCAACTACCCTCCTTCTCAGACTTGAACACTCTAACCTTGGAGATCCATTTGCTACCACCCAACTGCCTCTTATGCTGCATGAGAAAGTACCCAGCCCATCGTCCAACAGGACTTCCCAGCAAGGCTTTCCCCACATCCGTCTCCATGTCGAAATCATGTCCCGGCCAAACTTCCACATCCTCTTTCGGTGGATTCAGCGTGCCCAACGCACGTGTAATGTGTTGATTCGTTTCTTTGTTGATTATCATCGTAACAAATAGATATCTGATATTCTGTAAGCTCTCCACATCACTGTGCACACGGTTCCAAAAGGCCCATGCGATATCCGAGACGCTGCGTATAGCAGGGAGTTCGTCCGTAAGAGCAGCGCGTTTCCAAAGACGACGAGCAGCTTTAGCGGCAGAAGAGAGATTGATAGCGTACACGACACCCGCTTCTGCATTGACACCAATTGTGTGCTCAGCGCCGGTGACGCGATATTCCTTGTCGCAGACGTCGTATCGTTGATCGCCTTTAAGAGGCATCTTGCCGTCATTGCCTTTCTTCACAGCTGGGCTGTCGTAATGCTCAATCAGGAAACATTGGTTTGGGCCACCCTGGCTCTTGGGCTTGGTCGAGATGGCAAGGTCGCTGAAGGCCTTCTTCAGCATGTGTCCATTCGAGCTGTCAAAATTGCATTTGGGGTCTGCTTGTTTGGCGAGGGCATCCGTGGCATCGTTGTAACCCCACTCACGTAGCTTGTTTATGAGATCACCATCGAATGCGCTCTCTGCGCTGGCGCCTAGGTTGTAGAGAGCTGCAGCTTCAGCGTCGCTGGCTTTCATACCTTGAAGGAGCTTCGTGCCTCGGGCGACAGACAGTGTCCATGGGTCGTCATCGGTAGTCTTGACTGTGCCATTGAAATGATTGTCGTTGGTGAAAGTAAGGTGGCGTCCAGCGCTGGTGGTAGAGCTGGAAAGGGTGTTCTCGACGGCAAAGGCTAATGCGGATGTTGCGAACAACAGCAGAGATCTCACTGCAGACGACATGTAATGAGTGTATGGTCTGAATGGATCAGTTCAGCCGTGGATAGGATTACGGTAGGTGATCTAGATGAGTTAGTACAAGCAAGGTCGCAAGCAAAAGTCAGTGCAGCCGTGAGTGAAAGAGGAATACGAGGCACGATTTAGCTTGAGCCAGGGCTGACTTCACTACAAGACTCTGGAGGACTCGGACTCACTAAATGATATACATTGTAGTGTGAGTAGCTGATGCTGAAACAGCCTACCAAATGCAAACAAGAACGCCATGCTTATTACATCCGGGGATATCAAACCCTTTGCAAATTGAAAACAAACTATTAGACAACTTTTTTTTCATCCAACGTTGTCATGATCTCCACATCTTCGTTTCTAAGCCCCAATCATTTCTTTAGGGAGGCATGCAAAAACAGTACTGACAATGGCCATGAGAGTGCTGACAACAATCAACACCCAGTTCATCGTCTTCTCTCCGCTCGATATCTCTTTTCCAAACAACTTTAAGTGGAACGCCAACGGGAGGATGATACAAATGCTGAAGCAGGCGACACTGCCGAGAAGGGTCATGATGCGATCGAACGAAGGGAAAACGATGGCAATGATGACGAATACAAGGATGGTGACAATGCGTAGAGTAATCTTCAGCGCTCCTCGTGTAAGGCCACTCATGCCATCAATGGACGAGGACATGGCGAGAGAGCGCGTATCCAGACCGAAGAGAACCTCCAGCGTGCTGACGATAGGTCTTGCGTTGAGTGGGATCTTGGTTAATGGAATGATGGCGATACAGATGGCGATAAAGACCGATATGCCTGGTGGAAATCCAGGGGTAAGAAAGATGTTGCTCGTGACTTCCTCTCTGACACCGTCTCCAAACATGAGGATACCTGCGCAGGCCATACCGACATCGATGATGTAGGTGAAAATATAGGTTACGTTGACTGCCTTCCTGTACTTGTATGGGTGTCGCATGTCACGGTAGATGTTTGGAAAGACAGAGTGGCCACCCCAGGGAGACATGAGCAGGCCAATAGAGAGCGGTACGGTAAGCCAGTTGTCCGGGAACAGGTACTGTGTCATGGGTTGACGGATTGAGCCGGGAGCGTCGGGCTTTGCAAGGCCATCGATCCAGATAGCGAGTGTGACTATTCGGCATTAGCTGATGTGGATGTATGCGTGCAGTGGTTGACTTACTTCCGAAGCAAGACATGACGCCTAAGATGGATGTGAAGGACAAGAAGCGCAGGGGTAGGAAGCTCAGTGGTATCAAGATCAACCCACAGACGATCTTCCACTGGAAAACGTCCCAACCGGGAATGAGAGCATCCATGCTGTCGGCAAAAAGCACGACTAATGCAACGCATGCTGCAAGTAGCTCTAGGGAGAAAAGAATACTAGTAGCCACTCGTGCTTTGGTTCCAAAGGAGACATACGCAAGGTCAGCGAAGGTGATGAGTGAACCATCAACATCGAGACATTTGGCAAGCAGCTTTGCAGTATAACCAGTGACTATGGCGGACCACGCCAGAAAAACCATGCCTATCAGCCATCCAGAGTACTTCAGCGCAAGTGGCAAGGTAAGCAGTCCAACACCGACCAAGACGTTGACCGAGTTGAATATCGTCTGTGGCAGGGTAGATTGACCGACGACTACGTTGATGATATGTCCGTCTTCCTCGACTTGCTTGACCAGCAGTGGCTCTCGTTCTTGTTCTGGCTCTGCAACGCCCTTCATTTGCTGCTCTGTGAAGAGTCGGCCAGCATGGCGCATGGACGACTCGTTGACGCGCGAACTCAGACTGCCGTATCCCGTGCCGTAGCTGGCCCCGAAAGGCGAGGATAGCGAAGGCTCGATCTGGAATATGCTCGACCCTCTTCCTCTCAAGCGCTGCTCGACGGTGTTGGGCAACAGCTGGGTCCGCTCCGTCGCGCCATTCTCCTCGTCCGTTATGGCATTATCGGATGCACGGCGTCCTCCTTCTTGCAGCGCCTGTCGCAAGGCCGACCGTTGGTCTGGTACCGGTGTCGGAAGCCCGCTGCGTGTGAAGTCGGACTCTTCGGTGTCCTCGCCGTCTTCGTCTTCGAGACGGAACGAGGGTCGCACGGGGGTGATCTCAAAGAAGCCTGCTGCACGCTGCCACGATCGCGCAAAGTTGTTGATGCTGTTGACGCCTCCGACTTCGCCCAATGCGCTGAATTGCTGTCCTACTGAAGACCTGAGGTTGTTTTTGTTAGTCGTCGTTCACTCGCGAAACGCGTCATGAGCTCACCTCCGCCTGCGCAGTTCGCCAACTGTGCCGGTCCACCTGCCCGTGCCGGCATTGCTCTCCCCGCTCGGTCGTCTCGAGAGCTCGTCCCATTGTATGTGGCTCTCTGTGTCTGAATCCATGGATGGGCGGTTCCCCGACTCGTAAGCATCCCAGGCGGATGGCTGCTTCCCTCTGTTATCCATGGTGAGTAGCGACAGTCACGGCAGACAGAGAAGGCACGACCAAAAGGTGCATGTGCATGTGCAGCAGGACAGGTGATGGGAAGTATAAAATCCGTTGATTCAAACCCTGCAGGGAGGCGGGAGCTACTTGAGTCGATAGCTGGTTATCGTCGGGACGAGATTGCGCCTTGTGGATTGCGGATGATAGCCGCTATCCATGACCGTCCTGATTATATAAAGAAGCGCCGAGCATGGCACTTCTCCCATAGAAAGACGGAGAAGCGCAAGATGGCTATCACGAGGATATCATGCGGCCCCGCAGGTCTGCCGTCATAGCTGCCCATAGCCGGGGAGCTACCCAAGGCACGAGTCTGATAACGGGCCATTGCAGCTGCTTCATGCCCGTTGCCCGCTTAGTGGCCCTGCAAGCGAGCCTGTGTCAGCCTCCTGTTCGCGCGCCATGGCGAGTGTGCTGCCTGAGGAGTGCTGCACAGTCATCGACAAATAAATCCACATCAGCCCGGTTGGCCGTCTCTTCACTCAAGCATCATCGAAAAGCGGAGGCGCGCAGCAGTAAAGGCCGCCGCATAGCACGCTCTCCACCCTCCTCCCGCCGCCAGTCGGCAGCTACGTCGCTTGTTCTTGCCCCTCGCTGAACAAGAAAATCTCTCGACCCCACCAACACCAAACTCTCAACTCTCGACATCACCGCCGCGACCATGGCGCCCGGGCAGAACGAGCAGCCCAATGAGGCTGAAAAGAACATTGAGATCTGGAAGGTCAAGAAGCTGATCAAGCGTCTTGAAGCCGCTCGTGGAAATGGAACCTCCATGATTTCGCTCATCATCCGTACGTGACGCCTGCTCGCCTGCCGACGCGCCTCCGACTGACCACATGTAGCGCCCAAGGATCAGGTTTCCCGCGCTGCGAAGATGTTGGCTGAAGAATTTGTGCGTTTTCCACCCGCAGCTGTGCCATGGCCAGAACTAATTTTCCCAGGGTACTGCCTCCAACATCAAGTCGCGCGTCAACCGTCTTTCCGTCCTGTCGGCTATTACCTCCACCCAGCAGCGTCTCAAGCTCTACTCCAAGGTCCCACCCAATGGCCTTGTCGTCTACTGTGGTGAAATCATCACCGCTGAAGGCAAGGAGCGCAAGATCAACATCGACTTCGAACCCTTCAAGCCCATCAACACGTCGCTATACCTTTGCGACAACAAATTTCACACCGAGGCATTGAGCGAGCTGCTCGAGTCGGACCAGAAGTTCGGTTTCATCATCATGGACGGAAACGGTGCGCTCTTCGGCACTCTGTCAGGAAACACCCGTGAGATTGTCCACAAGTAAGTGCGACCAAGATGCCTCGGCATGCACGAAACTAACAGGTGTAGGTTCTCCGTCGATCTTCCCAAGAAGCACGGCCGTGGTGGTCAATCCGCTCTGCGTTTCGCTCGTCTGCGTGAAGAAAAGCGCCACAACTACGTCCGCAAGGTCGCTGAACTGGCGGTACAAAACTTCATCACCGCCGACAAGGTCAACGTAGCTGGTATCATTCTCGCTGGTTCCGCCGATTTCAAGAACGATCTCAACCAGTCCGATCTTTTCGACAACCGTCTGCAGTCCAAGGTCATCAAGGTCGTCGACGTATCTTATGGAGGCGAGAACGGTTTCAACCAGGCTATAGAGTTGGCTGGTGAGACTCTCAGCAATGTCAAGTTCATCCAGGAGAAGAAGCTCATCAACGAGTACTTCGACCACATCTCCAAGGACTCTGGCAAGGTCTGTTACGGTATCGACGACACCCTCAAGGCTCTGGAGGCTGGTGCTGCCGAGACTTTGATCGTCTTCGAGAACTTGGAGATTACCCGCTGGGTCCTCAAGAGCTCCGAGGGTTCTGAGATCATTCTTCACACTACCAAGTTGCAAGAAGAAGACCGAAGCATCTTCATGGACAAGGAAACCGGTCAGGAGATGGAAGTCATCGACCAAGGCTCCATGCTTGAGTGGCTCGCCGAGAAGTACCGTGACTTTGGTGCCAACCTTGAATTTGTTTCCGACCGTTCTTCCGAGGGTAACCAGTTCGTCAAGGGCTTCGGTGGCATCGGCGCCATCCTCCGCTACGCCCTCAACTTCGAGCAACTCGCCGACTTCGACGACGATGAAGACGAATTCTACGATGATTGACGGTTGTGCGCCCTCGCTGACTGCGAGGTAGCGTCCCCACTCCTTTCGAGTGATGGAACGTCCGCTACCCGCGTGATAAGTCAAAATGACGTGTCCAAGATCAAGGCCGGAGCAGTCGAAGCAAAGACGCTTCGCCTTTCCAGATTGTAAGATGGGAGTGCCTACGGAGGGTTTGCAATGTACGTAGGATATTTCCAGCAACAACAACTTTCACTAATTCTGTCAAGGTCGACCAACACCATTCTTACCACGACCCGCTCTCGCTTGCACGGAGAGGCAGCAGCCTCATACAGGCTTGACCTCTCCAAACCTCGGTCCGAAAAGCTCTATCTTAGCTACAATAAGGACTAGAAAGCATAGGGATCCCGAAGGATGGCTATCGTCAATTGTCGATTGCGAACCTCTTGAAAAGTAGTCCTTGACGGAAGAAGGATAGGCAGATTGTTCGCTCAGAAATGCGTCAGCTCGTCGCTCGCTCAACTCCAGCTGAATGAAAAATTGTTTTATAAATCACTTGATTACTATGAAGATATGTTCGATGCTTTGTATTGTGCACATGATTCGCCACATGCACAGGCTCCAGAGCCTCGATACTTACAGTAGGGCGTAACACGCCCCATGGTGTACAAGTTACAAGTTAGCCTTTGCTTTTGCTAGTATAGCGCCGATACCGGGTTCCGACGTCATTCCGAGATTTAATGAACTATCCATTCAATTAATTCGTTTATTGAGTTACCTTCAACATTCCAAAAGCCACGACGAGACATGGCAGAAGAACAGAAGCCAACCGTGGCATTCTTGGGTCCAGAGGGCAGCTATACACATCAAGTGAGTTTCTCTACAGACTTACAAAAGCCATGATTGGGATTCCCCATCACTATCCTGTGTTCCCATGCAGGCATGACTCGCCGCATCTTCATCACCGTACTATGAGCGATGTCTACACCCGACATTTCCCTCCAAAACAAGATCATAATTTGTTCCTTTCTTCCGTAAAATGAAATCAATCGCTCAACGCGCACTGCGCACGCCATATACATCTAACAGCTTCACAGGCAGCCCTAGACGCCTTCCCCCCATCAACAAACCAGGTTTCCCTCACACCTGAAATCACAATCGAAGACGTCTTCTCGACCGTCCAATCCGGGACCGCATACCGGGGTGTCGTACCCTTTGAAAACAGCAGCAATGGTAGCGTAGTCTTTACCCTCGACCTCTTCGCCGACCTCAACAACAAATATCCCGATATCCTCGTCTGCGGCGAAGCTTATGTGCATGTCAAACACTGTTTGTTGGGTTACTCATCGAACCCCACTACTACCCCGGATTACTCCAACATCAAAAAACTCTACTCACACCCCCAGGCCTGGGGTCAGTGTAAAGATTTCCTCACGCGTTACCTTAAGACGGCTGAACGACACGACGTGAGTTCTACGAGTAAAGCAGCAGAAATTGCGAGTAAAGATAAGAGTGGTGAGTCTGCTGCGTTGTCTAGTTTCATCGCTGCGGAGCTGTTTGGCCTGAACGTGTTGGCCAAAGAGATCAACGACGAGAAGGGGAATAGTACAAGGTTCTTCGTCATTCGCAAAAAGGACGACAAGACGACATCAACCAGTTCAACTGCCAAGACGAGTTCGAACAGAGATAATTGGAAATCTCTCATCACGTTTACGATTGAGCACTCCAACCCGGGTGCACTCGCAAATTGTCTCACGGTTTTCTCGTCTCATGGAATCAACCTGACGAGTATAAATACACGACCGAGTGGCGTGAGAAACTGGCATTATGTCTTCTTTGTGGAGTTCAAAGGGAGAAAGACGGAGGATGGGCAAGGGGAGGTGAATGCGGCATTGAGGGAATTGGATCAGGTTTGTAGGGGGTGGAGATGGTTGGGGAGTTGGGAGAACAGGTTGGTTGAGGAGGAAGGGGTTCAGTGAGGTCTCTTGTTGAAATGCAGCCATTAAGCAACGCGCAGATCACGATTACACAACTTCGGACTGCCCAACCGCGTGAAAAAGATCACTTCCATATTCATCGCTCGTGAATCAACACCCTAGTCCACCAGGATCATAGCCCAGTGTAAATCTAGTTTCTCCTTTTACAAGTATCTCAGTGATGTCCTCTTTGCATGTCCATCCTCGCACTCCAAACCTGACACGACGGACGCCTACTTTGTCCGGTCAGGGAGCTCCTTGGGTGCCCTCCACTCCTTGACATAGGGCAAGAAGTCAGGCTGACCAGGGATGTACTTCCTCAGGACCTCGGGGACAACGAAGCCTTCAGGTGTCTGGTAGTTCTCGAGGATACAGCAGAGTGTTCGTTCGGTTGCGCAAACTAAGTACAGAAATGTGTTAGCTTTCATGAATTTCCATCCAAACCATGGGAAGGCTAGAGCAACAGAAATGAACTTACGAGTGCCGTTGAGTGCGTGAACGTACTCTTTACGGGTAGCGTTCAACTTCTTAATTCCATGTCTAATCTCCAGCTCGCGAGTCTGGTAGTCAGTGCAGTTGGAGATGGAGACAAGTTCCTTGTACTCTCCACCACCGGTGACGGGGAACCAAGCCTCTAGGTCGCGCTTCATGCTCGCAGCATTGTTCAATGCACCCGAGACAATAGCAACAACCTGGTAAGGCAGACCCAGACTTTGGTAGAACTCTTCCGAGTTGGCCAGCATCTCGTCGAATGCTTCCCATGACTTCTCAGGGTTTGTGAGGAGGAATTGCTCAACCTTTTCGAACTGGTGTATCCGGAAGATTCCCCAAGCGTCTTTGCCGTGCGAACCGGCTTCTTTTCGGAAGTTTGTTGAGTAACCGGCGTACTTGATGGGTAGCTCTTTGTCGTGTAGCCACTCCTCTGAGTGAAGCGCGGAGATGGGTTGTTCTGAAGTGGCAATAAGGTACTTGTCGGTCTCAGGCTTGTCTTTGCTCTCGGTGACCTTGTAGAGCTCCTCGTCGAAGTCAGAAAGTTGCGCTGTCTTGGCCATCTGATCGCGGAGCATGAAGAAGGGCGGTTGGTTGGGTGTGAATCCTTTGCTGAACTATGGGATTATCGAGTCAGTACAGTGCTCCTCAGAACTTGGCTCTCTGCATACATACCAGAAATTCCAGGCCGTAATTGATCAGCGCTTGGTTAAGGAAGACACCGTATCCAGTCAGACAGTATCCTCTGTGACCAACAATTTTGGTACCCCTCTCCGGGTCATATCCATTCAACCGCGCAAGTACGCCGTGGTGTGGGATGCCATCTTGCTTGAACTCGGCCTTCCTTCCTTCGGGAGCCCACGTCTTCTGAACCGCGTTGTTGTCCTCGTTATCACTAACCGGGACGTCCTTGTACACGTAGTTTCCGACCGTCTTCGCCTTTGCGTGCAGCTTCGCCAATTTCTCCGCAGCCTCGGTCTCCTTCTCCTTCTTCTCAGCTTCCAGTTTCTTCTTCTCCTCGAGTAACTCTGAAGCGTCTTCCTTGGCCTTCTTCTTAGCACCAATGTTCTTCTGGACCGCGTTTATCTTGGAGCCGAACTGAGTGGCATCGTATTGTGTGCGACGGTGGTCTTCAAAGTCGGCGATGATCTCGTCGACGATTTCTACGGGGGCGCATCGCTTCCTCTGGGACTCGCGGATTTTCTGTCCGTAAGATTAACATGTGCACAAGATTGAAGGGCGCGCGAGACGGAGCTGAGGAACACTTACTTCTGGGTCGCCACCACGCTCCTTGATGAAGTCGTTTCTGTATAGACACACATGTCAGCCATTATTCTTTCTTACCCTGCCACCTCCCCTAGTCTCGCTCTGCGCTCTCCATCTCTACCACTTCCAAGTGCAGCCCCTCCAACCCAAATTCTAGCGCGTGTCCAAGCAACCAACACTCTTTGCCTGTAGAATAAGAAGCAACATACATGTCGAGCATCTTCACTGTTTCTCAGCGAGTATAAGCTGGGCAGAATCGATCGCGTGTGGTCGTGTAGTCTCGTGTCGAGAAGATGTTCAAAACGCGGGACTCATCAGTGTCCCGCACCGCACTCAAACACCGACAGGGATTAGATTGAGAGGCCCGCACTAGATCGAAAAGGGACGGGGCTTGGCGCTTACCACTTTGGCCAGGCTGCACGGGAATTGGAAGTACTGCACTCGACAGATGTACTGCAAACTTGCCTCTTTGGGTAGGAAAGGTAAGTAATGTGGGGACGAGGGTATCAGGTAGATCTATGTATTTGAGATGGTATGGCACTGAATCTCAACTTCGTGAAGACTGAGAAGAGCCAAAACACATATTGCAGCATTTGGGAGCATCAAAGCGCAAACTACCAAATACAGTAGGCTGCACAGACTGCACACAATTGCCGTTGAAATCGGTGGCTTTTCCGTCAAAGCTTCAGAGCTTCCTAATCAAGGTCTGTGGGTAGGATGGTGGGTGGTGGTCGGTGCATCCAGGCCAGGCAAACCAATGTGGAGCAGCTTTTGCCAGTCGAGAATGCAGGGTCTACACAAATATGTCTACGAGCGGTCATGTACACACCAACAAGTCGTACACCAACGTATGTCGTCTATTGTTGAAAGTAACATAAGGTGATACGTAGTACTACAGCCGTGAAACATCGTAATTGAACCCCAGAATACCAGATATGACGCCGTTACACCGCCGCTTACACCATTACGCCAGTACATACTAATGCCTTCCGCATGGATAGGCGAGAACCACGACCCGTTAATGAGATGTCGTTCGGAAAAAATCAGCCACTGTCTATGCCATCTACACCAAACCAGATGAAAGTACACCTCCTCTTACCCGCCCGTAGACGTCTTCTTAAGCATATTGATCAGATGATCAAACGGATGCTTCAAGAAGTGTGAGCTGCTCCACCGCTTCTTCTCCTTGTCCTTGCGCTCCTGCTGGAGGGCTGGGTACTTGTCCACGCTGACGCCTTGGTAGAAGCACTCATATCAGTCAAGAATCTTGCAATTACATGACCGTACACTTGCTGCCGCCAGCGGGCTCACCAGGATTCTGAGACCGCTCCACCTCGGCAATTATGAGCTCGAAGGCCTTTTGTACGTTCTCGTTGTAGCGCGCGCTGGCTTCGGTCCAGGCACATTTGAACTCTGCGGCGAGGGCGCGACCGTCTTCGGACGTAACTTGGCGTTGTTCGGGGCGCAGATCAGACTTGTTGCCTACAATAACGAGGGGAACCCACTCGACAGCCTAGTAGGAATCTTGGTTAGGCAGTGGCGCTGAGAGAGTCACATGTCTACTTACCAGGTGATTCAAGATCTTATCGCGAATGATGCGCGCCATCTCGAAGCTCTGCTTGGAAGCGACCGAGTAGACAATCATGTATCCATGAATGCCAATAAAGTGCTTCGAGTTGAGTATACTGTATTCATCCTGGAGAGCAATACCCGAGTCAGCGGGTTCCTCAAAAGAGCCTTAACCGTCGAGTTGAGGTATACAGCGAGGCGTGCGCAGCTGGGGGACGCGCGTGAAGCAGGGCGAAGGTGGGGCGTGGACCTGGGCGTTGCTTCGCGACGCGGGGGAAAAGAAAACCTCATGTACCTGGCCAGCCGTATCGATAATCTCAGTCGCATAGTCCTGGTTCTTGTACTTGATCATCTTGCTAAAAGTATTCTCGATAGTCGGGTAGTAGCTGTCGACAAAGTGCCCATCGACAAATTGCACTGTCATACTCGACTTGCCTGTCGATTGTTGGGTCAGCATGTTGTTTGCTACTACTTGCATGTGAAGGCAAGCTTGCGCAAGCTGCACTCAACAATCACATACCGACGGCTCTGCTGCCAACAATGGCCACCTTTCTCTGCTTTGGTGGGGGTGCCATTTTCTTGCTGTTGCTGTTGCTGGGTTTGGTAGGAGGTCGTGAGGAAGCTGAACGACTCGCCAGGTTTGAAGTTTGGTTGTCTCAGTTGACCGCTGAGACGTAGCTGCCTAGGTTGCGTTTGGTCGTCCGGACCTGCCAATTGCCTGTACGAGCTAGCTCCCAGCCCGGAATGACGCCGTCTAGCTGCAGGTGATGGATGCGCGTGTGGGACGAACAAGCTGGGTCACTGGCCCAAGCGCTGTAGCTGCTGTTAAGAAGATCGAGATGCTGGCTTCGGCAAGAGTCGTAGGTAGAGAGTGGACGTGGCTCAGAAAAAAAAAGTCCCCGACCGCGTGTTGATGCCGTCATGTCTGCCGGCTCATCTCTCGATATAGCACCTGCATATCAAAGTTGGGCAACTATGATATATCGCTTTGGGCATGGCACCGAACGAGTGGTATTGGGTTCCCGAGTTCTAGCCATCCAACCCGAACAGTGCACATCGAAGCCGGCGAATCCAGAGCTTCTCGAAGCATTGCTTTACGTACTGCCAATCGTCTCGAGTTTAGCGCGAAGCTGTCTAGCACACCACCCGCATACAAAACAATTCACCAACAACCACTTAAAGCGACAAGAACGTCCGAAATGTCAGAAACTCTTGCTGCCCTTCCCGACGCCCCGAGAATACAACTTAACCGAAATGATGTCGGGCGTTCTTGACTCAAGGCGGAACAATCACATGCGGGTTTCTGCCAAAGTGGAAAAAAGTTGCTTGCGCCGGATATTACACAGCCGCTGCATGGAACTTCTATAGAAGAAATCTCGTAAATTGTCCCGACGGCAAAGACCCTCCACTTACCGCCAGTTGCGTCACTTCAACCGGCTTTCTGGGACGGGTGCAGCCTTACGAACGTGGTGCGTGCGTGGTTACAAGCCTTCATTTAGCCTTTACTGCCTACGCGATGGGATACGAGCGTAAAACAGTGACGGATAGACGATATATATCTCGATTAGTGTCATTTCGTATACCGTTAATGCAATCGCTGCCGGAACTTCCTAAGCCTACAAAGCCTCAATGCACGACCGTACTATCCATCTTTTCTTCCAAAGTGCTAGGGTATCGTGATCTTCAAGACAATACAAGTGAATCGTTCCCAGTGATGACTGCATATCGTAATTCAGGGTATCATGCCATAGTCGCCAGAGACCAAACCGATAAGAAGCCCGCCATGACGGAGGGCACAAGTCTTCGCCTGATGGCAAACACTCTGAGAATAATTCAAGTAGAGATTGGGTACATGGGTCAATGTTGAACCAATGCCCAAGCTTGCACCCTAAAGTCAAGCTTCCATCAATCCGCAAGATTATCAAACACCCGCATTCTGCAGCTTTTCCACGACGAGCATGAGGCGCGCGGTATAGGTTTGCAAGGCCTCTTGACCCTCTGCTCCATCAAAGTCTTCCTTCTGATCAACGTGCTGATGCACACGAACAAAGTCTTTGATGCTATCAACCAGCGTATCGAGTTGCTTGTTCGGTAGCAGCATCCGGACTTTTGTCCTTATGATTTCGTTGAGACTCAGGTTACCAATAAGGACACCAAGATACCCGGTGGCCACACCAGAGTGAGATTCTTCCACAGAAGCAGCCTGTGAAGTAGTTAGCATCGCTGAACCATCACCGTGTAAAAAGAACATACCTGAGAAGCACGCTTCGGTCCGTCCAAGAAGATTTCGACCAATGTGTCAGTCTCATCAGCGACGTTCAGCCTCATCTGATCACTCAACTCTGCAAGATTGATGGCGGCACCCAAACTCAAAATCAGACTATCCAAGATCTCTGTTCGCTCCTCTAGTGCCAAATCTGTGTTGATTGAACGAGACTTTTCAACAATGGATTGCATGAGTGGCTGGACAAAGGCCTTCGTTGAAAATGGCTGGCAAGCTTTTGGTTTATTGTTGGTCAGATTCATGCAGAGCTTAACGGCAAGCATGGTCGATGCTGCAGCATCAGGCTGAAAGAACCTAGGCATGAACTTCGCAATCTGTTGAAGCACACCAGTTGACCAAGTAGCTTGTATTTGTCTCGTAGCTGAGGTCGACTCCAGTATCGAAAGTACCATCTCCAGTGTCGCATCGTCTTCTGGCGCTGCATTTTTCGACTCCGATCGATTGTTCGAAGCTGAGGCAATCTCGACAATCTGAGATATCATTGTTTGGTTGAGAAGCATATCGGCGTTGCCAGCCTTCCGCAGCCCAATAATGAGCAACTCAATGGCTTTCAACGCCACTAGCTGTGGTGATACCTTCTCTGTTACTGCGGGCGACCAGATATAGGATTGCTGGACCAAGGCGCGAAATGAAAGGACCGACTCTTTCGCGATCTTTGACAGGTTTGTCTTCCGATCTTTTGCAATCTCCTTGATGTCTGCACCGTTTCCAGCAAGTTTGATTAGGTTGGCGAGACTCCCAGTCTCATAGAGCTGGCCCAGGACAGAATAGGCAGGGTTGGTACGCAAGACGAAGACGATTGCGACAGCAGCGACAAAGTCGAAGACGATCTCGCAGCTGACAGAGATGTTCTGGAAGAACTGGTGGGCAAGAGCTGAGTCGAGAAGCTGATCGCAAAACTTCTCGTCCGCCATCTTGGTGCATAGATCAATCATGGCACTACGTCGTATGTTTTTACTGGTGGTGGCGGACGTCTCTTCAATCATCATCTCCGCTTCATGATGGAGGACCGCGTTGCGGCCCCGAGTCCTAAGCTCATGCACCTGCTGAGCCTGTGCTTGGCTGTTCTCTGCGTCACTCTCAGATACAGATCTAGTCTCCCTTTGGGACTGCGACCCAAAGCCGTCGTCCAAATCCATCGATATAAGTAAATCATCTTCCGGGTTGTCTTCCCTCAGATATGACCGTGCCATGGCGTAAGTAAGTTTTGGGCGCACACCAAATCCAGACGTGTTTTGTGATGTCTGAGAGTCAACCTTGCCCTGATTGTCCACGTCCATGTTGTCGGGATGCGTACTTGAGAGACGGGCTTCTCCGGAATTTTGCAAAGGTTTCCCCGCAGTCCAAGAATGATTTGAGCTTACTTCCGAGTCGTCTCCAACCTGGCTGCTACCTTCTTCATCGCCATCTGAGCTGGGCTCTGATGGTTTGAGGGTGTCGATGAGTCTAGTCTTACGAGCCTTAGCACTATGTGTGACATCAGATTTTGACCTAGCTAAGCTGCCGATGAGTGATCTTGGCTTGCGATCCGTCAACTGTAAATTGGAGAAGTTTGGCATGGGCGTAGTCGAGGATGAGGAGTCGCTTAGCAAACCACCAAAAAGGTCCTTTTGTCGCGGTGTTATCGAGCCTGGCATGGAGGCTTTCGACTGACGAACAGGCGTAGTCAAAGGATCTGGTATGTCATACATAGTCTCATCTTCTAACTCGGCAACTTCAAAGACTTCCTTAACAGGAGATGGCTTCGATGGTTGGCGGCCGGGAATCATGCCGTTGAGCATAGCCGGAGAGGATTGACCCTTGGTAATCGTTCGCGACGCTAACACAGGTACAGTACGCTGCCTTGTCTTTGTCGGTTTGTTGATTGTTGGCGCCGGTGGCTGCACTTTCTGAGTCGAGCTTGTGATGGGCCGGTTCGATGACCCATGTCCCGGTGAAGCGCCATCTTCGTTCTTTTGATACTTCCGACTCCGCTGAGGCACCGACTGTTCAGGCTTCTGGTGCACTATTGGTCGATTTACGGTGGCAGTGGAAGAAGCGGACCCTTGGCGCTTGCGTTTTTTGGAGGCATTGGAATCGTCAGACTCGACCGTATCCTTGTGAGATGCTTCAGAAGTTGTTTTGGACTTTTTGGCAGCCTCTTTTGGTCCTCTCGATTGAGCTTGGCGTGAGATCTTTTTGACCGTTGGTGGTGCCTCTTCGTCCGACATTGGAACGTCGAATACGGCCAGATCGTCCACTGGTTTGGCTGGCGCCTTCCCTAACGCTTTCTTCGCGGGTAGTGCCGGTGCTGTCCTTGCAGTCTTCTGAACCTTGACCTGTGATGACGCAACCGTCGCTGCCTCTGAAGGTGCTTTCGCCTTGACCACCGGCCTGTGTGATAACTTGTGGTCTTGTGTGGTCTGTTTCGGTGCTTGTACGAGCTTAGGCGTTTTTTCGCGTATTGTTCGAGGAACGGCCGGATTGGAGGATGAAGGCAGCGACGACTGTGCGGGCTTTGGAATATGCGCGGGCGTAGTAAGCTTCTTCTTCTTCACGGCGATAGGCTTTGCGTCATCGGGCTTGCGCAACGGCTGTGCGGCTCTCGCTGGCTTCTTGGATTCTTTGAGAGAATCATCTTTGGAGGGAGCTGTAGCTTCCAAGTCCACTTCAGGTATGCGACGCTTCGGTATTATTTTCTTCGTAGGCTTCGGACGCGACAAGAATTCGTCTTCAGAGGGCACGTCGAAGATGTCGAGTCCGTCGGTCTTTGCGCGCGCAATTTCGGAACCAGATCCACCATTCAATTCGCTTCCAGCTTTGTTCAGCGAGCCGTTTGAGGCTGCCGTATGTTTCCGCGGTCGCTCTGGCGATGGAGGCGCATCGTCGTTGGAATCGGGTAGAGGTGGCGGGAGGGCGGAGTGACGCGACGCTTTGCCATAAACCCTCTTGCGACGGTCGCTAGAGGTGAAATTGGCGAACATGGTCGTGGCCATGTTTGTGAGAAGATGTGTTGTGGCGACGCTGCACAAGGTGACTTAGACGCGCATCTCGCAGGTAGCAGTACCTGGGTGAACCGTGGGTGATGTCTCGGCAATCACCATTCACGCTCACATTGCACGGGCCGACGCGTTAATTCACCGCAAACCTCACCTCATTGCAACGACATCATCACCATCACGGTCAAACGCTCAAAGCGGAGGTTTGCATGGTGGCTGGTGATCGAAGCAGGGACCCGAACGCAAGGCACGCTAAACAGCGGGGCAAGGGTTCCTCCTTCCCAAACAGAGTGAAGGACTTCGCCGACGGTCACGAGCCTAGACTGTTACTCCACCTACGCTCCAGCTCCTCTTTCTTGCCTCTTATCTAGAGGTCATATCTGTTAATAAAAGTCCCCTCTATCGTTTGGTTTTACTCTTGAACCGACCCCATTCTCGCTACCCCACCAATATCAAATTACCTTCCAACACCACAAATCTTTAGTCCCATATTCAACCTCAGGTGAGCCCTTTTCAGCACACATCAGTTTTCATGGCAACTTCCGTGCAAACCCTGTCCATGGATTTGTGACATGTCTTTGGATTTGAACATGGCAAAAATTCGAATGACTGACCAGCTGACTGTAATCAGCCTATTACCTCAAACATGTCTTCCGACTCTCAACCTCCCTCAGAATGCTTGGGACCCGAATATCGTCCCGCGGCCCTGAAGCCAACAGCTACCGTCTCAACTCCTCTCAAACAGAAGAATGTCCATATTCTACCCCAGTCCCCTCAGTTGATAGCATTGCTCACGTAAGAGCCCCATGAACCATGGTCACTACCATAAAAGGGTAATTGACTAACAAGATCAAAGCATGATACGAGATCGCAACACTGGCCGCGCAGACTTTATCTTCTACAGCAACCGCATTATCCGTCTGCTTGTGGAGGAAGGCCTCAACCACCTGCCAACAGAGTCGCAGGAGATCACTACCCCTGTAGGCCGCACCTACTCTGGTGTCAAGTTCGAAGGCAAGATCTGTGGTGTCTCGATCATGCGTGCGGGAGAGTCCATGGAGCAAGGATTGAGGGACTGCTGTAGAAGTGTACGCATTGGAAAGATCTTGATCCAGAGGGATGAGGAGACCAGCAAGCCGAAACTGTACTACGACAAGCTACCCGAAGACATTAGCGATAGGTGGGTCTTGTTGCTGGATCCCATGCTGGCCACTGGTGGTTCAGCACTTATGGCTATTGATGTGCTCAAGTCGCGGGGCGTACCAGAGGAGCACATCCTCTTCCTCAACCTCATTGCCAGTCCAGAAGGCGCGCAGAACCTTGCGGATAAGTTTCCCAAGGTGAGGGTAGTTACCGCATTTGTTGATGCGGGTTTGGACGAGAAGAAGTAAGCTGCCCTTACCCAATCTGAGTATCCGTTGCTAACAAGATGTCTAGCTATATCGTCCCTGGGCTGGGCGACTTTGGCGACCGATTCTACACAATGTAAGAGTAGTCAACAACATGTCCGATTCATCAAGCGCATTTGTTGGGCGTAGAGCGGCTCGGTTTTGCTTGAGCATGGTAGCATAAGGCTGTTAAGACGAAGATGCATGATTTCGAGCAATTTGGGAGCCTCTGATGTGCAAGCTTCATTACAAATTTCTATAGATCTTGCTCAGCTAACCGTGAACACGTCTCAGCCTGATGCTGACGATAATGAAACGCCATTGTGAATCTGTGGATCTTTTTGGTATCCTAAACGCCGTGCAAGCCGTGGCCCCTTCCCATGTTCCCATGTGTTATACAAGGCCCTAAGCCTTCGTGTCCTGCTGCTCCTTCGCTCCTGCCGACAGGCGACTTAGTCTGCGTACTCACCCTCGGCATCAGGCTCGTCGTGTTCGATGAAGCCGCCGTCGCCATCATCGTCTTCTTGGTTGTGTGCCGTCGGCATTCTGCCCATGCGATTCGTACTCCGCGCGGTATCGACATTGCCCTTGGCTGCCTGCTTCGCAACCGCGTCACAGGCATCAATCCAGTCGGCATACACGTCGACGGGCGCACTGAGGTAGTTGATGTTTGTCTGGAAAGTCTGGCCGCAGACCTTGCACTGCAGGTTGCCGACACCGGACTTCTTTTCGATGGAGACGCTGACGGACTTTTCGTGGTTGCAGAAGAGGCATTGGAACGTGGTTGGGAGTTTCTCCTTCTGCAAGGGTGTTAGTCAGCGGAACCTCTAGAGACATGGGGTATGGCGTGCCTTCTTGGGGCCTTGAGGCTTGCTGGAGGATTTGCGCTTGCCCTGTCATTGCCATTAGTTTGCGAATGCGATAGGTGAAGCCGGAGAGGACATGCCATTTTCTCGTCGTCTCTCGAGTCGCCGAATGTAGAAGGTGTGTGAATACGTGGCTATTATCTAGCGACTGCGGTGTGGATATCAAGGCGCGGATTCGATGACTGTCGCGCTCTGGTCGTGTGCAGTGACGCGAAATCGCGAGTTTGGGGTGAATGCGTCTCGAGTCTCGCGTGGTTCCGACCGCCAAGATCCCTGTCGCTTCCCTTGCAGCTGCCGCATACGTCGATAGCCGATAAGCGTCCCCGCTCCTATCAGCGCTCTCTCCGAGCCTCATGCACGTGTATAGTCAGCTGTCCTGTGGTGCTGGCACCGCCGGCGAGCTCCTAATATCTGACCACATTGCTCTTTCTCTTCCTTTCTTCTCCTCTCTTCTCTGGATCTTCCTGATCCCCTTTGATATCTGTTCAAAGTTGCGTTTGTGCCTCTCCTTGCTACCTACGTCCACATCATCGTGTGTTTGTCCCACCATCGGCACTCACCGGTCTTTGTTTCACGTCCCGACACGAACCCGGCAATCACAATTGCTATTTTCCCCAAGACCCGAGAGCTTGCACTGCTTTGTATAAAGATTAACAATAGCAAACATGTCTTCTGAAAGCATTACCAGCGATGCTGTCCTTAAGGAGATCCTCGAAGGGCTCAAGGCCCTTCGATCGGAGAACTCCGTACTGGCAGCTTCAGTTGACAAAATCAACGGCCGTGTGAACATGCTGGCAGGCATCAAGCAAATCAAGGATGAGGCAGCAGATGCAGCTGCTAGTGGAAAGCTAGACGGCGAGAAGGCCAATGGTGTCGAACCAGAAAAGTCCAAGTCCGTAGAAGCCGTTAGCGAGCAGTATGAGCAGCCACCTTCAGATGCTGATGCTCAACCACGTCGCACGAGTGTATCCAAGATTTCAAAGATCATCTTGACTTCATATCCTGGTCAAGCTGGTGTCGACCCGTTGCCCATGCAATGGGGTGCCAAGGACCCTGCTGTTCGTGGCCCTGTCGTTGTTTCAAGACATGCGAACACTATCCGAAGACGCAACGGTACGTAAAGAGGAAATGCATTAGAAATTGGCTTATAGCTAACGTATCTCAGCTATCGGTGCTCACGGTGGCTCGTACTCCATCTACAATGCTCTGGCTGTAGCAAGCAAGAACCTCGACATCACTCACAAGCCAGACTTCACTAACACCGAGCCTGCTGCAAAGATCGGTCCTTTCCCGCAATGGAGTGATCCAAAGAAGATCGTAGCCATGGATCCATACGGACATCTTGCACCATGGCTGTACAAGGAGACCATGGACAAGGATGATGTGGAGATCAGACCTACGATTGCCATTACCAGAGCGCACATGAAGGTGCCAGAACTTGAGGAGAGCGTACGAAAAGGCAGACTTGTTCCCGACGGTAAGATTTGCATGAACGAGACAGGTGAAGTTGCCGTCACCAAGGTTGCAGTTGAGCCTGTATGGTACTTGCCTGGTGTTGCTGAGCGCTTCAATATTGGTAAGTCGTATCATCGCGGAGTCTTTTCTACTCTGACTAATGGACCCAAAAGATGAGGGAACTCTTCGCCGGACACTTTTCGAAGAGACTGGTGGCTCTTATCCTGAGCTCATCACCCGTCACGACATCAAGCTCTTCCTTCCTCCCATTGGCGGTATGACTGTCTACATCTTTGGTGACCCAGCAAAGATGTCCGATCCCAGCGCAAAGCTCGCTCTCCGCATCCACGACGAATGCAACGGAAGTGACGTATTCGGATCTGACATCTGCACATGCCGTCCTTACCTCACTTTCGGTATTGAAGAAGCAGTCAAGGAGGCCCAGAAGGGTGGTAGCGGTGTCGTCATCTACTTCCGCAAGGAAGGTCGTGCTCTTGGCGAGGTCACCAAATATCTTGTCTACAATGCCAGGAAGCGAGGCGAGGATCGTGCCAGCGAGTACTTCAAGCGCACTGAGAACATCGCGGGTGTCAAGGACATGCGTTTCCAGGCTCTGATGCCCGATATCCTGCACTGGCTTGGTATCACCAAGATTGACAGAATGCTCAGCATGTCCAACATGAAGCACGATGCTATTGTCGAGCAAGGTATTCCAATCCATGAGCGCGTGCCTATTCCTGATGACATGATTCCGGCGGATAGCCGCGTTGAGATCGATGCCAAGATCCAAGCTGGTTACTGTAAGTCTTTATATACTCTCATACCCTTGTGCATTGCTAACATGGGACTTACAGTCACAACCGGTCATGTCATGTCGATGGACGAGTTGGCAAATGTAAAGGGTCGTGGTTGGGATGATGTCGATGTAAGTGCAATCATGTGAACCTCATCTACATGAACGAGTCGATACTAACTTCAATTTACAGCACTGAAGCACCAGTTCATCGAATGAAAAAAGTGCTGTTTTGTAGAAGTCTACTCCAAGAAATGTGATGATAGTCAAGAAAATCGCGGCTCCAACCGTACAGCCAAAACACAAAATAAAGAACAAAGATCACACTGCTCTACCACCATTCATGCTTCTTGGTGCAATATAGCAACCCAAAACCATGACTATTCGTTGCTATCATCTACATCACCTTCATACGCAAACAGTAATCACCAGGCTTACGCTCAATCTACAACATACAAGCGAACAACACCTTCTTCCAACCAATCGCTTACTGTCAAGCCCCCTCAGCACACGTATCCACCTAAACAAACGCACGCATATCGCGTTCCCATTGTCAAATCTCCCACCGTTCACCGCACACATCCCCCTCCCCCACCAAGACCCAGTATCCACCTCACCATTCCAGTCATACTCGCATCTGCACGTGAGAAAAGCCCACATCATCTCTGCATCTCTACAACACTAAGCCCAGTCTGCGCAAACGATCCCCTTACTAGCTATTGTGATCGCTGTCACTATACAAGCATGCCTGGTCCCTATCGCCCTTGTCCCCTGGTTTTTTTGACACCCGCGCGAAGCCCTACCCGCACCTACCGCGCATGGTCTCGTGTGACAGATACCGTATGCATGTAAAAGGCATTACGGTAGGACCAGGATCTACCGTCCGGTGTGTTACACGAGTTATGTGGATAAGCGTACGTAGAATCCAGGGTCTAGATGTCGGATTTTGTGGGTGGGCTGTGTGCACGTGTGAGTGGTGTAGGGAAAGTGGGGGAATAGGGTAGCTTGGTCGGTAGGGTAATGTGAACGGAGCAAAGGACACCGATTGATTGCCGGGAGCGGCCCGCTAGCTATGAAGTTTGACCGCTGGTGTTGGTACACGTTTTTTTCTTCTTCTAGTTTACCATTATTGCAGACCGCTTCTTTGATTGTGCGAGGATGTGTTCACTTGTAAATGGATACATGTCCACTAAGATGCCTTGGTATGTTTCAGGTTCTGGGAAATGGAGGTTTAATGTGGTGGATAATTTTGCTTTCGCCATGATGTCGCCGTAGTTCTGTTAGTTCATCGTGCAAGGTGGACCGGGAAGATTGTGTTCTTATTTGCCCGAGTGTGGAAGGAAGAAATATGTGCCATTTGGTTGGTTGGTCAGTTGTAAGAAATAACAAAGTGGAGTGCGGTGCAGTCTGGATAGTGGCGGTAAACCCGTCACATTGTCGGCGACCGTTTCTGCGTTGCCGCAGTGACAAGCGCTTCTCTACTCGCTCGCTCGAGAAGGAGGAAGCTGCAATTACTCGGCATGGTGGTGAGCGGGTATATGTTTCAGTATTCGGGAGGGATCGGCAGCGAGATCTGCCGTCGAAGCGTGTCTGGATTTGCGGAGAATTACTTGGGGCAAAGATGTCTGAGCTGATGGTGTGGTGGTGAGGGGTCATGTTGAGGAGGGGCCCGGCATCGTCACGAAAACACCAACGCCTGGGAGTTCTCTTCGGAACATGGAAAGCTAAGGTATGCGAACTTTGGTTGTAGTGGCTGATCGTACCCGGTCCGAAAAGAGTACATGGGAATCTATCGTCGATGAGGATGCGGAATTGGAAAGATGCTGTAAACGGCCGCGGCTATGACGGCGTGGAGGGGTACCCGCTTCCCGGGTTTGACATGCACGTCGGCATGGCTAACCACATCGCATGTACACAATGACGGACTGGGCAGCACGGCATGATGCTAGACAACTTTCGGCTCCTGCATCTGCCTCTCAAATTGGACGGACAGGTGAACTGTTGGTCTGCCTATGGGATCTCTCGTGTATATACAAGAAGGGCCGCACTGTGCTTCTAAAGAGATATGGCATGGTCCCTTATCAGCGTTTTGTTGAACGTCCGGTGTTAGGCGGCCAGCTGAGAAGGCATCGTTGGGATGAGGACTATCAAATCGGAGCGTTGCCCGCTCTTCATGGAAAGCATGGCAACATGTGAGAGCAGCTGACGCGGAGGTGGAGCGAGACGAGGTAACAATCGTTCCAGAACCAAGTCAGACATAAGCATTGCCGACAGAGTTACGTTTTGTGGCATTCTAGTTGCAAAGTCAAAAGTGTGAGGGGCAGATCCGGGGATAGCAGGATGGCTCGAAATTATCCCCAGAAAATACTCGCAATCGTTCACTATTGCATCGCCAACTCCCTTTGTTTGTTGCTACATGAGTGAATGCTCAGTTGTGCAAGGGATATCACTCTGATTGCGATTGTCTCAAGTATTAATGATATATTGCGACTTGCGACCCCTCGTGTACCCCTAAGCGGTAGAATGTCGGGTACGCGTCTCCCCCTCAATGGCTATGCAACGGAGGGACTTTACCGACGTGACATCCACAACACGAGAGACCATTATCGAAGGGCTGTGGGTAATAGCGACCGGTGTCGAACGCGTTGGTGTCCTCGCGTGTCTTTATGCTCCAACCGGATCGCACGAAGGCGTTGGAAGGATGCCCTTGCAAGTGCAACGTTCTCGACTTTCAATGACAAGGGATTGTCATCTGCATTGCATGACACTGCATAAATAGAAACCTCAGCTGAGGCAATGTCGTCACCAGCAAAGTGGCCGATATGAATGAGGCTCATTGCAGGTCCGGTACCTGTCTCATTGTCGCACAAACCGCAGGGTGGTCTGTAGAGGTGTCTGGAACTCGATAACAACTTAGGCTACGGATAAGCATACGTGTGCCCCTCGAACGTTCCTGATACACAGCAAGGAAGGCTCGCCCAGTTTCCAGGGCGAGTAACAAGGCAGAGCTGGTTCTGTCATCACCGCGCAGCCATGACGGATGTTCATTGGGATGGCGGCTTGCATCCGCCGATGCCATGGTTTGAGGATGCGACGGCGCCGCTATGGCAGTGCACTCCCGCTCTTCCGGCGAGGCCTTGGATCGAGTTGCGCGATGCCAATCAGGAACGGCCGACACGAATGACCTGCCACACCGTAAGCGCACTCCAAGGCGAAATCGACCTTTCCGAATTGGCTACCTAGGTACAATGCCAGTGTCTGCTTCATCACAACAAAGTGTTTCAGGTCTGTCATCCGCCTCGTCGTCGGCGGTGGCCAACTCACACCTGCAGCAGCTCGCAGCAGACTACCAGACTAGAGAAATGGACGTGAGGTGGTCTTGTGTGCACCAGGGGCGAGTCAGGGCGAGTCAAAGCATGACAGCACACCTCCCTTGCAAACACACTAATTCTGAACGTCCACGTTTTCTGGCGGTACCCACTTCGGCATGCATAACTAGCCCAAAAAGCCAGCGATGTCGAGTGGGGAGCTCCGGGCTGCTGATGCACTTGGCGTCGACCAGGGTGCCTGGAACAGCCAGAGGCGTCACTATACATACGTGCATTCGGTAGTATGGGGTGAATAGCGTCTAGGCGATTTGGACACCATTATTATACTACCCTCCCGCTCACTCCGTCATCCTTCAATTCCCAAACCGCAGTTAATTCTCCGACTTTGACATTCGCTCGTTGTCGATCGACGCACATCTTCGCCATGTCTAGCCACCCACGATACTACTTCTCACTACCTACCGAGGCGCCACAACGATCCCGCTCAGCAAGTCGGCGGCCACCTCTAACACCGTCAACTGTTTCTTCGCCATGCCTCACCACACTCGTGCCTGTAACTTCTCGACGGGATTCTGGCACATCAACATCGAGCAGCCCGACCAAGGCCTCTATCCTCTTGGCTAAGGTTGCCTCATCGCCTACTACACCTCGAGGCGAGACGCCACCTGGAAGCCCAATGCTCACTCCACGGTCGAGGCTGCAGTCAGAACCGGCCTATTCTTCTGAGAGGCCATCGATGTCCAGGACTGAAAGTGACCGCTACGTCAGGCAATACAGGCAGCAGGGTAAGCACTGAACCGAATCACTTCCTACGAAGCAGCACAAGCTAACATTCTTCTAGATGGCTACATCAGCTTTCCTGACTTTGAGAAGTTTTGCCAAAACCAGAATCCATATGGCGAGCAACAGCAGCAATCTGATGTCAGGACATGAACAGACATGCATGAGTCTTTGATGTTATGCAACAAGGACTTGTCTTTTCAACAACACCCACCAACCCCATCACCGAATCGCCAGCCAGGCTTACGCTCCTTACCATGAGTTGAAGTACCGTAATCTGGACCCAGAGCATCGCAAGTTGATAGTATTCTATCTTCTGCTTGACTGGTAGTCCATCTGACTATCACTGCATCGTCTTTGCTGTCAGCAAAAGTGAGAATGAACAGGGATCAGATCAGCAGATCTATGTCACGACAGTGAAATGTCGAGATGTAAAGAGGAGGGAAGGAATCATTGAGGGTGGTGTGCGCGGGTATGTCTCGTCATGCTAGACGCAGCGATTCAGCTGCGGCCATGATCGCATTGTTGCCACATGGAGTGGAATGCTTGGCACTGCCTGGAGGACACCTGAGAATGAGTGCGACTCGAATTTGGATGGGGGCGCTAGCGTGTGCGAAGGGTAGTCTAGTCTGTTCGTTACAGCTGAAAGAACTGTAAAGGGATCTAGAGCCACTACAATGTAACCACATGTACATTACTCAACGTGTCCGATTTGACCGAGACCTGCCGTGAACGATGTTGTTGGTTTCCATTGCATTGCCAGGCATTTGTGGCGTGAAGTTGGTCGTGCCCCATGTGTTCTCCATACTATGGCGGCGGCGACGACGACGACGACGACGACGACGACTATGATAGTGCTTCGTTGCCATGATGTAACTGCAGCACCTCTCTCTGCTGTGCCCTGTTCATTACTGTGATGATTAACACGCACGCACTTTACACGTTTACTTGCAAATTTGCAAGGCGCAACTCCAGGATTTCCACATGTATCGCGACGCATAGGAGATCAAGCAGCTTAGCAGCCATGAAAGGACCCGTTCACTACGGATCTTCTAGATGATGTGCATTCGATTGGAGGTTGGTGTTGCTGATCACCGCGCTCGATTTTGGGGCTTGGCACACGTGATGCGCTACTGGGCTCGCTTAACGGATTTTGAACACCACCAATTTGCGACTCTCAGCCTTTTGACATCGACAGCGACAACCACCCTCCCGACTACCGACAACAAGACTCGCAATCATGGCTGTCGGCAAGAACAAGCGTCTTTCAAAGGGAAAGAAGGGTCTCAAGAAGAAGACCGACACCTTCGCGAAGAAGGACTGGTACAACATCAAGGCCCCAGGAACTTTCGCCGTCCGAGAGTAAGAATTCCCGCTGCGCTGTACACGGGGACTCAATGCTTACTCTTCGCTCTTTGTAGTGTCGGAAAGACCCTCGTCAACCGTACCACCGGTCTCAAGAACGCCAACGACGCTCTGAAGGGCCGGATATTCGAGGTTTCGCTCGCCGATCTCCAGAAGGATGAGGACCACGCTTTCCGCAAGGTCAAGCTCCGCGTCGACGAGGTCCAGGGCAAGAACTGCCTGACCAACTTCCACGGTCTCGACTTCACCTCCGACAAGCTCCGCTCCCTCGTCCGCAAGTGGCAATCCCTCATCGAGGCCAACGTCGTTGTCAAGACCACCGACGACTACCTCCTCCGCCTCTTCTGCATTGCCTTCACCAAGCGACGACCGAACCAGGTCAAGAAGACCACATACGCCCAGTCGTCCCAGATCAGGGCCATCCGCAAGAAGATGGTTGAGATCATGGCCCGCGACGCCAGCTCATGCACCCTCGCCCAGCTTACCCAGAAGCTCATCCCCGAGGTCATCGGTCGCGAGATCGAGAAGGCCACCCAGGGCATCTACCCTCTCCAGAACGTATGTGGTCTACAGCACAACGGTGTATGACACAGGCTAACGTAACACAGGTACACGTACGAAAGGTCAAGCTCCTCAAGGCACCCAAGTTCGACCTTGGTGCCCTCCTCGGTCTCCACGGCGAGTCAAGCCAGGATGACTCTGGCCAGAAGGTTGAGCGTGAGTTCAAGGAGACCGTCCTTGAGCAGGTTTAAGGTCTTGTTGGATAGGCAAGGGGTTCTTGGGTCTTTTCAACTTTCCGCGGCATGATATCGGCATTCCAAAGGTGTTTGTGTTTACAAATGAAAGATAAACATGGCCCTTGATGCGATCCCGCGGCAGTGATGGCGTGCATGGGGTACGATCCGCATCTGGTGTTAACAGGTCATGCGGGAAAAGTATCATGGAAATGACATTGATGAGTTCCAAATTCATACCTACTGCCATGCGTTCTTGATCGTGTCTGTGGTATGGCGGTCCAATCCTGACGACTGGATTGCAGTCGTGACCATGCCTACATCGTGCGTTGGATGCTGCAGTCAACATTCGCGCATCGTGAAATCTATAGAATTGGGGTGGAGCTATGGCACCCTTTGATCATGAAGATGGTGTTCTATGAGCAGTGTGAACATGCGAGAGTATAGTGGCATGGTACAAATTTGAAAAAAAAAATGTTCAAAGTCAAGTCGAGGAATGCCTCGACGGATGAGATTCACACCACCACTATCCGCACAGTACTTTCATGCTTGTCCTCGGACAGGCTACGTCCGTGATATGAACAAAAAGTAATGCCTTCCGCCAGAATTGAACTGACGACCTCGTCATTACTAGTGACGCGCTCTACCACTGAGCTAGGAAGGCTGATCTGAAGCTATTGTGCTTGCTGTTGAAGAATTGTGGAGTAGGCCATATTATATCCTTGGACGTTGTGCAACCCGTGGTCTGTCCGAACATCTGGTCTACAATCGTTCAGGTTCAGGGGTTGGAGCACTTCACTAGAACTAGCCAAAATCGGAGGTCATCTTCCGACAACGTCCTTCCAACGTCCAAACACCCATGCACAAAAGTCTCCGACTACGTCTCCAACCTCCGATGTACTCCCTAGTCACCATCACGATCTCCAAGCTATAAACTTCGATCTGTACTCTAAACTCTGATAACAGAACACCAGGTCACCAACGCCCATTGCGGTCCTACTTCGTTCATAGCCCTGCGGTGTACAAATGCCAATGTGACAATCAATACATTATCGTGTACATCGAAGAGTCTCGACTCTGATGATCAGTTATGATGATGTGGCTTTGCGTTTTCTCTTTCGCGTGGAAGCGGGAAGACGATTCAAGTTTCAGCGTTGGTGGTGTGTTGGTGTTGAGCGGCACCTCACCGCTACTTTGACGAGGAGGAGACGTCAGCGCTTTCGCGAAGTAGCGATACCACGGTACGAAAGAATGGACATCGGGATCGATCGCAACTGTAGAAGGTACGAGGGATGTGATATGGGGATGTGGGAGAGAGTTTAGCTTGAGGTTAAGTGGGTATATTGGGTGGAGAGGCTCGGCTTTGGGCTGGGGTGAATTGTAAGACTGGGTGGATCACGAACATGGGACAGAATGCGTTCTCATCGTCGATGGTGATGGTCTGTCCAATGTTGTTGTATCCTAGATGCTTGCTTGCTTGCGAGTACGTATATACAGCGGTCCGATTCATGTAGCTACCTTACCGGCCCGTGCCCCGGTCAAATAGTCGCGGACACATACTATCGCGGCTCCGCAACGTCTTCCATATAGTTCTCTCGACACCGCCAGCCGCATATCGCGCGGCTATTATGTACGTCCGTATGCTGGTCATGCATGCACGTTGGCTCCGGTGAAAGCCCCAGTCTTAACGCTAACCAATCCTCCGCACAACCTTGCTAGTAGGCAAACCCTCCCTTCTTCTGATCCTGACCCGGATATCCCCCTTGGGAACCCTTGTGACCGCTCCATCAACCGCTTTTGGAAACACCCACCTGGCCTCTTTCCTCTTAGCATCCTCTTTCTCCCGATTCGCTTCCTCTTTAGCAGCCTTTTGCTCCGCAGTAAGGGCCTCGGCACCAAATGACGCTTCATTACCTGCTTCTTGGATGTGATCGAAGAAGCTCTTCTTTGGCGCAGGCGCGATTTCCCAAAGTTGGGTGACACCTGATACGATAGAGATGATGAGATCGGTCTTGTAGGACTGAGAGCTATCGGCAGGCGATAAGACAGACGACGAGACGGGAGTGTTGAGAAAGCGGTTGGGTCGAAACGTTTCTGGGGAGGCATGAAATGCTGACGACGAGTTTATGAGTGATTGAGAGAGACCCATGTCGATATATGTACCCGTTTCTAGTTCCCATTGCTCCTTCCCACCAGGACCGTCCTCCTGTAGATGGAGTGGCTTCTCGACTCTGTATGTGCTGGCGGAACAGGTATGTAGACGTCGAGCTTCGTTGATGCATGAGCGAAGATAAGGTAGAGAACTTGAAGTCAGCGCTTCCTTCACTGAGCCGAAGCGAATTTCCGGTGGTGCCGGAAAAGACGGATGTATTGATGGGGGTTGTACAGCTTGAGCCCAGGTCTTGGATTCTGATTTGATATTCTCGAGAGGTGACCCTTCTGGAGCCTTTACGTCTTGCGCGTTGGATGACGAGTAGATGTGAAGAACCGTCCAGAATACAAGTGGTATGACGTCTGAGTAGATACCATGTACTAGATGGAGACCGATCGAAGCTCGTAACTCGGCTGGTAGTTCATGTTTAGTGAATAGCTCGTTAAGCTTCATAAGGGGAGTGACTACGTCAGCGTCCGTGTCTTCCTCTCCGCTCACGCTCTCGTCATCGTCTGGTACCCTCCTTACTGGTGGATGTGTCAACTCTGTAAACAGATTTGCAAAGTTCTTCAGCAATCTCTTTCTTGCCAGAGCTGCTCCCGGCAAGCCCTGAACAGGCGTCAATCGCGGCAACCCGAGAGCGAGAGCCCAAAATCGTTCGTTGCAACTTGCCAGATCAGTAGCAAGCAGTTGATAAGACTCTGTAAACTGTGCTCCGACGATTGGGGGTAAAATAGCATTGCAACAAAATTCGTTGAGCAGTGTGAACAGATCACATTCGGCCTCAGAGGTGCCATCCGTAAGTTCCACGTTGGAGACGCGCTCCCATTGCATCTGGTCGACAATAGATGAGTTGAATGTAACGAAGTCCGGAAGTGATTCGGTTAATATGCGCAGCGATGCTTTGATCAATCCTTCCTCGGCCACACCTTTGTATAGCTCCGTCTCCACGACCTGATTGATTTCGTTCTGAATCTCAAGATAATGGCTCTCCATTACTTTCGGGAGGTTGAAAGTGTTTCGGAGAATAGCGAGTTGGCTGCTGTCTGGCAGCTCCAAACTATGCAAGTTCTTATAGATCTGGCCAAGCAAGGAATCTGAAAGCAGGATGTTGTGTTTGGTCCCAGCTGCCTTGTATGCCACTATGCTTGCAGTTGCAGAATCCCTATTGCCAGTCAGATCAACCCAACGGGCATTATCAACACGCTTACCGGACGCCGTTCAACCACTCCTCGCCTCCAAAAACAATGCTCCAAAGATGACGTACACCCGGGATCCAGTATGGCAGCGATTGTACCCGTCTCTTCCCATCTTGGCTTTTGACAACTTTTCCCGAACTCGATAGCAGCCTCGTAGGTAGTAACACGAAGACCGCCGAAATCGCAAACGTAGGTAATAGATCGAACCAGGAGAAGTCTTCGGGTATAGCTTCTTCAAGAGTTTGACCAAGACCAAAGTACCAAGCTAGAACAAGTATGAATGGACTGAATAGTGTGAGGTAACATAGTGGTAGAAACAACGTCCTTATAATGCCATTCGAGGCATATACGCTCAGGAACAGAGTCCTGAGGGAACCCATGTTGGCGGTGACAAAAGCAACGGTCTCCCCGCGCGTGCTCGGCGATCACTTTGTCCTGAGATGACGAAAAGGAAAATGCCCAGCTCTCGGTGCGTTCCGGAGAATAGCTGTAGAGGGTTTGTTGCGCGCGGTGAGGTCGTGAATAACAGTCGAATGATGTTCAGCCTCACGCCATGAGGCTCTTGCTCGGCGAGCTCGGGGGTTTGGAGCTGCGACCAGTCGGTAAGAACGGTTAAAACCGTTATGAAGGATTCAAGAACCTTGCAGGGTGTGATTTGATGCGGCTGAAAGTGATGTTTTGTAGGCCACGGTAACATTCAATGCACGCTAGGAGATGGATCCCTGCTCAGCTCGCTTATGAAAGGGCCTAAACATAGACCCCTCAGCCCTATCGCGATACTGTGAGACGGAGACATTGCACATTGTGGTATTAGAAGAGTACTAAGCTATCAACCCTAAAAAGTACGTGCTTTCAGCCCTCGCGGTACATCAGTCTGTGATGTCAAACGCCCTTTGTCGACTTAGACTGTCATTCAGACCGCTATCATTCTCATTGCGCCCTTCCCAACATGAGAACATTAATCCCACTCAGCAGCTTAACAAATCATATAAATCCCAACTAACGATCCCCATAGCACCAGGATCCATCAAGACGAACAATCAAAAATTCCGGAGCTACGCTCTCAACTACACTCATAATGTCACCCTCAAGCATTCCCACGGTCCTAAACTTCATAACGGGCAACAAGAACAAGCTCGCCGAAGTCCAAGCAATTCTTTCCGGTGCCATCGAGCTGCGGAATCAAAACGTCGATCTAGTCGAGATCCAAGGCACCGTTGAAGAAGTCACAAAAGACAAGGCACGGAGAGCAGCCGAAGCGGTAAGTAAAACAACAATCTAACCCACCTCGTGCTTTGGTATGGGAACACAGAATTCTCATGAAGCGAAATCAGGAGTTGTACATTTAGGATTTTGTTGGTTGCTAACGGACCCGTCGTTCAGATTCAAGGCCCTGTCCTAGTAGAAGACACATGTCTCTGCTTCAAAGCTATGAACGATCTTCCGGGACCGTATATGTATGTCGTCCTTCTCTTCAAATCCCTCCTCTTCTTCCTTTCCCTATCTTCTATCCCATGTGTTCCATTGGCACATCCTCTCAACTCCTCCCCAATAATTTCCCTTGAATAGCCGCCTCTCTAACACCCCTGATCCGCCAGTAAATGGTTCATGCTCTCCCTTGGCGCCCCCAACCTCCACAAAATGCTCTCCGGCTTTGACGACAAATCCGCCCAAGCCGTATGCACATTCGGATACTGCGAGGGACCAGGCCACGAAGCGATTCTCTTCCAAGGACGCACAGATGGCAAGTTGGTAGAAAGCCGGGGTCCAACTGTTTTCGGTAAGTGGCAGATCTTTTCAGTATTGTGTCGAAAGTGTGGGAGGGTTTGAGAAGGAGTACGAGGAGCTGACGATGTAAAGGTTGGGACTCGTGCTTCGAGTACGAAGGCCAGACATATGCTGAGATGGAAAAGAGCGAGAAGAATAAGATTAGCCATCGGGCTAAGGCATTGGACAAGTTGAAGGAGTGGCTGGCGAGCAAGAAAACTGAGGCGTAGAAGAGCATTCTGATTTGCTGTAGCGCCTAGAGCACAAGAACAGGGTTGAAGTGATAGTCAACCTCACCAGAACTCTTTTAAGAAAAAACATCGTCTTGGTATCATAACACATGCCATCGTATCACGTCGTACCTTTTTCCTCTCTCCCTCTAGATATTTCCAACTCGACCTACTCTTCCCCTTCCGCATTCTGCCTGTCTTTCCTCCACTGCTCAATCCATTGCTCCACCCGCTCCAAGTTGCCCTCGACGTCCTCGTTACTCTCACTCCTCAGCTCCACCACGATCTCTTCTTTATAGCTCTCCCTCGCCTCATCAAGCAGGACCTGCATGATTTCACTATCCATATTCTCCTCCAACTTCTTCCCCTTGTAGCCCCGTGCGGTGAGACGATCGTATAAAAGTGTGCTGTCGCAGCGCAGCACGATGACGAGGTCGATCCAGCGTTCGGGGAACAGGTCGCACGCGTGCCAGTCGAGGATATAGCCGCCTGTGCTGGCTAGGGGGAGGGATTCCAGGTGGTCGAGTAGCTGGATGAAACACACATTAGCCCGGGAAACCGTGATTGTTATGAGGATGTTACATACTTTGTCTTCGTCTACAATCCAACTCCCTGTCTCCTCATCTTTGCCCTCATGGAAGCCCTCGTCTTTGACAATCTGATTCACGGAGACGTGCTTGAATCCTGTTGCTTGCGCTAATTGCTCAGCGTGTGTTGTCTTTCCTACTCCGGGTGTACCCGTGATGACAATGTTTGGGTTCTGGCGCGCCATTTCCTCGTCGTCTCTCGTCGCAAAGTCGTGATCGGTCTCGGTCGCGTAGTTGGCAGGCTGTTGGGAGTTGTAGGCTTTCACAAGTCGTTATTTGTATGTGCCTTGCGATTGAAATCTATTGCCAAATACAGGTATATCCTGCAGGGTAATTGTGGTAGTACTTTGCGGGGTGAGGATGGTAGAGTATTGTGTAGCGTTCAGGTGCTCAGTCGCGTCTGCTGCTGATCGCATTCCAGAATTATTTTTCGAGCGCCCGAACTTCACCCGGCACAACCCCCACTACCCCGCACTACTCATCCTGACATGGCCCCCAAGACAAAGCAAATGCACAACATCTGAAGTGTGACGGCGGGTGCAAGGATACCTATGTAAGCACAGCATGTGTAACATCCTTCTAGAACGCATTGATAGTTGGTTGGGTATCCGGAATGAGGCGAGTGTTATCACACACTCCTGCCGAGGCAGATCAACATGCATCAACAGCATGAGCAAATTATACTGGCTCCTACCAAAAGTGAGGCTTCAAACTTTTCTTTTCATTGACCCGTAACATGCGCTCAAGACTACCTACGCCGTCTAAAATACCTCGTCAACATAAACATCCCTGAACCCAAGGAAAACATGCTGCAAAACCCCACCTAGACAACGCCGTAGATGCTAGCGATTGGTGGTTGTAAGAGCCCAGGAACCTGTTCGAGCAGATGTCTGGAGGGGTGAGAAGAAGTGGTGGGGGAGGGTAGAGAACTGAGTAGTTCTTAAGATATCTAGTCCAGAGGAAGCTCCAACCAACCATTGCCGAACGAACACCCCCGAACTCTTTTGATGCAGTATTACGCCGAGTAAGAAATCGTGAAGTGAAATATCGGACGTGGAGAGTCGTTTCAAAAAGACATCTCAGTGTGACAGAAGGCGGCTAGGAGGCTAGCTTGAACTGCACATGCCGCTTAGAACGACCTGGGGATATTGTGATCTTGGGAATGCGAGATTACTTTTCGTCGAGCATTTAGCTCTGCTTGCACTCAGCAGCCTCCTGCTTTGGTTTTGTGCCGTCGTTCTACAATCGTGTTAGTTGGTGTTTATTCAAACAGCGACTATAACTGCTTACCTCGTCATCTGATTCCTCCTCCTCGTCGCGGTCATCGCTGAGCTCATCCTCGTCCTCATCGTCTTCGTCCTCAAACTCGCCCTCGTCAAAGTCCTCAATGTTCTCGTATTGAAGGGCCTCGCCGGTGAACCAGTCAATGGCGCGGGGGATGAGCTTCTCCTTGATATCCTCACCGAGCTGGTAGTCGAGTTCGAGACGCTCCTCAATATCAGAGGTGGCATCATCATCGTCTTGTGGGGGCTTGGGCGGGTCGAAGAAGTTGAAGAACGACTCTGTAGGCACGGTCTTCTTAACGACGCGGGTCTGCTTGGTGTCTGAAAGCTGTTAGTCTGCTATCACCTCGTGACGGCGATTGAAAACTCACTCTTGTTCCTCTGCTTCTTGCTCTCGATGCGGACAGTCAGGTCCTTGCCTGCCTTCCAGTCGACCTTGTCGCCCTCGGCGTGGTCATAGATGAAGTCACCTCCGTAGCCGTTCTCCTCCTGGTAGAAGTAGGTCTTGGTGATGGTCTTGTTGGTGAAGAATTCGTTGTCCTCGAATTCGAAGATGAGGCGGAAACCGGGGCGGTCGAGGTACTCCATGCGGATGTCGGTCAGGTGCTTCAGAGCAGCCTCGTCGCGGTCTGTGATCATCTCGGCGAGCGAGATCTGGTTCTTCATGGCGCTGAGCCAGAACTCTGGAATACCCTTGACATCCTTGCCCTCGTCCTTGTTGAGCTCAGGCTCGGGCTGGTCCTCGTCCTCGTCATCCTCATCTTGCTGCTCGCCGACCTTGACCTGGTCTTCTGAGGGCTCCTCGTTGCCGTTGACGATCTTGGCACGGGTCTGGTATAGCGGTGTGAACTTGGCGAAGTACTTCTTCTCCAGCTGTAGGACCTCCTCTTGGAACTCAGCCTCGAGCTTGGAGTGCTCCTTCTGGACGCCCTTGAGGCCGGCAACACGGCGGCGGACCGAGGCTGGGAGCGACTCAATGTAGCCGCTTGAGCGGCCGACGAGCGAGCCGAGCTTGTTCTGCATCATGGCGACGAGGGCGGGGTTGGCAGCGAACAGGCCGGCGGCGGTGCGCTCTAGTTCCTCTGTGCGAAAAATCGAGTTAGCGGTCAAGGCCTTGACGACGATACAAGGCGGGGTTGGAGGGGCAGGGAATTTGCGACATACCTTCCTTGATGGTGCCCACGCCGGGCTGCTGAGCGCGCGACGATATCGGGGCAGCATTTGCGGGTGTGTTCTGGGGGGTGCTGGCAGGGCGCACGTTAGAATGCGGTACGTCCATGATGGGGGGGGTTGTTGTGGTGGTGTTTTGGAGAGACAAAATTGTGTGGCGGAGGGTTGGGAAGCGACTTACGGGGCGGATATGGAATCCATCTTCTTATTGCGGATCGGCTCAGACATCTTGGCGAATGAGTGATGTCGGTCTGGCTGTGGCGAGATTGTTGGGCGAAAGGTGGATGTTGTGGGTGAGCCGCAGAATTGTTCGGCGGGTTGAGCGAGAAGGACAGGCGCTACGCAAGGTTGTTTTCGCCCCTCTCTATGGCTAGTTGCAGGCTAGTGGAAAATGCAACCGTAGGCTGGCAAACAGCAACACACTGGGACTGCGCGACCAGACGATAGACACTGCCCGTTGGATGGAGGCGGATACAATCAAGCCAGAGCGGCGGGCGAGGTGGTTTTTGTACCTTGACCGTCTTTTCGCAGCGACATGGCACGTGTGCCCTTGCTTGCATCTCTCCGACATCCAGCAAACGAGCGATTCAAGTTTATCTGGCGGCGATACCTCACTTGCTTGTGCGCGCAGTAGTCTACCACGTCGACTGCCCTGCCCTGCACTGGCACCACGGCCGACCTTGGCCGCCGGTACTTGGAGAGGGTACTCGGAGAGGGTACTCGGAGACGGGAGAGCATGGATTTTCCACTCTGTCCAATCCCACGCCCGGACACGCCCCGACTGCACATTGTCACCATCGTGAGTCGACTCGGAGCTTGACACGGATGCACTAAGCAGCACCATGCACACATCCTACCTAGGTACTCTTTGCGATCTCTCTACACACCCGATCAGCGTCAGCTTCGATCAGTAGCCACACCTGCCTTCTAGAACAAAGCGGGTCTCTGCAAAATCCTTAGCAAACCCTTAGCAAAATCTCTCTGGCCCATGGCACCACCCTAAACCCGAACCCGCAAGGCGCCAATGGCAACCACGGATGTGAGCATGTTGGGGGTGGGTGTCACCAAGAGTCATGTTCTCTACTGCCCGTTAGCGGCATGTGCAAGAACCCTATTCCCAGTGACAAGCGTCGTGACGAGAGAACTTCAATTCTTCCAAACAATACCCACAACTCACAATTGCCGACCGGCAGGAGCGGGACACCACCAACTGATGAGAGAACTTGAAAAAGTCTTGACATGGACATGACGATGGTGGTTTGGACTTTTTTTCTTAGGCTATTCAGGCATCCACGTCTTCCCATCTACAGCCTTCCCTGTATTCTTCCCAACCTCCTCGTAGCAACAACCGCCATACACGCCGAACAGGCCCCAATGAACAAGCAAACTGCAATTGCATTCGGCCCATCCGTGCTATGATGTTCTTCGGGCGGCGCCTCACTCAACTCGGGACTCTTTCCGGGCTCCAAGATGGAAAATACTACCCACGATATCCCTGTGCCCATGAATTGTGGTAGCGTCGTATATAGGTTCATAATGCCGAGGTATTGGCCTGAGCTTGCTCCGCCGCTAGAGGAAGATGCAGCACCCTTTTCGAGGTTGGATTGCGCTTCAGGAAGGTCGATGGAGGAGCGCTTTGGGTGTGTCGAGTGCGACGACGATGTGTTGAGGCGGTTGATCTCTACGCCGAGAAACGCAAAGGGAGCCCAGCAGGCTATGGACCATGATCTGTGTTGCATCAGTCGAGCTCCGTGGAGGAGGGGTTCACGGTGGTCACTTACACGCCACAGCAAGCGATGATGATAGTCGCATGTCTCAGACTTCTCACGAAAGGCGCCATGACCATGCTTCCTGCGAAAATACAATGCGCAGTTGTCCATGCTGTGAGTAGGCTTGGCTTATATTTGGCCAGCCCAGTCAACCGCTTAGGCGGATGGGAGAAGCCAGGGCCCTTTTCATCGTCTTCAGGACTTTGTACAAAGAAAGGCAGGAGAACAGACATTACGAATGTGATAATGGAAAAGGCGATGAGGGCCATGGAGCCAATGCGACCAACCTTGCCCGTAAGATCACCTGCTGCCTTGACCTCAGCTGGCGCGTCATACCGTAGGTATACCTCGCCAACCCAAGTCGTGCTGTAGAAGAGGAAAGGAAACCAGCCTGGCCAATCATTAGTACGTAATCCGCACAAACAGCACATCAACAACGTACCAATCCAAGCCCAGAATTGAACTGTGCAGATGGCTTGGATACTTCGGGGCAGGTTCAAAGCAGTATGCGCGATGGTACCGAGAACTTGCTTGAGATCCAGCTCCTTGCCCTCTTCAGCTCCGTCATTAATAAGCACTCTTTCAGTAACCGCCCAGCTTGTCGTCCCAATGGCCAAGCACAGCGTCAAAGCTGCAACGCCCGTCAACTGCTTGAACTGCGTGTCTCCCAACATGGGCCCAAACACACTCCTCAGATCAATTGCTCCTGCGCCATACCCTATCAAACTCCCAACCGCAACCATCCTGCTCGCCCAACTACTGCCCATCTGTTGTTTCGAAATAGGCAAAGTATCGACTACCAAGCCTCTGCAACTTCCCTGCACAGCATTTATGGCGAAATCAATTCCATAGATACTAAACACAGCAACGTATATCGTCGCGCTCTTAGCCGCAACCTCGTCCTTTATAAAATACCGAACCACCTCTTTTGTCCAGCCTAGCAGCAGTAAGAACATGGCCACCAGTATCGTCCCAAAGAACATAAAGGGTCTTCGACGGCCCCATCGCGAGGTAGAACGATCTGCGACGACGCCGACAATGGGCTGCATAATGAGGCCTGACAGTGGACCGGCGACCCAAACAAGGGAGATTTTCGATTTCGTAAGACCGAGTTCGAGGAGGTAGGGTGTGCAATATGTCATTTCGACATTCCACGTGAACCTGCATGTTGCTTAGTACATGACACATGTAGACTTCTTGGGCCAGGATCGTATTCACTGCAAGCCTATGAGCGACGCTGTGAGCAACGCCATGCGTATGCTCTCAGTTGAGCCCTTGACTGAAGGCGTCCCCTGCCATTGCGCAACAGACGGCATCTTTCCCTAACACCTTGACGGCAATGCGGATGCAGTCGCGTGCGCTTTCTCTCAGAATCTTTCTCGTAGTTTAGGCAAACGTGGAAGGGCGCATTGGGGTAAGCCGGATCGTGTGGTTCAGGTTTCGTATTACGTTCGCGATATGCAGGGTCCGAGGTAATCAGTCAACTAGAATAATGCGCGCTCAATGCAACAACGTATGAGATAAGGGAAAAGCAATAAGAAAGGTATATCGAGGGAGCGAAAGAAAGTTGGTATTTGTCTCTCTGCTTTTCTAGGAGTCTAGTTTGGAGGATCGTGAGGAGAGGATCGCAAAGGAGAGGAAACGTTGTCGTCAGCTCCATGGCTTGGCCGTGTCGCTTGTCGAGATGATTACGGATGTCGGGATCGTTGGAAGGGCCAAACGGCGGCCAAGTATAGTTAGCGCGCTAGATTGAGCGGGCCGTGTGGCGCACCCCGAACGCGTGGTTCGGCGCAGATTGGGCCGACGGTCATGGAGCTGTTCTTGCGGTTCGTGGCTTTGGCTTCCTTTGCTTGCTTTTGCCTTTTTTTCTTTGGTGGTAGGTCATGTCAAAGTCCTGGTCGTTATGAACACAGTCTACACGAGTCAGATTTCCTCACATCACAGCATTACTCCATGGTTAAAAACATATTGCTTGATGTCCTACCCTTCGCGAGAAACCAAACCATCTGACCCATAAACAAAAGGAGATCTATGATAAAAGGAAAACCCTGCAACCATCGCTATGTACTGGTACGTATCCGGAGATCAAAACATGTACGAACATGCTACCGGCCGACTTCTCTAACATACCTAGGTACACTAGCATCACCCTTCGTCCCTCCATTCCTAATCATCCTCAATGCGGAGCCTCGAGACGTCTGGAGACGAATCATCCTGGGACTCGAATCTTGGCAGCTGCCTGACAATGACAGGCGACTTGCCCTCAACACGGTCCGCGAGTACTGCTTGCACTATCTCGTACTTTCCTGTAATGTACTCATCCATGGTCCACTCACTAGTCTCGGTGAGATCAGTGATCTTGTGCGCGATCTTCACGCCACCACGTTGTATCGGCACCGGATTCAACTGTCGCTCGCCCTGGAAGTAACCCCACCCATAAAGGTTCTCTGGATCTCCTGGGATGATCGTGTACTGATCGGATGTGTGCTCGACTGTTGGATTGAAATTCTGTAGCAGCCAAACAGCACCGGCAGTACTCTCAGCACTGATGACCAAGACCAAGACCCAGTCTGTGCGCTCCCATAGAATCTTGCTGACGTCCTGTCCCTTGGGTAGGTTGCCGTTATCTGACCAATTCTCCTCCTCGGCTGCACGAAGCTCTCCAACTTGAAAGCATACGAATCCAGTAATACTGTTACCTAGGATGGTGCTGTTGTTGCTGGAGCCACTGAAATACGATTCCTCTGAGATGTCAGCACGCCTCCTTCGGTTGCGGTCCTCAACCCCGTCTGAAGAGTGGATTATCTGTCCTGCTAGGTCGATAGCTACAATCGGATCGGTGGCAACTTCACGTGGGTCGTCCCAGTCGACCAGCTCCTCATCAGGGGCCAGTGGGGTGAGCGATGGGACGATGCGATAGCGATAACCGTTGTAGGATCCCGCGGGTATGTATGGGTAAACGTATGTATTTAGTACTGTGAACAGTTCCCTTAGAGAAACCTTGTCTGAGTAATCAGTTTGAGCGAGAGCTTTGAAGTAGTCCTGAACTGCCCCAGCTTCAGGCATCGTGCGGATCTTGCGATCATTTTCGTGTACCCACAACCAGAACTTCTCTTGGCCCTCAGCTGTTGGTAGTGCATCTTCGAGGAGATCGACTTCGTTCGCGTATACGTCGTCAGGTGAGATGGCCTGGTCACGGTCGTCGGATCGGAGTCTCATTCGCTTCTCGAACATTCTCTTTCGGATATCGAGAAAATCGGCGGCTTCAGCGGCAGTGTATCCAGTGGGGAATCTGAAGTCCTTGTCTTTGTACTGTCTCCCAAGCTCCTCTCGAATTTTCTCGGCTTTTGTCGCGTGTGTCGATGTCATGGTGTGTACAATCGGAGGAGACGTGAAATGTGAGGGTGCTTTATGAACACTGTTCAGTGAGCGGATACAGTTGCGGTCGTGTTTGTGTTGAGTGGGGAGATAGGGTAATATGAACCACGGAGCGCTGACAAATGGTTCGGAGGTGAAGGCTCCGCCCTTAATAGACGGTATCAGTCATGTTGTTTGGAAGCACGTCCAGGTGCGCCACGCTCACGTTCACTAGGGCTCTCACCTGAATGACCAAGACAATCAATTCAGCTCGCGCGTGATTGCGACGTTAGAACAAACTGGCTAGGAAAGCACCAACTTTTCACGCATCGAGCACGTGAAGTTTGATTCGAATCACGAAAGCAAAATTGCATTTCCGTGTTCTTGATTTGCTTGGTAGACTCGGTAATGAGAGCGAAACTTACCTAGGTAATTATGTGTTCACCCATCCAGAAATGTAGACCAGACAATAAGCTGTGCTTGTACCAAAGACGTGGACCAAATGTAACCAAATCGCTAAAGCTAAGGACTTGGTAGGTATCTACAGCAAGTTTGAAGTTAGGCTGGCTTGCGTACCAAGGTTTGCCACTAGTGGCCTCAGGGAGCCGTGTTCCGACAACCATGTAACCACAGCTGCAGTTTGGCCACCGTCCAATCAATCTGGAGATGTAAGAGTTGGACACAAACGAATTGTAAGACACTTCCGGAACACTAAAATCTCCGCCTCCACACTTTCAAGGAGCCTGTTTGGTATCGGGTAACGCTGACCATGAGGAAGACCGCGGATCCTGTAGGCAAGCAATCAGCCGCAAGTCTCTCAAAATCACCGCCCCGGAGTCAATTGTCGGTACAGCAGCCATCAAAATCATGGTCCGAGTCAGCCAGGCGCCCCCAACGCCATGTCGTTGACCCACAGTACACCACAAAAAAGAGAGAAACTAAACAGCTCTGTAGAGTAGTGTACTTCTTCCTGATATAATAGAGCTAATTTAGAGTTATTTAGACATCAATAGAGAATCCTAAAGTCTATAATACTGTTGATCTTTGCAAATCTTCTTACTAAGGGCTAATGTAAGCTGTAAGGTAGGCCTTGTTATCTCTATACCTGTTCAGTCTTTCCCTTGGATGGGGCAGTAGACACATCAAAAATCAGTTGTCAGAAGCAAAAAGCGTTGCGCTAACCACTAAGTTAAGCCCCCATCATCCTTGAAGACCACGAAGATCTGAGTTCGCATTTGTTCAAGAGTCGCGACTATCCTCAGACAGCTCATGATTGTGTTTGTCAATTAGTAAAAAGATAGTTGCCTGCCTCTAGATGGTATCTGTGAACAGGATCTGTCCATGGAACCATACAGGGTGGTGGAGGTAGCATACAGATCGCGGAGGATGTTGAGTCTGATAGTCAGCACCTTTGTCTATCAAATCATCTGACCGTGCATATTGTTAGAGATTGTCACGGATACACATATAGGATTATTAATGTTTGAGAGCAAGCAAATCTCTATGAATATACTTATAGGTCTGAGATCGACCTACACAACTTCTTCTTTCATCATCCTCCATCATCCATCATCATCTATCATCATCATCGTGTTCAGTGGCTATCCTCTCTCAACCGCACTTGAATACCTTGGATCTATTGCTGAGTCTCATCACAAACGCAAAATATGGCTCCCATCCCCACGCCGTCACATAGTCGAAAGCCACTTAAATATGCTGAGGAACAGAATTGGCCTGACTTCTCAACAACACTGGAGAAGGCTAAACTTCCTCAGCCGATGATAAACCAACACAAGAAAAGAATCGAAGCGATTGCCGCCATCGCAGATCAGATCCGTTGGACATGTTCACAAATGAAGCCTGAACACTGGCCCCCAGGGAAAACAGATCTCGCTATGCAGTTCTTCATGTCTAATCTGATTCAGCTTTGAATCATCTGCTATGAACCTCTTCTGGCAATTCGAGAGCATATAAACAAGAATTGTCCTGAGCTCATGGGGATGGTAGGCTCTCCTTGTCAGTCAAAAAGGCTGACCAGAAGCTGACGATTATTTTAGGATTTTGGCTTGCAAAATGTTCACCAATGGCTTATGCCAGCAAGGAAACGACAGATCGAGTCTCCAATTGCTAAGCCAATCGCCATACCAAAATGGAAACAGGCACAAGATGAGGAAGAGAAGGAAGATGCAGAGAAAGTTACCAAGACCTCACCTGAGCCTAAACGAATCCAAACTGAGGAAGAGAAGGCCGACATGAAGAAGAGAGAGGCAGCTTTGTTTTTGGAAGAGGAAGATAAGATCAAAGCCCGTCAGCAACAAGTAAACAGGCTCATCAGCGAAGAAGTCGGCCATTTTGAGTACGAAACCCCTGAGATGCACATGGGCCAAACATGGGAAGATGCATTGAGATCTACAATAAGGACGTACGATGCGGCTCAGATGGAAATCGAGCGTCATTACCGGCTGATCGGATACACGAAGACCAAGTCGCAGTGGCCCCTGGACAAGCTTGATGTACTCCGCGAAAAAAAGGCTATTCCAACACGATCGAACCAGGAGCTTTTACTAGAAATCGCCCTTCAGCACGAGCATGGCCCACCTACCGCCAAGACCCGAGAGATGATGGAGAATTGGGCCACGGAAACGGACGTCAGAAATAGCCTTTCAATTCATTTGGGTCGTTTTCTTCTACCTAAAGCCTCACGCTACTGGACGAACTACTTCACGCAAAGCATTGACCATCAAAGCGCCGCAGAACCCTCAATGTTCTTCATCTGTCAGCATGAGTATAGTGAAGGGGTCGCCAAGTGGATTGTGGGAGGCTCTACACCGCACACGGGAGTCCTCTCAAAGGTGAAATGGAAGTGGGCCGATGAGTTCTACAAAGCAGTGAGAGAACAAGGTATGGGGAAGAATTGGGTTAGCCAGGTGAACCAGGCTAATGACCGCCAACGTGAGCTGGAGAGGGAGCTGATGGGTGCCCCTACAGAAGAAGAAGACCGGAACCAAAAGCTGTTTGTTCGACGACAAGTCATTGCGACGTTGAGAGAGGACCCTGCTCACCAGAGACTAGTAGCGCGCATTAACTGCAAGGGCCTATCCATCGACAGGTCGATGGTTCCGACACAATGTTGTTACCGATGTCAATCTAACTTCCAATACATCGTGCTGTCAGCGCACATGAAGACAACGGACGCTGCAGCCATATCACATCTTCGCAACTACAGCTGGGAAAATCAATGCAGGTGGGACCAACAATGCGCCGAGGCACTTGCCGCATGCCAATGTACACACTTTGATGACGAGCAAAACGAGCTTAATAGGCCCCGCTCTAGTAGGCCGAAAGCGGAAGGTGGTCGACCCCTCAAATCCAAGAAGAGTACCATCTCGTTCAAGTTCAACAGATGAGAGATCCCAAACGAACATGCTGCCACGGCTGACAACCGGATCGACCTCTCCGCCAGCCACAACAGCCTACTGTAATCAAACCAATGCCATCAGTACCTCCACATCCATCGTCCCCTTTCCCACTCTCAGCGTTATTGACTGGTGCCGTCCTGTTCCCGGTGTCTCTTGTCCATTGCTTTACTTGTCGCGCTTTCCTCTTTCTTGCTTTATCTTGCTTCCCGCGTTGCTTACTGCTCAAGTATACTTCTACCCTCATGCAGCCCGATCCTTCTGTGTTCTTCCTGCCCCGACCCTTCTGCTCTCTGCATACCCTCAATCTACCCAACACGAAGTAAATGCTTCTCAACGATGTCGCCATCTCCTTTGTGCTTTCGCTTTCCATAGACAACAAATAGATCGAACAGAAAAATTCCTTTCCAATACTGTTTCTCTCGCATTCTTTGACCATCTTGCTGTATAGGTATGTACTGAGCTTCAATAGTGTATGGATGTAATGGATCTCAAAGTGAATACCTCTAGATTACCTTTTCGTTGTAGCTACGATTGAGGAAGGAAAAGCTTGTCCAGAGCCACGATACACCAATCCGACCGGGTGGGTGCACTAGACGCCATCATCGCACACGATTCTAGGTGTGCTTCCAACGTCCAGCCCACTTCTTTGTCACATCGACAGAAGGACAACATCACAACCGCGCACAGCGAACAACACAACACAACACATACACAAAAGAGAAGTTTGAAGAGATATAACATTCCCAGGAAAGAAAAAAAACACCCAGCATTAAATACCCAACATCATCATTCGTCGTACGCCTTTGATCCCCCCTTCTTCCGCAATTGCAGAAAGAACAAACGTGTAGTAGTTTGAAGCACATCTTCCATCCCTCCCAGAAGTCCAGCGACTAGACAGACACAGAAGAAAAAGCTGCTACTACAACTACGAATATTGGGTTCATCTGCGGCGCTTATTTCCTTCATCTCGTCTCGTGTCGTTTCATGTCTAATACCAAATCTTTCGCTTTCGCTCGCTTACAAAGATGCTAAAGTTCATGCCTCAATACCTTCTTCAATCGTACCGTGTCCATTCATGCCGCCGCCGTTGATACCCATTCCGCCGGTCAGGGCATTCATGGCATCGCCATTGCTCTGGCCATTGGGCATGTCGTCGTCGAACTCGAGCTTCTCTTGTTGCGCGATGGCTTGTTGAGAGACGATTTCGGCGAGGCGCTTGAGGCGGGGTGTTTGCAGCCCTATCGTGCATGTTAGTCGTGTTTCGATTGAATGATAGATCGCCGAAAGGGAGTACTTACAAGAAGGCGTGTATGTCTCAAGTGCTGTGATGACTCGCGGTTCCGCAATTTCGTATGGACCACTGTCCTCCATGTCGACTGCTGTGAGCAACAGGACGTCGCTCTTCTCTGTCACGCGCGATGCGACAGCCTTCATGATCTCGCCATTGATGGGCTGCTCGTAGTCGGCTACCAGGTATTGGTTCAACAGCTTCTGGATCTGGTTCGGGCTCAACATCCAGCAAATGTCCTGAATAATCTCAATGTCGTTCAAGGTAGCCTTCTTCAGCTGGAGCAGCTTGGTAGCTTGCATCAGATGCTCAAGCTGCAGAGTGCCCTCGGGCATGTCATGCGATTTGCACCACTCTTCGATACGAGTGATGTTGTAGTTGATCTGCAGGCCTCGCTTCCATGAAAGGAAGTTGCGGCGCATGAGCAAGTCGTTGAAAGCAGTAACACCCACTAACCTCAACAACTCAGTAACACACTGTGTGATGATGGAATCTTCCAGGTAGTAAGCCTTCATTGCCTTGTAGACGCTGTTGAGTAGAGTGAGTAGGTTGTCCATGCTGTAGGCAGGGGTGTTGCTGCCCTGAAGCAGCTTTCCGAGGAAACGGTTGCTCTCATTGGTGACGAAACCAGGCAGCGATTGCGATTCGATGATAGCGGGGATGATCATCTTGTGCAACTTCTTCTTCAGGACCTTCATCCAGGTGTGGTAGATGTTGAACTCAAGACTCTCGAGATCATGCTTGACAATCTCC